AATTCAAATATTTATTAAAACTATAATTTTAAAATAAACTTAGATTTTGATTTTCAATTAAGAAAAATATGAAAAATTTTCTATGAGGCTCTGAGGTCAAGAAGAAAATTCTTAGTTAGGAATTTGAAATTTCCAAGTTAACATCAAAGTTGCAAGTTCGAAATTCAAAAATTTCAAACTAAGTTAAAATTCCCATGACAAAAAAATATAGCTCTTCAAAGGCTTCTTAAGTTTTTGGTCTTTCAGATCGTGTATTTTTAAATTTAGAAAACAGATACTTGTTAAAACATTAATAAATTGAAAAATTTAACAATAACCTAAATCCGACAACATCAGAAACAAATGAGCTAAGGCCTACAAGACAATATAAAAATTGACAGTTCTGTTTTTTTAAAGGGTTGAAAAAAAAATTAAACTCATTTTTATGCTTAGCTGAAAGTCTTCAATCACTATTCGAGAGTTAGTCCAACATTTTTTAATCACCGTGTATATTAGGTACTCCTTCCGTTCAGAAATAAGTGTCCGATTTCGATTTTTTTCCTGTCCAGAAATAAGTGTCCGATTCTCTTTAAAAACCATATTTTATTAAAACATAATTACAATACAATAACGATTCTCTAAATTTTTTAAGAGTTATTTGAATTATTTAAACTGAATTGATGATATTTTATACATGTTCATAAAGTCCAAAATTAAACTTTATAGAAATTGGAAGCCTATCAAGTCTTTGTAAATGGTCTTTTTTCATATGACTTACTTTTAATTGTTACCTCCATTTACTCTCATACCGAAGAGTATCTTCTAAAAAAAACTACGACACTTTTTAGTTGCTGTCAAAAACTTCACATATAAAAAGTGTTTTTAAAATGATAGATAGCAAAGCCGCCTTTTCTTAATTTTTGAAAAACAACAAAATCGGACACTTATTTCTGGACAGAGGAAGCAAAAATTAGAAAAAGTCAGAAAAAATAAATACAATTTAATTTATTAACATGTCAAGTCTAAGAGACTTTTGAGTAGGTATAAATATTTCTAGTTGGAAGTAATACGAGTACAAACTTTTATTTAAAAATAAAAAATTGAAAACAAATATGACTAATTTAATTTCAGAATTGCGACCTGTAAATTCAAAATTTTAACTAAAACAGAATTCTGTTTCTAATTTTTCGTGTATTAAGCAATCGTTTTGATTGTTGAATTTTTTTTTTAGGTAGATACTGCTATTTGGTATGATTCAAATTCATAATATTGGAATAAGAAAATTTTCTATAATCTAATTAAATTGTTGTTATAAAACTAGATAAATCCAGTTCATGATTTCTTGTTTTACATTGTTTCTGTCGCCTTCTTTTTTAAAAATCGTTTCAAGTCCGTGGCAAAAACTATATTGTGTTTTTAAAGCAAAATAAGTTGAATTACTGATGTATAACGTATTTAATAAAAATTTCCAATTTATACCAAAATCCCGATTTCAAAATTTGCAATAAAACTCAGCTTAAATTTTGAATCCGAAAACATACTTAAATAAAAATGACAAGATACGATTATGTTTCACAATAACAATTCTCTACACCCAAGTCTGATGGTTTTCGTATTATTTTCATATCCGGCGTTAAATTTCATAATTCTTATATCATTTTTCGCGTGTGATCCGTTGATGCTTAAAACCTGGAACACCACTGACCCAGTGGCACTGACAGCATCTGGCCAAGTTCACGAAATTATAGGATGAATCTGAACGTTGTCAACGACCGGTTGGCAGGACCACTTGTTTCATTTTTCGTTTCGGGGGGCAGAAATGGTATATGGCCTGCGGTTTGTCATCGCGGCTACTTGTCATCGGTTCGCTTTTAGAAAAAAGCTCTTAAAGGAGGATCAAAAATAGAGGAAAAACTTATCTATCATCGCTAAAACAAATAACCTTATCGCGCTACTAACGGATTTTTCAAAGATTGTTACATAAAGATAAAGAATTGTGTGTCAATTTTTTGGTTATTTTTTACGTTTATTATCAAGGATATATGTATTTTTAAAAAAGTGTGAAAACAATGTCTAATCTAATAATGAAAATATAAAGTAGAAAATATTTTTAAGTTTTGTTACTTTTTTATTAAATATTAACTTAATAATTTTCCGCAATCGCAAATTAAAGATAAATCTTTTTTTTTCAGTTAAAATAGCACTCCAACTATTAGTTACCTTTGCTATAATTAGTACAAGACGACAAAATTGCTTTTACCACAAACTGTAATTAAAATAATATGTAGACAAGTTTTATATTTTACTTTCAACTGTTTGAAGTATGTATAAATGGTTTAATTTTTTTTCAATAAAACAGAAGGAAGTGAAACAAACTGATAGAGATAAAACGCCAGCTGACTTTTGAACAAATGGCGAAAATTTAAATAAGTGTATTTTACATTTTCCGCATTTTTATAAATGGTCACACATTCGCAAACACAACTTTTTTTCAATAACTGTCCCCACATTTTTTATTTTTTTTTTCAAAAAAAGAGTTAACAGCAGTTAGCAATTTATAAGTCGTTGAGTTTGAATCTGTATCTAATAAAATTGCCATTCCAATAAGTCATCTAATAGTCTGGCCTCTCAATATAATCTAGTGATGCCGTACACAGTGGGGTTTACCCCACGTAGTGTATCTTAATTCAGTACATTCACCTTTAACGAACTTTCCGCAACTTTTATAGCGACGCAGACGAGACAGTTTATACGCAACTGGACCACGACAGACCGGTCACATCACGTGCGTATTCCTATTCGCAAAAAAGATCACGCATAATCGTGCAAGGATGATACGCAAATTCTGCACATTACCCATTGTTCCCCCTTTGCAGCTCCCATCAGACAGATAGGTGTGGTACAGCTTGGTGCGAAACAACTAGTGGGGAAGTGGAATTTTTTCAAATTTGCACAACCCAACAGATATCCGTTTTGAAATTTAATAGTGGAAAAGGAGACAAGAAGGGAAGGAAGCTACGTACGACAACGCACTTTGAAGATTTCACTACTAGACCCTTGCATTTTGCATATTTTTGTATACATTTGTATTTTAAGGAAAATAACAGCCCAGTTTTGCCAAAGCTTTGTCAAAACATTGTGTTTAATTTTGTTTAAAAACAATTTACAGCCGCATATTTTGGCACGATTTACATTTGAAAAACGGTCTAGTTTCTTGATTTCTAGTGTTTAAATGTCGGTTTAATGAAATGTAACCAGAATTCTGGAATTTGCAATACGAGAGGAAAAGGAATTTAGTTATTCTTGCAGATATTAATTTATGTATAAAGCAATTTACTTAATGGTCCATAAAGTTTAATATGAAATTATTCTATAAAAACAATAAATATTGAAAATATGTGAAGCAATAAGGAAGAATAACTAGAACTCATAAAAAACTAAATAAAGTTAAGTAGTAATAACGGTCGTGTCTGGTTATCAGATTTGTGTTACGTCTTTAGAATTTATAGATACAATTTGTGATTTTTACTTCCTATAAAAAGTTTTTTCTTCGACTATTACCGAATAACAGTCCTCTTGGTTGATTTATACTCATATCTTTTAAAACTTAAAATATTCTTACACTAGTATTATTAGAATTGTTTCAGCTAGCTGGACATTATCTTGACAGTGAAAATTTTTAGATAAATTTGTTCAAATTAGTAAGTAGTCTAGAACTCGTTTAGAATAGCATATTCCGCCCTAAAATTTTCTAATAATCTGTAGCAAAAAAAATTGGAAAATTAACTAACAGAAAACTAACAGAAATAGAGTCAACGTGCGAAATTTAAACTCTCATAACTTCAAAATTTTTATAAATAGAGTTTTTTAGACATGTCTTCCGTTTCTGATAATCCTACCTAACATTAGCATTTTTCTCTGGAGCGCGAGTTCTAGCGCACTCTGTATTGATATTATTTGCAAAATATTGCATTAATGAATAGAAAAACAAACACAGTTTTAAATCTAAGGAAATAGGTACATACAGGTGATTCTCAAATAGACCGACAAAATTTTATCCTTGCTACTAGCAAATGAGTACATGCTAAAAAAAATTGTAAAAAAATAGTAAAAAACAAATATTAAATAATCATTCATCATGATTCATTTATGTGTTCGTAAATAGTATCATCAAAACGTAAAAAAATTATTAATTTAAAAACTTATAAATTCTGAATTGCACATCTGCACGTGCACCCAGTAAAGAAATCAATATCATCATTTTTATTTAAACATTTCTATTGATTCTAACCAATAACAATTTAACGCAACAACAATAATAATTATTGACTATCACCATTACCTATACCGGGTGTCCGATCTCAAACTCGAACATATAAGGAAATAATGTTGAATGAGATTTTTAAGTATTCTGTCAGTTACTTTGATAATAAAATAAGTAAGTAAAATAAGTAAGAAAAATAATAATAAGTATCTAAGTAATCAAGAATTTCATTGGTTTTTATTAAAAATAACAAAAAGTATTAAGTAATAAAGAAAATCAAATAGGTACGTTTTGACCATAGAAGCTCTTTTTGCATTAGAGTAATATTGCATTTTTACTTAACTCCAAATAAATTGTAAATTTTTTTTTACGTTTTTGACATCAACTAGTGCATACCTACTTATTTCACGTATTGATAAATTTGAAAATTGTATTTTAAAGTAAAAATACCATTTTTATACTTATTTTTGGAATCATTTGAAGCTAAATAATTTTATCTTTCGATAGGTAAGTACCATCACCTTACTCATAGGTGGTATTGGCGAGCCTGAATCAGCAAAAATAAACATAAATCTTTATGTTCGCGATTGAAAGTAAACACTCTGTATAAAAACTAATTTTCAAAAAATCCTTTCCTCAAGTGTATATTTGGTTGCCTACGTCAAATCTTAGATTTAAAAACGTGAAACACTTGTTGACTCCTTCATTACCACCAATCGCCCACAACAATAATGGTAAACAACCATTGGTGGGGGTATCCGATGAGTGTACCTGCAACGTTCGGTGGGCAGGGCAGATTCTAACGTAACCTAAGATTCGACACCGTCAAAACAAAGCAAAACCACCCCTAAAATCGCCACCCCCGAACTCTTAAAATGACGTATTAACCAAACAAGTGTGTGTAATCTCACAATAACGCAAAAATGTGGCGTCTTTGTGCTTTGTGTGTGTGTTTATTAGCACTGGGTGTGATCGCCCAATACGAGTGGCAGGCAAGGGATGCCTACGATGAGGTGCGTCGAGCCATGGACAGAGTGAACAAATACAACTGCGAAATTCAACACGTTGGAGACTTGTACTTGCCGGAAACCTCCGTGTCCCACATCCCCGACATCAAAGATGTCAACATCAATCCCGTTTTTCCCAATAGGACTCAACTACTTCACATACACAACATGGCCCTGAGTCGAGCCTTTTTCTGGAGTTATATCCTTCAGAGTCGATTCATTCGTCCGGCCATAAACGACACCTATGACCCCGGGATGATGTACTACTTCCTCTCCACCGTGGCCGATGTCTCCACCAACAATCACGTCAACGCTAGTGCTATTTATTTCGCCCCCAACATGTCATACTCCTCTTCTTACCGCGGCTTCTTCAACAAGACTTTCCCAAGATTCGCCCCTAGGACATTCCGAGCCGACGATTTCAACGACCCCATACATTTAGAACGTATTTCCACCCTGAATACGTTCACAGTGTACGATTTAGGGGCTATCAAACCTAACACTAGCGACGACTACACTTCAGATTTTTACCGAATTAATGAATGGTACAAGAAGTGGCTCCCTGATCGAGTTTTTGATAGGCATGACACGAAGACGACTTATCAGATTTATATCAGATATGCAAACAATACTAATGAAACATTTACGTTTCATGGACCTCCCGGAGCCGATGAAAGTCCGGGGCCTGTCCAATGGACCAGACCCTATTTTGACTGCGGGAGATCGAATAGATGGTTGGTGGCGGCTGTTGTGCCTATTGCTGACATTTATCCAAGACATACGGGGTTTAGGCATATTGAATATCCCACGTAAGTTGCAGGAAATACAGATTAAAAGACTGTCTTTGGTAGCAACAGGAAATGTAATTATTTTGTCATTACGTTTTGTCCCTTTTAAAATCATATTAGGGTCTAATGACTCACAGTATGAAGCAACAATTATTTTCTTAATATTTTGATGAAATGTTTTAGAAATAGTTGAAATAGAGCCCTTTTTTCATTTATGCTGCGATGAAATATATTTAGACCTCTGGTCTACGATCAAAATTATTCTCAAAACAACGTTTTTTTTCATTCTATTTCAAAGAAAAAAAAATGCACAAATTGAAACAAAAAAAAAAGATAATTTTTTTTAAGTTCAAAATATTTTTAAGCAACAGCTCTTTTTTTTTGAAAAAGATATACAGGTGTTCCATTTTTATTCTTACAAATTTAAGCAGGTGATAGAATATTCAATTTTAAGATAAAAGTTTCCTATGAACATGTATCGAAAAATACTATGTAACGGAGGTAAACACCTAGAAAGAGGAGCATGTTTTAAACATTTAATGGAGTTTGTCTAATATTTCAGAAACCATTTTAGATAAAATTATAAGATTTGTAGAGTTGATTACTTTTATACACCTAAACGAATTCAAAGATAAAATGTTGAAACCAGGGGCGTCCTAGGATAAAAAAATATTCTTAACTGTTTTAGCTGAATTTCTTACCCACTTTCAGCAACAAAATTATAAATTCCATAGTTTTTCACAAAAAGAGGTCTCTTGCGTTTTTTTGGTGCAACTTACCTTTTTTGAGTAAAATTGTTTTAAAATTTACGCTACAGACTCTGCACAGCATAATAGTTATTTATTCGACGAGTTTGAGTGTAAATCGGACGCTTTATTTCACGAAAGGATTATTAAACCACGAGTGTTAACCAATAAAAATTTAAAATTAAATCCGTTCATCCTCAACTCCTCCAATTTATGACACCCCTGAATAAAAATTTCGACATTTGATCTCTGAATTCGTTCAGGTGTTTAAAGGTTATCAGCTGTACCAACTTTTGTAATTTTTTCTATTCTGAAATAGTGGGAAAATCTCATTAAAATACGCACCCCGTTCAGAGGGTGTAGCTCCCTTAGATCACATTTTCCGATATGTTCATAGGAAACTTTTGTCATAAAATTGATTATTCTATCACTTGTTCAAATTTGTAACAATAAAAACGAAACACCCTGTATTTTAGTAAAATCTCTTTCATATCGTATAGTATAAAAATAAAATTACCAAAAAAATCATTCAGAATTATTATTATAAACAATGTTATTTAACTCTAAAATGTTGGTATCATACAATAATAAAAACGAAACAGCCTATATTTTAATAAAATCTTTTATATCGTATAGTGTAGAAATTAAATAACCAAAAAATATCTTTCAGAATTGTTATTATAAAGAATTTTATTTAACTCTAAAATGTTGGTATCATACAAGGTTTGAGGGTCACTGGAACTGTTTATTTGTTAAGATAAAATTTCATTTTTGCAACAAAGAAGAAAATCGTATTTACGAAAATGAAACTTTTAACAAAGTCATCATTTGATTTGCTTTTACCTTGGTTTTTATCAAAATTCGAAGATTTTCTGTTTAATCACTTTCAAATAAATGCTTTCCAATAGGTTTGATTTGTTTTTCAAATTTACGGTCACGAATGTCAAATTTTAAAATAATAAATTGGTTGTCGTGATTATGATTTACGGTGAAACATTAGGTAATGATACTAATGGTCATAGTTGCAGCCCAAGTAGCAAATAATATAAAATGAATAATTTTCTTTTATAACGTGAATTTTTATTTTAATTATTTAGCGTATTAGTTTTCTTCTACTGTGCATATCATCTTTAAATTTCAATCTAAAGACCGTAAACACCCTGCATTGCATTAAAAATGATATTTTAACATTTAATTGTTGGAGAAACTGAATCGAATATTTTTAAATTAGTTACACCGCTGTTTCTGTGGTTGAAATGGACTACGAACGTATCGACATCAACCAATGTCCTCCCGGGTTGGGCAACAAAGAAGGCCTCAACATGTTCGCAGACACAGCCCGGTGTAAAAAAGAAACAACCGAGGTAAATTATTCAGTTTTACCAACCATTTCTAAACAGTTTTCTTAGTGCGAACCTATCCACGGATGGGGCTTCCGAAGAGGCGGCTACCAGTGTCGGTGCAAACCCGGTTACCGTCTCCCCATGCAAGTCCGACGTCCCTTTTTGGGAGAAATAGTAGAACGTGCAACGGCAGAACAATATTACAACGGTTTTGATTGTCTTAAAATCGGATGTATGTAATTGATTTTACATCAAGTACATTAAAAAAATCATAATGTTTTGCAGGGGTACAGAAATTACCGGTTCAGTGGGAAAAAGCAAGTTCATCGGTCCGAAACCACTATCTTGATAAATACAGGGAGTATCGTTATCCTGTCTCAGGACCCGAGGCTTTACACCAACCAAAAATCAATATTCACAAATCTCTTGATTTTATTTTGGGCATGAATAAGGACAATTGTAAGAATTACAACAAGGACGAATTAATTTTGTACGGTGGTGTCGAATATGGCGCTTATGAATTTTTCCAAAATGAAGCCAAAATGGCCTTACGACTCGCGAATTTCATTAGTGCCTTTTTACAAGTCAATGACCCCCATGAGGTGTATTCAGGGAAACGAGTTCCTGACAGACCTCTAACAGAAGACGAAATGATCGGCGAAACTTTAGCCCTTGTTATGGGTAATAACCGAATTTGGTCGGCGGGGACTTACTGGGAACGAAATAAATTCACAAATCGCACACTTTTCGCCCCCTACGCCTACAAAACGCAACTCAACACACGAAAATTCGCAGTTGAAGATTTGGCCCGACTTAACAAATCTGGTAGTCACTCTAGTTAAAAATCTAACACAAAAATTTTAATCTAATGGGTTTTTAGATGAAGTCTATTTGAATAAACCTTGGTTTTTGAAATTGAAACAACGCTGGTTGACTAATTTCGACAGTCTGGAAAAATTTTACATGAAAATTAAAATCCGGTTTAATGAAACTGGCGAAACGACGAGGAAGTATGAACGATATCCGAATTACTACAGAGGGGCTCAACTAAAACACGGCTTATGGACCGAGCCTTATTATGACTGTGATGGCAAAAGGCCCATGTGGAAGATTAAATACGCTGCACCGTTTTTCGGTTGGGACAGTCTTAAAGTGAAACTCGAATTCAAGTAATTTTTCAACTAATCATTGTTTATTCTTTCTAATCATGTTTTATGATTGCAGAGGTGTGGTCACCGTATCAATGGATTTGCTAAAACTGGATATAAATCAATGTCCTGACAGATACTACGTTCCAAACGCGTTCAAAAACACACACAAGTGTGATTTGCGAAATTCATACGTAAGTTTTTTTTGTCAAAAGTGTCGCGGGAAGTAATTATGAAACATTTCAGTGTGTTCCGATCTTGGGTCGTGGATTTGAAACAGGGGGTTATAAATGTGAGTGTAAGCAAGGTTACGAATATCCGTTTGAAGATCTCATTACTTATTACGACGGTCAAGTTCTGGAAGCCGAATTTAGTAACTTAGCTGATAATAATGAGACGCGTTTTGATATGTTCAAGTGCCGCTTAGCTGGCGCTAGCAGTGTTCAAGTTAGTATCGTGACGGTTTTGTTATTAATATTTGTTAGTTTTGGTTTGTATGGCAGAAGTTGAATTTTAAACTAATGACTTGAAATTGAAGGCCTTTTAATGTGCCTTGATGATATTTTAGTTTTACCGTCCATTTTAAGTTGTAGTTGTAGGAGTTTGGTACAAAAAAGAACGTATTTTGTATGTTATTGTGTACTTGTTGTTTTGAAGTGCACTTATTGTAAGGTTAATCGTACTATAGGCCGAGTTGCAATTTTTGTTGGGCGATCGTGAGTTTTGTACAGATGGCTTTATACATGTACATATTTTTGATATTCTTTTTATTTCTAAGTGCACAGACTATGAACAAAAAATTGTTCACTTAATCGATTTTTTTGTATTACATGCATTTTTTATTAATTTTTCCGTCCGTTATTTTAACAATTTGATTATATTAATTTAAGTTTAATAAACGATTTTATAAGGAAAGGTTTTTCATTTTCAAGCGTAGGCCTTGAAATGTTTCAATTCCAGGGAAACTAAAATACACATCTTTCAAAATTCATGTTTTTTAAACGTCAAATAAATGGACGAAAAATTAGCCCAAAACCCGGCTTTTGACTAACTAAAGCGCCAAATTTCTACAAAAGCATCTAATCTACTTTGTTAACTTACCAAAAAATTTGATCTTCGTAAAAAACTTTTGAAAAATCCTCTCGTTTTGAATTTATATAATGAGCATTGTCACAAAATGTACTACACAATTTGTTTTGTTACCCAAACAACCATCATTTGAACAAAAACAATTCAGATATTTTCCTCCAAATAATTATAAATATATTGCAACACTAGTACAAACACCACATAAACTGCCAGAAAAAGCACACAGTAAATTGCAAAAACGTATGTTAGTATTTTGGAAATACGCATTGAATTTGTGACAAAAATTCTGACATAGTAAAATGTCACCCTTGCAAAAAAATACTTGCAGGTGATAAATAAGTGAAGAAATTTTCAACAGGAATAATATATTTATTTTCTAAAAATATACAAATAACATGTATACCAACAAAATATACTCTCAGATCAGTCACTAAATTTCATTTGGTCTTCAAAGGTAGATAAAATTGAGCATTGCAGTGCAATTTTTTATCAAAATTCCACAATGATTATGTAATTAATAATAAAATCCTTATCTTATGTCCTAATACCAACAATCTCCATTTTTTTAATGAATGAACACTTTTAATTTTTACAGCTATATTAATTACCTAAAATCACTTTGATTGATTAATATTATTTAATCTCCTGTTTGTCCTCTTTTTTAGTGAGGTAGTTGTAATTAAAAAATCTGGTTAATTGCACTAATTGTGCGCTCTCATTAGTGATATGACAGGCAAAAAGCAGCATATTTTGGGGCTGCACTTTCCAAGCAAATCTCATAAACATCGCAGAATAAAGACACAAAGCTAAAAAGAACCAAACATTAGTTTCACAAATCGAAAAACACGTTACATTGTACCAATTGTCATTTTTCCACTGATATATTTAGGATCTTTCGATATATCAGCAATGGCAGCAATAGGTATACCCCAATTGGCAACAGGCCCCCAAAAATGCGTGCTATAACACACCGATAATTAGTAAAACAGCAAAAATTAAAACATACTAACCTCATCAAATATTCTCTAAATTCTTTACTTTTCAATTGTTGCACCAATTTCTTCCCTAGAGTTGCCATTTTAGAGTCTATGTAAAGAATGGGACTGCAATAAGTGAATTTAAAATTTGTTATGTTAATTAAATGACCTACACATACACTCCAAGGAAGACTGGTGGTCAAATAAATGTGACAAATGTCAAGGTTAAGGTTATGCCAAGTCATTCTGCAACAATTTCTTGCCGGTTTTTCAATCTCGGATCTATCCCTAAATCTCAGAGACACTATCATTAATGTTAAAAAAAATTATTAGATAATTAGATATAAAAAGGCCTAACCTCAACGTTTAAATTTTATAGAAATTTTGATTTTTTAACGTTACATACCTGTCAGTGTAGTGTTAGTTGCGTACAAACCAGGCGCAAAGTATTTGGCGCGTTTTTTAACAATGGAAACAACAATGGCGTCCTCCCCTAGCCGTTGTGACGTAAGACTAGTTAGGTCTCATTTTGAATTTTAATTTACATTTTTATCATGAAGGAAAAGTCGAATCCGACGGTCAATGACTCCAACTCGAATTTAACGGAAGACTCTGGCGATGAAGGGGTAATCTGAAGCATATTTGATAGCAAGTTTCTGTAAATGATTTGTAGGATGAGACTTCAAGTGTTGGGAGCACTTCTACGACTTCCAGAAGCGATACACCTACAAATAGGGTGCGTAAAGGCCGTCGGGGTAAAAAGAAATTTAACCCACAAAAAGTACTCAAACCTATTTACAAGTTCACGTGAGTTTGAGGCAGGGGTTAAATAGTTTGATTTACTTGTGTTGTCTCAGATGTAATATTAAAGAAGACCACGGCCAACCCTTGTTTGGTACTCAGTTTAACCACCATTTGAAGGAAGGACAACCGCTGATTTTTGCAGCTGTTGGTAGTAACAGGGTCACAATTTATGAATGTCCTGAGGGAAATGGAATAAAGCTTTTGCAGTGTTTTGCAGACCCTGACGTATCCTTTTTTGTATAAAATAAATTTACATTCGGTTTCAATTGCAGTTTCTTAATAATTCAGTTAGATGAAAACTACTACACTTGTGCCTGGACTTATGATGAAGAAACAGGAAAGCCCCTTTTGGCTGTGGCTGGTTCAAGAGGGATTGTAAGGATTTTAAATCCCGCGACAATGATCTGTATGAGACATTATATAGGTCATGGACATGCAATCAATGAACTCAAGTTTCATCCAAGAGACCCCAATTTATTATTGTCTGTATCAAAAGATCACGCTTTGAGATTATGGAATATTAAAACTGATGTTTGTATTGCAATTTTTGGTGGTGTTGAGGGACACAGAGATGAAGTTTTAAGTGCTGTGAGTGTCTACAGCTTCAAAAAATATTTTTTGAACTTTGATAATTTAGGATTTTGACCTAATGGGTAATAGAATTATGTCTTGTGGCATGGACCACTCATTAAAGTTATGGAAGTTAAACAAGGAGAGTATGAAGGAGGCTATTAAACAATCGTACCAATGGAATCCGACTAAAAGTACAAGACCATTCAATTCATTAAAGGAACATTTCCCTGATTTTTCCACCAGAGATATTCATAGGTTTTTTCTGAATTATAATTGTCTTTTTTTCTGATGATTATTTGTAGAAATTACGTAGACTGCGTAAGGTGGTTTGGTGATTTTGTTTTGAGTAAGTCATGTGAAAACTGCATTGTGTGTTGGAAACCAGGACGTTTAGAAGATGATAATTTAAGAAAGGGTGAAACCACATCCACAGTTATTCACAGATTTGAATATAAAGAATGTGAAATTTGGTTTGTGAGATTTGCTATGGATTTTTGGCAAAAAGTAATTTCATTTTTTAGTGTTTAAGTATGTATACGCCAATGTATTTTGCAGATTTTGGCTCTTGGTAATCAGACTGGGAAAATTTTTGTATGGGATTTAGATGTCGACGATCCAGCACAAGCCAAATGTTATACATTGCAACATCCGAGATGTGTGACAGCAATTCGTCAGACTAGTCTCAGCAGAGACGCCAATATTTTATTATGTGTATGTGATGACGGAACAATTTGGAGATGGGATAAAGTAGCGTAGCTATTTTCAACAATTTTTTTTTACTTTTTTACTATAAATAAACTAAATTGAACTAAATTTTAACTAGATTGTCAGGTGTCCCCCTTGTCTTCTTTTCCCGATGGCAGTTGCTTTCTAGGTCTTGGTGTGACTCTAATTCTGGGTACACTTGGACCAGCAAATTTTGCTCTAACTTTTCTTTGTTCAGGAAGATATACTTCAAAAACTTTAAAATATTTTAAAACGTTTTCTACAAAAAATTGTTTACTACTGTGTCTTTAATCTCGAAGTAGAAAATACTTGTGGTTTCTTTAGGTATTTTATACTCCTTGGAAATCGCTTCTACACTATGTAATCGATGATCGTTTTGATGGTCTGTTACAAACTTAAGTATTTGTTTCAATGTGGCTTTCCCTTCTGGAATATCTTTAGGTTCTTTAACTCCATATTCAAAATCTTCAACTTGTCGCCTATTAAGAGGAAGAGGTCTGTCAGGGTTTATTTTCTGTTCTTGTGTTGGGTTCTAAAAAAAAAATTGTATATCTGAAGAAATTCTTTTTGTTTTCTTACAGGGTCATGTGAGGTCACATAAACATCTTTTAAGTAGTTATCCAACTGTTCATGTTTTTTCTGACCTTCCATAAACTCTTGAGGGTATTCTTTAAAAATATTTCTTTATTCAAGCCCCTTCGAATAAAGAGAAACTCACCTTTTATTAATCTCTCATAATCTAGTTGATCACTTTTGTGTTTAGGTGCCGGAGTTGGCTTATCTTTCGATATAATTTTATGTGCCCTACTTTCAATATTAAAATTCCGAAAAGGACGACCCATCATAGACATGACTTTTCCCATCTTCGGCTTTAAAATTGAATTTGAGGTTAAGTTTAACCTCAAAGATTGCTAAAATTTCTTGGTATAACAGTAGGCAAAATGTGAAGAAGTACCTTACGTATCCAGTTTTAATTATTATGGGAGACTTATTTATTTCATAAGACCTGATAATATTTCATAATTTTTATTTTCTATTTCTCAAATTCGATCACATTGCTGAGACAAGGACAGATTGATAGAAAAAGACAAAGATAGAACGCCTATTATGACCTTTTTTTTTGATTTTTAAATCTGTAAATATTTTAAATCATGAGCGTAGATCAAATAACTATCAAATATCACGCAATTGTAATTCGTAATTAGACAAATGTTTTAATTGTAAAATTTTAGTATAATTTAAATTAACGTTTCGCTTTTTCATTAGATTATCTTATGTGTTAATAAAAGTCTAGAAATAAAATAAATAATTTCTAATTTGAACCTGTTTGATACGCCTATGGAAGAAACGCTATCTCCATTGTCGCAAGCAGCGTGCATAGCTACCAAATTGAGAAAACGGAAGTAACTAGGCGCTACATTATTTTCAACTGAAAATGGATGAAACAACGAATTAACAAATATTTAACTTAAAATAATGGGGTGTTTTATTATTTCCGATTAATTTCCTGTATGAAGATATAATTTATATGCTAAAATAATGGCATTTAGTTCTAAATAAATAGTTTTCTAAGGTTGGCAGATTCTGGAATTTGACACTGTGTAAGATGGCTGGTATCTGAATCTTGGTAAATTGTCTTTGTTTTCATTACAGATTTAAGTGCCTTAAAAAGTGATTTAGCCTTAAATAACCGTATAGTTGAATGTAATCGAAAGTTTATTGTGTGGTGCGTGTGACGTAGTGGAGTGTAGAAGCCCTATGATGAAAATAATGTGTTAAGTGTTCGTAAATTCCTCCACATAGAATGAGATAGATTGACAATTGACACTTCAAAATCTGTCAGTTCTTGCAGCAGATTCCATTTGTTTTAGAAGAATAAAAGGTAATTGTTGGCTAGGTTGTTTAAATAAATTTATCCTTGATGAGATGAATTGGTGTTAGACAGTAACAGATTAGATGTCACGCACAATGCCAAAGAATGTATGACTGGAATGCCGTGCGAGTGAGACATTTGATTGTAATTTGGCACATAGCTCTACTAGCGCCTGAAGCATTGTATCCCATGCACTATGACAGATGCTATGCCTAATCTTTTATTCCTACTTTGGCCTACGCTTTAATCCACACCAAACGCCCCCTGAGTTTATCTCAACAAACGCACAAAATTCGCTTTTCTTTCCAATCTCAACAACTAATAGTCATAGTCGCAGCTTTTTATGAAAGCAAATCACCAAACTGGACCATAAGAATGTAAATTAATCAATTAAAACATGCCATACAAAGACAGAACCACTCCAATTATTCCTTGGAGACTTCTTTACTTAACAACTAAGCACAATTTTACTGTTTATTAAACGTAAAAAATTGTAAAAAAGAATATAAAAAAGCATTTTATCGATATACATTTTTTGGAGTAATAATTATTTGAAAGTACCTATTTTTCACGTGGTACATAAAAAATTGCAATTGTTCACGCTTATTGGTAAGCGACCTTTTTTACCGCTCATTATTGTTGCTCATTACGTAATGAATTAACAAGAAATTGACATCAATGGTTAAAATCTAGCAGAGTGTAAAATCACGATTTGTGAGAGCTGAATGAATTCATTATTATTATTAAATACCAAGTGGCGACTGCATATTTCGTTGTGGTTTATGCATTTTTTAAATAGTTTTCTAAAAATATGAATAAACAGTCTCAGTGTTAATATAATTTTATTTGAGATCAAAAGTTTTATTTTACTACAATGGAAGAATCTCGTTTATTAAAAAAATTCCTTTAAACTTTTGTCAGAACTTGAAATTTTACGGCTGCAATAATAAAACCGCACACATCCGATTTGACGTTGAAACCGAAATTTTTCCATGGCAAAAATGGATTATTTAAGAAGTCCAAGGATCAAGAAAAAGTGTTTGATTAACCTATCTGTTTTTTTTTTTGCTTTACGCTTTTACATATCTTGTAAATCTATTATTTATAAAATATTCCAATAAGTTGCATTAAATAAATAAAACTCCAAATATCAAAGCGCTTTTGAAATTTGTTGGAATTTCAAGCATCTATTCCTCTTGAGTAATTTGGAATTATCAAAACAGGTCACAGTATGAGAGCTCGTTATGGACGTAAATTTTCACTCGACGATTTGATAATATGTACGTCAAATGATTGATAAAAACGTAAACGAATTTTTTCAATGATTTATTTTTCTTTTATGTTAAAAAGCGATAATGTCTTTGTCTGCACTTCTCTTTCAAGAATGAAAACGTCATTTTCACGTGCATCTTTGAGGATCCACGCCACATTAACAAAGCAGTGAAGCATGATTTATGCGTTCATGAAAACTTCCACTCTTCATTTATGTTTTGCAAAACTTGATCGTGCGATTACCTATTGTATTTAGAATTTAAATTGACGAAATTATGCACAAATTTAACAAGATAAAATTTGATAGTTTACAATTTGCAGAGCGACGTTTCATATCGAACTCGAAATAGAAATAGAAATCAACTCATACTCTTATTTTCGGAGTTGGAGAATTTTGCAGAATGCCACTAAACCACTCCTTGAATTAAAGTGAAAATATAATCAATCGCGATTTGCTCTGGGATGGGGTTTTCTGTAGAATTATCTCTAATTTGTGTAAAAATAATTGTAAATATTTTATTTTTGATTGCAGTTGTAAAGTCGAATCAACTGCAAGAATCCCCAGGAGTTCGTCGATCCTCTCTTGTCTTCCAATGTATGCAATGTATGAATGGGCGTAATTGTAGTGCATACTCATGTGCGGGGAGCCATGTGAATCGCTAGTGTGTGGCAGGGCCCAGCATGGGCCAACAGCCTCGGCCCCAACTGAACATGAATCCCAGCGCGCCAGCCCGCTCGCCGGGCTACCACCAAAAGGCCATGGAGGAGATCCAGAACTCGCTGCGACCGTTCGCAAAGAGCGGCAGCGAGGCCGTGGGCTCCAGTGCGGCCAGCACAATTTCGAATTTCTCCGCCACGAGCGGAGTGAGCTCGCTGAGCTCGACGTCCGGCACTAACGGCACCGACAAGGACGTCCTCCAGCTCAGACACACTCTCTCGCAGCTCGTCAACATGGGCTATTCGGAGGAAGCCTCGTTGCGAGCGCTGCAACTCTCCAACTCGCGTCTGGATGGCGCACTCGACTATCTCATGAAACAGCAAATCGATCCCGGAAACAAATGCGGTTACACCAAACTCATACGTAAACCTAGCATAGAAAGAGAATTGGTTCTGCCTCGAGGAAGTCCGGCTTTAGATAGCGGAGCCGGAAGTTCCCGATCTGATAGTCCGAGATTGACCGAAATACATTCGACAGTCAGCCGTTATTCTCCGAATTTCAGCGAACCGCCACCGCCACCACCTCCTCGAAACACGCCGCCACCTCCTCCACCACCTCATGTCCCATCGTCGTATCCTGCATTAAACAACGTTCAACAATTATTAAAACGAATGTCGCCTGCTCCTATCGTACCAGCAAGAGCGCCACCTGCCGTACCTTCATACAACTCGCCGGCGTTACAACAAAGAGGAACTAGTCCTGTTAGTAGTGTATCCTCCTCTTCCGGTCGGCAACCTATGGTCGTCCAGAACGGTCCTCAAGTCCAACAACAACTATCTCAACAAATCCAAGCTCTGAGTTTGTATCAAAGTAGCAGCGCTTCAACTGCCGAACCTCCACCTCCTTATCCTCTAATCCCGCCTAGTCCTTCCAACTCGGCTCCTCCTCCTCCTTCCTACTCCGCCTCGATGCAAAATCGGCACAGTCCCACTCAAGACTTTCGTAAAAGCCCTTCGTCTGGTATTTATTCTGGCTCCACCTCTGCCGGTTCTCCTAGTCCTATCCCTGTCTCGACGACCACGCCTACAGCTATGGCACGCCCTACTCCTCTCCTCGCATGGGGTGCCCGCCAAACAAAAACGCAACCTCCCATCATCATGCAATCTGTCAAAAGTACTCAAGTCCAAAAACCCGTACTTCAAACTGCCGTCGCACCGACTGTTCCTCAAATCCCGACGTCTCCTACGAGTACTACTCCTTTAGTCACATGTGCACCTCCTCCATCATATACCGCTTCTATCCAACAGAAAGGCTACACGACGAGTCCTAAACCGGCGGCTCCGTTGCCTACCACTACCTCTGTGGTCGTACCGACAACCGAACCGCCGAGTTATGCCAGTACTATGCAAGCGAAAGCTAAAGCTCAACGGGGGATGGGGCTGTCACCGCATCCACCGCCACCTTACTCGGACGAAAATCATGCTCAAGTCAATACAGTTGAATGTGCGATGTCGCCGAGAGCGTCGCCGAATATTCATCCACCTCTGCAGAGGAAATACTCGCCTGTCGTGTCTTCGGAATGCACGGCGTCGAGGTCCGATAGTCCGCAGTCGACGTCGTCAGGGGATAGTAGGCCTTCGTATCCGGATAATGGAGCCCCACCACTGCCACCAACAGGTTGGTTAATTGCAATAATATCGATTTTTTTACCACGGATAGGTCATTTAAAAGCCTTGTTCATTAAAAGTTATTAAAAATTATTTGATTTTATACAAGCTGTTCCGTCTAACACCCCACATTAGAAGTATTGGGAGTTTGAATAATCGTATTTATTTGAAAATTGGTACATAGCCATAAACCCTTAAGTCCCCCTAAAATATTTTTAAGATGGGGCGGCACTTTCGCTTATACCGGAAGTCGGTTTCAACTTTCTTATTTTAAATGGAAAGGTATATTTTTTACTGCGTTTTTGGATTAATTGGGTTATTCTAAGGGAGTTTTAATCAGCTTTCCCTATACCTAAATTTAGCCGTATTTGAAATATTTGGAGTTTTTCAAAAATTTTTGGATATGCACCTTCCATTTTAAAAATCGGTAACTCTGCCATTTTTTAAGATTTTAAATTCTTTTTTTTTGCGTTTGAAAGAGACAGCTTAGATCCTTTTTCTGGTGTTTTCAAATTTCTAAAAAAAAAAATAGCATACCCCAATTTTTATTTTACTAAATAGAAGAGAATTTAATTGTGCATTGATCTGTATTAACATTCCCTATACCTAAATTTAATAATTTTCATGTTATGGACTTTTTGTTAAGAGTACAGAAAATTTATTACTAGCCACACCCGTTTTCACATAGTTTGCTATGGAAATTAAAAATGTCAAAATTTTCTCTAAAAATACATCAACAGTGAATTACTATTTGACAAATAGTGCCAAAATATGGAGAATCAAAGTTGTGAAAACTTAATTTATGATAGGTTCTACCATGCGATCATTATTTAAAGCTAACTAACAAGTGAGAAAAATTTATTTTTGTTTAATGAACGACATTATAATTTTGTTACACTCTCCATAAATACAAAATAAATTAATTAAATCTAAGTTTGAGTAGCTTTGAGTCTCCATATGTTGGCACTATTTGTCAAATAATAAGTCACTGTCGACGTTTATTGAGAAACAATTTTGACATTTTTTATTTCCATAGCAAACTATACGAAAACGGATGTGGCTAGTAATAGATTTTCGACAGTMTTAACAAAAAGTCACCATAACTTAAAAATTATTAAATTTTGGTATAGGAAATGTTAATACAGATCGATGCAGAATTAAATTCTCTTCCATTTAGTAAAATAAAAATTGGGGTATTTCATTTGGAAAAGTTGAGTTATGGGTATTAGAATTATTATAAAAGTAACCTTAAAATTTTAGGGTTTGTTAATTTTTTTTCAAAATTTGAAAACACCGGAAGAAAGATCTAAACTTTCTCTTTCAAAAGCCAAAAAAACCAATTTAAAATTTAAAAAAATAGCAGAGTTACCGATTTTTAAAGTGGAAGGTGCAGATCCAGAAATTTTTGAAAAACTTCAAATATTTCAAAAACGGCTAAATTTGGGTATTGGGAAAGCTGATGAAAACTCCCTTAAAATAACCCGATTAATCCAAAAACGCAGGAAAAAATATAGCTTTCCATTTAAAATAAGAAAATTGAAACCGACTTCCTTGTATAACCGGAAGTGCCGCCATCTTGAAAATATTTTCATTTAGGAGGACTTAATGCATTATGGCTATGTACCAATTTTCAAACAAATGTGATTATTCGGACTCCCAATACCTTTAATGTGGGGTTTAGACTGATCAGTGATCAGTCGTCATTTTTAGAACAAAAAACTCTTTATTTGCTTTAATTAGTACGCAGGTACTCTTTGTTTGTTTTAAGTAAAGAAACAGTTTTTGTTTATTCTAATTAGAACAAAGAAAGTGCAATTGACCATTTTTAAGCAAAAGAAGAGTCTTAAAGCAAATACTTTTATAAAAATGCAATTTTAAGTAAGATTAACAATCACTTCTCCAATATGGAGCAATGCTTGATTAGCAAACCTTAACTTCAAAAAATCGTATGAAAATTTGGATTTCAACTAATAAAAAGATGCTCTACACGATGGTGACGAAGAAAAAAAAATACTCGTAGGGTTTTTCTTAGACTACTTTGATTTACTTCGAACTTCTTCGAACACTGTTCGAAGAAAAGTTTGCCAATATTCAATTTCAAATTGCATATCATTCTAAAGGGCAAGTCCATCCCTTTAAAATGGTCTTTATTTGAAGGAAATCGGCCTAATAGGTATTGAGTAATGATTTTTTTAAAGTTAAAGTAAAGTATTTCAATTATAAAAAAAAATATTTAGTTCAAAGTGTGTGGACTTTTTGAAATTTTTTTAGTGCATTTGATTCGTCTCACTGAGACGAACAATATGATATAAAATTTGTCAAGTTGTCACGACATGACTTTTTTTTTGTCGCCCTGTGTTGTTCATTAAAAGTTACTAAAAATTATTCGATTTTATATTGTTTGTTGTTTTTTTCGTATTAGGAGTCTGGCAGGAGTAATTTTTTTATTACAAGTTTACAAAACTGTTTTGATTTTCACGTAACACTTTTAAGATTATAATTATTGTTATAAAAAGTCAAAAGTAGAACGAAGATTTAATATTTTGCGCTTGTGTTTTTCCTGCAGCATCTTCATCTGTCAAAAACAACCACAACGCGATAAACGGAAATGGCGAGAGCAAGAATAACGACATCCCGCCGCAATTGCCTCCTTACACAAAAATAAAACATCAGTCACCGATACCGGAACGGAAAAAGATCAGTAAAGAAAAAGAAGACGAAAGGCGGGACGGCAAAGTGAAAAATTACTCGCCTCAAGCATTCAAATTCTTCATGGAACAGCACATCGAGAACGTCATCAAATCATATAAACAGCGAATGTCTAGAAGAATTCAACTAGAAAATGAAATGACAAAAATTGGATTGAGTTCCGAGGCGCAAAAGCAAATGCGTAAAATGCTCTCGCAGAAAGAATCGAATTATATAAGACTCAAACGAGCGAAAATGGACAAAAGTATGTTTGTTAAGATCAAACCGATTGGGGTTGGAGCTTTCGGAGAGGTGACTCTGGTGAGGAAAATTGATACGAAACATTTATATGCGATGAAAACTTTGCGAAAAGCTGATGTGCTAAAGAGAAATCAAGTGGCACATGTGAAAGCGGAAAGAGATATTCTTGCTGAGGCTGATAACGAATGGGTTGTTAAATTGTATTACTCGTTTCAAGATAGTGATATTCTTTATTTTGTTATGGACTATATCCCGGGTGGGGATCTTATGTCGTTATTGATCAAGTTGGGAGTTTTCGAAGAGCATTTAGCAAGGTTGGTATTCTTGACTGTAATTTTGTCAGCTTTTACAAATCAATTTCTAGATTTTATATTGCGGAACTGACTTGTGCAGTCGAAAGTGTGCATAAAATGGGTTTTATTCATCGCGATATCAAGCCGGACAATATTTTGATTGATAAAGAAGGTCACATTAAACTCACCGATTTCGGTTTGTGTACAGGATTTAGGTGGACACATAATTCGAAATATTACCAACCTAACGGTACTTTTAACGTAATAAGAGATTTATTTTTATTTCGTTGTTGTTTTTTAAGGTGACCACAGTAGACAGGATTCTATGGACCCGATTGAAGATTGGGGAGAAGAGTGCAAATGTATGAAACCATTAGAAAGGAGAAGACGAAGGGAACATCGATGTTTGGCACATTCATTGGTTGGTACTCCTAATTATATCGCACCTGAAGTGTTGCAACGTAAAGGATATACGCACGTCTGTGATTGGTGGAGTGTCGGTGTTATCCTGTATGAAATGTTGGTGGGGCAACCTCCGTTTCTTGCGAATACGCCTGCAGAAACACAACACAAGGTAAAATACATATTTAATTCAAATTTCACTCAATTTGATCGTGTTTTATTTATTTTAGGTGATAAATTGGGAGACGACGTTGCAAATACCAAAGCAAGCGAATCTTTCCAAGGAAAGTACTGACTTGATATTAAAATTGTGTTGTAGTGCGGACAAACGCTTAGGTAAAAATGCTAGTGAAGTGAAGTCGCATCCATTCTTCAAAGACATAGATTTTGACCGAGGTTTGCGTCGTCAGCCGGCTCCGCATATACCTCGCATCGAATATCCTACCGATACGTCGAATTTCGACCCGATCGATCCCGACAAATTACGAAATTCGGCGTCGATCGATTCGAGCACTTCTGACGAACTGACCGACAGTTCTAAGCCTTTCCATGGCTTTTTCGAATTTACATTCAGGCGCTTTTTCGATGACGGAGGTGGTCCAGCTTTTAATAAAATCAGCCTAGACGATAATGACAATCAAGGCTCTGTGTATGTGTAATCTTCTTGGAAATGTTCCGTGGTGGACCCTCGGAACATGGATTTTCGCAGGTTTTTGCTCTTGCCAACTGGAATTTGTATGCAAGATTTTCAGCAGGAAATTGTGTTTTGCTCTCGTGTCTGGTTAGTTCAAATAAGGACTCGTAGGCCTTATTTAATGATGGTTTAGTGCCGCTTTCGTTACTTTAGGTTTTTAGTCAAATGTGACGTAACGGAAGCGGTGCTTATTTTGCAACCAAAGCCTTAAAATAGCTGCCTTGTTCTACTTTTAATAGGAGAAAATCAGTAACCAATCGATGGCACTTGCAATTTCAACGAAATGTGGAAAATAGCGAATGACAGTTAGTAATTGACAATTGTTTTTCCCATTTTAGTAGTTACGAACGAAAAACCTACCAAAAGTCAGCCACTTTGGTGGTTTTCTCCTATAAGAAAGCTCAAATTTTCATACTTTGGTAAGAACTGAAAGATTCTATAGTACAATTCGCTATTTGAATTTAAAAATTTGTATAGCGTGTAAATTATTTAAAAAATTGGAAAAATGGTGCTAATTTTTATTCATACTTTAAATGTGATATCTACTGAATGTCTATAAAAATTATTTCTGACATGTTGAAATGTTGTTTCGTTTTAATTGCATTTATGTCGAGCTTTACCCGTACTTAAAGCCTCAGTTTCGACGTCAACAGGCATTTAATTAAAAACAAATCGAAATCGTTGATTTGTTGCCACAGTGATTGAGCTGTTTTGAAATATTTTTATGGATAGTCAGTTGTATGCAACAATAAATTATTATTATTGTATATTGTGTACAATACTTTAGGGATTTGTAAATATAATTAAATCATCGAATGTGTAATGATCGGTCTAAAGGTACTACTAACCACTTGCGGGATTTTTGTTAAGTTGTTAGATGGAAAATTGTGAATTAGTTGAAGAGAGCAAGAAAAATTAACAAGCACTGCCTTTTTTAACTAAAAAAAGAATAATTATTTAATAATCTTGCAGTAAATCAAAATAGTTTTGTAAGAGCATAATGTTTAATTTTTTTCTCAGAAAAAAAAATGCTGTGTTACAATTAGTTATAACGATACGCTCATAACTTAATGCTTAGTTAAAATATTTATTACATTTCTCCTCATTCTAAAATTTATTTGTAACACCCTCTTAGCTTAAGTATGGATTAATTTAGCATATAATTTTTCTAGTCTATTGGAATTTTTTTATCGTTTAAATATATTATTGATTTAAATGTTGTTTATAGGTCATAATGTTGTTCCTTAATTATGCAAGAAAAAATAGTAAAAAGCGATGCACTTAGGAAATTATGATTTGAGTGCCTACATAGTGTAAATGTGTGTAAATAATTATATATTTTTGGAAACATCCCGTCTTGTGATTTGTAACCTTGAGGCTACGCCACTGTGATGACACGCCGCTGATTGATAATAATGTGGCATTTCGCACGCATGCGTAGACAATCGAAAATCTGACAGTTCAAAGGGGCGTTCTAATCTGCGAACAATAAAAGAAGAGTGAGTCGCCATTTTGTTCGCTATAAAATCATAAAGATCTTACCAAAATTATATAAAACATCTCCGACCGAAACCAAAACTTAGCGTTTGAAATGTGTCTGTGATATAAACAGTGGAGTGTAAATAGCGGTATATTTGTGATATGCACTAATAATTGTCTGTGTGTTTTTATTTTGGTGCATTTTGGAGAGGGTGTAGATCAGCTGAAGGGACAAAATGAGTACGAAAGACGATGAATACGATTATTTGTTCAAAGGTAAGAGTCTAAATCGGGCCCTTGTTATCAAAATTTGACGTTGCGGACCTTGGAGGTAATTGACACTTGACGTAAATTTTGTTCCTGTGTGTGACAAGTCAGCAATGTCAGAGGTCAACTTTGAAGTCCTTACACGAAAAATAATCAATTGAAGAGGCATCAGGGTGCCCCCTTCATGCCTTTTGTGTATTAGTCACGCACAACTTCAATTAGGATAATCAATGAATTTGGCTTTTAAACCGTACCTGACAAAACGGTTCAAAATGCAAATAAACCGCTATTTACGTGCCGATTCTTTTTGCAGTTGTCCTTATTGGAGACTCCGGGGTAGGAAAAAGCAATCTGTTGTCTAGATTTACTAGGAATGAATTTAATTTGGAATCAAAATCAACAATAGGAGTGGAATTCGCGACTCGTAGCATGCAGGTGAGTTGAACCTCCAATAACATAAAAGGTTATTGTTATTGCATCTTATTTAGTCACGATTCGAATTTCCCGTAAATATCATAATCCCACTTACTCAAATCTCTTAGTCATATTATCAGATTCCGACAAATATTGGTGGGTGTAAGTGGACGCATAAACAGCTCAAGAAACATTGTTTTCCACTCTATCAATCTTGTGGAAGACGTCATAATCAGCTGTCTGAAGATATCCGATTATCGTTAATGCACCGTTGTGTCATTGGGTTGTGAAAGTTAACATCCCATGGCACACATATCATTCACCTAATTTGCATTATATATTTTTTTAAATCGGGAATCTGGGTTAAGTAAGTGTTGGTGGAAACGCAAAATTAACCATAATATTCAGAACAGCTCTTTTTAATAGTGAACTTCTGTGAGAACTGCAGAAGATTACAATGTAATGCATTTTTTTATGCCACACTCATTACAACACATAACAACAATGAAAATGTTGCCACTAATGACTATGACAAAGAAAAATCAATGCGTGTCTGTGATTCATACACATTTTTAAACTGTGCCAATTGGGTGACAAAATTTTCTGTTTGAGGAAATGTATTATCTAAAGTGCTGTTGTGGAAATTTGCTCCAGTTTGGTTATAAATAATTTAATGATTAATGGTAATTCGTGTTTCTGTACATGACGTCACACCTGATTAGGTTAATGTAGAGAAAATGTAAAGCAATCAGTGATTTTTTTTCGTTACGATCATAAAATACTCATATCGTTTGTGCTCCAAACGTAATTAAATGATTCCATACAACTTTTCATGAATATTTTTAAGCATTATTGATTAATATTTTACACTGATGTTGAGTTCTGGAACATCGAAGACTAGTAATTTCTTCGTTTTACGTAAAAAAAAATGTTTTATTCGTCATTTAATTTTTTTTATTGACTAGCAATTAGAGTTCTTGAAGACACGTTTCCTTGTAGTGACGTTCAAATATTATTTAAAATTATAGGATTGGTAAATAGACAGTAGAAGATGAAATTTGTTTTCAGGAGGAGGTTAAACTTTAGACAGTTCTAAACATGTTTTCGAACTTTTATTTATTAGGGAATAAAATAACCGTCCTGAGAAATAAATTTGCGGTTCAACCTTAAAGATATTGACCGCCATCAAACCTCAAGATAAAAACAGTTTTGAAACTTTTGTAAACGAAATGTGGTTGAATCCTCAGGGGAATAGATTTTTAAGAGTTCTTTCGACGTTGAGCTATAACATGACTAAATAAAAAATAAACTTCACTTTGTTGCTTTTCAGAGTTTTCTTTATTATAAAAACATTTAATCGATTTTGATGGTTTTTGTTCTGTTATACAGTATGTCCCCGGATTGAGTTTACAAGAGGAAAAAAATTATCTTTGATTTTACGCCAAAACTGCAAAGGAAAAAAAATTTTCCTTTACTTGAAACCAGAAAATCTGTAATTAAAACTTCATTATTCTAACTCAGTAGAAAGAAAAGTTCATTTTTCTCTTGATTTTGGACTTTTTATTATTTTGACAATGATGTAACTTTGACAAATAAATGAGTTTACGCAAGTTAAATAACAAAAATGTTTGTGAAAAACATAATTTTAATAAACAGCAACTCAAAGAAACAGCTTAAGATAAAAACCAAAGTCATTTTTAACAAGAACTATTATTATTAATTTAATAAATTATTTGTCAAAGTGACATATAGTTGTCAAATAATTAAAACCGTTAATGTGATAAGACTTAAAAAGCAGAGAAAAATTATTTATTAAGTCCAAAGTCCAAAATCAAGAGAATAATGAAGTTTTAATTACAGATTGGCTGGTTTCAAGTAAAGCAAAAACTTTTTTTCCTTTGCAGTTTTGACGTAAAATCAAAGATAAAAAAAATTTTCCTCTTGTAAACCCAATCCGGGGACATAATGTACAGTTGGAGACAAAATACTTTGGTCATCAATGTCACTTGAGAGACATTAAATTGTAAAGCATGCTTTAGGGCTGTTAACCTTATTTTTAGATACAGTCATAGTTAGATACTGTCAATCATAGTTGACAAGTTGTATGTTCATATTTTTGATAGGAAAATATAATAGCTGTCATTAATTTGAAATTGTCATTCATTTTAACGTTAAAGCTTGAATTACACTAAAGTGTCAGAAAAGTGACGACCAAAGTATTTTACCTCCAACTGTACATACTATATTAGTGGAGTTGCATTTTTCGTTCGTTAAAATAAAAATACAACGAAACTAATTTATTTATTTTACCCAAGAAAGTCTATATTTATTAGGAATTATTATACAGGGTGTCAGAACTTGCGTACCAGAGAAAAATGCCAAGCAAGATAAGATACCAGAAACATAGAAAATATACCTGTAGCAAAATTGTTGTCTATTTACTGTAGAATTTTAAATTATTGGAAATGGTGTTATTTTTAACAATGATCAAAAATTAACATTGCCATTTATTTTTATTCATGTCGAGTGTTTGAATTACCGTCTTTTTGCAACTTATAACTGTATAATATTTTAAAATTATCATCTAGGCTAGACAATCCTTGAGGACAATTTATTTTGTCGTATTTTAATATGAATTATTATTGCAACGTCGATATTTTACCTTTCATACCACCTTGACAAAAACCGCTCGACTATGCATAATTTGCCATATTCGTAATTGTTGATGGTAGCGTTTTTTACGAGTCTCGGAAACGAGCGAAATGAATCTAATTTTAACACGTGTACAGTCTTGAAAGCAAACTCTGATGCTTGCAGGTCGATGGTAAAACAATAAAGGCACAAATCTGGGATACGGCAGGCCAGGAAAGATACCGCGCCATCACAGCAGCTTATTACAGAGGGGCTGTTGGTGCTCTCTTAGTCTACGACATTGCTAAACATCTGACTTACGAAAATGTGGAACGTTGGTTGCGTGAACTCAGAGATCACGCAGATCAAAACATCGTCATTATGTTGGTTGGTAATAAGTCGGATTTAAGGCATCTACGCGCCGTCCTAACCGAGGAAGCTAAAGCTTTCGCTGAAAGAAACGGCCTTTCATTCATAGAAACGTCAGCTCTTGATTCGACTAACGTCGATTTGGCTTTCCAGAATATACTCACAGAAATCTACCGAATTGTCTCACAGAAACAAATTAGAGATCCTCCCGAAGGCGACGTTATTCGACCACATAACGTGGAACCAATAGACGTAAAACCAACGATGAACACTGATGGTGTGCGCAAACAGTGCTGTCAGTAGTGTACACACTGTAGCAATACACTAGCCCAAACACAGGTGAGACTGATAATAATTGATTGAGTTTTGTTTGTAATTTTTTTTTGTTGTAGAATTCTGCATCATGTAGTGAGCCTCTGTACCACCCACCCATGGCTATTTGTGTTTTTGTTATAATTTACATAAATCTGAATGTCCTAATGCTAACATATTGTGACTTAGCGTGGAGCCCCCACATCTGTTTGCTGCGCACTTAGAAGCTGTTACAGTTTTTGTATACTACTATAATTTTCAGTAAATTTTTTCTATATAAAATATATCTGTAGGTATTTAAGTAATGAAATGTTTATTTATCAATAATATGCTTTAAGGCATGTGATCATATTTAACGATAGTTTTACCAGTTCAGGTACAGACCTAAGTTAAGAATATCTGTGTCTCTTGGTAGATATTGAAAAACAATAATCTTTGGTTTTATTTTTAAATGAAATATTGTAAATGTGCTCTGTTATTTATGATTGAAAAATTTACTACAATATAATAACCGTTATTTACTGATTTTGTTGGTTTGGTAAGTTCAGACTTACGATTGTGCTAGACGTAAACTATCGTTTCAGAACCTGGAGTAAATTACCAACAGTACCATTCCAATGTATTTTTTTTCACAAGTATTGTGAAAGACTGTTGTCCAATTTGCTCAGATTAAGGAGTGATAGTTGAAGTTACTAAAATACGAGTTACAAAATGTGTTTTTGTTACTACCTTTAGCTATATTAAAGTTAATAGATTGAGATTGTACACCTGTAACAAAATAACGGTCTTTGTATGTAATATAAGCTTATTCGAAATTTATTATACATTTAGTTTTTAAATAAAATTTCTGTAATTCAATGCGATGTTTTATTGACTGAAAATTGCGTTTTAATCTTTAAAAATGTACTTACATATGCAACCAACTACACAATGTTTTATGAAAATTTCTAACAAAAATACATTTTTTATTTTCAACTTGTGGGACTATTTTGACTTGGTTTTTATTACGAGTATTTAGTATTTTAATCATTGAAAAAAATTACTCATTTCGGCCTAAAGCACAATCGACTTTTCTGTTACTTATAACTAGAATAGTATTCGGGCGCAAACTAAAATACCTGTCAAAGAAGTCAACCGTATAACCTCACTTTTGATGCAATAAAAATGTATGAAATGTTTTAATTTGTGTCTTATAATTTACGAGAAAATTTATCCATAATGTCTTTTTACATTTTAAATAATTCTCGCAAGTAAGTATAATTGAATATTGTTCTTATTTTTTTTCTAAACTGGAACATTTTTTATTGTTGTTACTTTGGTCGGTCTTTGGTAAATAAGAACTGATTCGATTCTTAGAATTGATAATATTTCTTTCTAGAATTTATTATTGTTTATAAACAAGACTTGTTTCACCAAAATATGGAAAAAAATCAAAAGTTTCTCCACAATCAATACGTTAAATTATTGAATAAATATTAAATAACTTTAACGTAGGTGTATTGAATAATTTAATGTGTAGTAATGGTTGATCACTAATTTGTTGTCAAAAAATGAAGACGCAGTTCTTCACCACAAAGCGTATAAAAATAAGATAAATAAAGATGAAAACTTTATATAATCTTTATCATAATTTTTGCTAAAACTATTTGAATCACGTATCTTTCAGTGGCAGCACGTAACTAAACCATTTTCTAAACATTCTTGTCATGATAATGATATTTAAACGAAAAATTACAATCAGTTGATTCCTGGTTATAATTAATTGCCTTTTGACGCAATTTATTATATATCATTTTTATTTATATTACGAATCTAAAAAGACTATTGCGCTATCTCAAATTGCAAATTTACTGTCTTTGGTAATAAATTGATTATATTTTGAATTTTAAAATTAAAAATTAAGGTCAAGTGTATTTTCAAAAGTTTTGAATCGTTTTTTAAAGATTCAGGAAAATTCAGAGATTGGTCCACTATTTTAACTGTGCAAAATTAACTGAGACAATGCTACAATACCGCCAGTTTTTATCGCAATTTAACACTTTGGGTCTATAAATAAAATTTTATGTGCCCAACAATATCAATAAATTAAGGCAGTATCTAAGCCACGTGATAGATTTGCATCAAATCAAATCAAACTTTGACCAATCTTGCGATATTTTTGTATTTTGCAATAACCACATTTTTTACTTATTCGAATAATCTGGTCTATAAATCATAAATTAACTTTTTTGGTTATCTCTTATAAAAATAATGATCAATTGAATTGATTTTTTGTTTGTTTTTTAAATAATTACAGAATATGTCAGCGGACCATCATCTACAAAAATTGGGGTTCAAATTTTACAAATAAGGGTTTAAGAATATCCTCCAATTTTATATCTACAAGAAACTTGTCAAGCAAGGAACGAACTTCTGGTAAGTATCAGAAAAACCAACAATACGGAAGGCCAAGGCAGATAACCCCCAGCATCACTATAAGTACGATAAAGACACTCAAAAGTAACCCATTTGCTTAATTCGATTAGTACTCACAACATGTCTCCGTTATTAATTATTTCTGAATTAACGATTTGGACAGTATACTCTTTAAATGAACAAATATTTTCTAAAGGTCTGGAAAAAACACACGTCATATTGGAACTTCATCAATCATGACATCAATTTTTAACTACTGGTAAAATTAATTTTTCTCTTTTTTTTTAAATCTAGATCGATTTGAATGGAAAGGAATTTTGACTAGATTCGTTCCAGTAGGAATCTGTCTCATTGCTGTGATGCAATGGCGTTCTTACCGAAAAAAATCCTCAGAACGCTTGGCCAAAAAATGGGAAATCGACTGTTACTGTATGTTGCCTTTGAGAACGGTTTCTCGGTGGTGGGGCTGGTTTGCAGGTATAAAATATTTTTCTACTTAATTGAACCTAATTAATTTGATTTTTATTATGTAGACAAAAAAATACCGGAGTTTTTACGACCTGTAGTCTATGGTTTGTATGCTAACACTTTCGGTGTTAAATTGTCGGAAGCTTTACATGAGGATTTAAGGTCTTATCCAAGTCTAGCGGACTTCTTTGCGAGGCCTTTGAAAAACGGAATTCGGACAATCGACCACGAGAGTGATTTAGTTTCACCTTGTGACGGCACTGTGTTACATTTTGGCACGGTTCACACTGGCGAAATTGAACAAGTTCGTATTTTTATCAATAATTCTAGAAGTTTGAAAGAGTTCTTTTCGGTTATCAACTTGTTATTCATTGACTCGTTTTATCAATTCGTGTAATTTGCTATTGTTTACAACATTGTAGACTGTTTGGTTTCCTTTGAGACACTGTTTTTATTACATACATGAGTCATGGTATTTTTTTAGGTGAAAGGTGTAACTTATTCGCTTGAAAATTTCTTGGGTGAAAACACTTGGAATAATAACAATAACAACGTCAAAGATTACAGAACGTCACTGCTCCACAACGCCCACACTTTGTATCAGTGTGTTATTTATTTAGCCCCTGGGGACTACCACCGGTAATAAAAAACTATAAAAAAAAAACATTTTTTGCTTATTTTTTTTTCAGGTTCCATTCGCCTGCAAATTGGAAACCAACCCACCGGCGCCATTTCCACGGAGAACTCTTATCAGTGAGTCCCAGAATCGCTAAATGGGTTCCTGGGTTGTTCTGTCTCAATGAACGCGCTGTGTATTTGGGTTCATGGGATCACGGATTTTTCTCATATGCCGCAGTTGGTAAAAAATCTAACATTTTGTTACTATTTATTATTGAAAAATGTATTCTAGGTGCCACAAATGTAGGGACAGTGAAAGTCTACTGCGACAAAACTTTACACACAAATCACCCCAAAAAGTCAGATCGTTGCAAAGATCTGTGTTTGGGAAATGACACGTATTTTAAAAAAGGGGATCCGTTTGGGGAATTTCGAATGGGTTCTACTATTGTCTTAGTATTTGAAGCACCCGTCAATTTTCAATTCACGATTTTACCGGGTGATAGAGTACAAATGGGTCAAGGCTTAGGTCGAGTTGGGCAACATAAATTTGTTGATAGATTACAACCGACCCCTCAATTCATTAATAAAGCGATTTAAATCTTAGAATAAGTATTAAGTAATATTTTAATTGTGATACTTAACTACGCTTTACAAATAAATATGTCTTTAATTTTTATCTTGTGTTTTTGATTTAAAATAATATTAGCTCTGTTCGCGCAGCATTTTCAGAACTAACCCTGAACTAGTGCTAGATTTATTTATTTTTCTGTACAAGTAGTTAAAATGAAAAAGAAATAACTAAATAAAAAAAATAAATAATTTTTAAAAGATTAAAAAAATAGAAACTGCATTAATTTTTTTTAATAAAATTATGGAGGTGAAAGTTACAGATTTTGAAACTTGAGTTTTCCAGAATATTCATCCGGGTACGCCACTGACCTGGACGCACTTGACATTTCGAGTCAGTGGCGGCGCATTGTCAAATGTGATTACAAATTTTGTAATAACTTTCGAAACTAGTGGTGACAAAGCTGGTTTAAGTAATTAGTGCAATTCCGAGGGTGAAACAGTATTGAATTACATAACAAAATAGAAATCTGTTGTAAGAATAATGATTAAACGCTCGAAATTACCTTCTAACCTAACTTAACAGCTTTTCAAAAATGTTTGATATGTTTCAGATCATGAAGCTCAGGCAGGTTTTGTTGTTAAAAAACTATTTCTTAACATTAGTCGGTTTGTTGGTTTTTGTTATAAAGACAGAAAGTGGACGTAAGTGTTTGGGGGTGTTCGGAATAATTTATTATGAATGTTTTTTTCAGCAAATAATTTACACGTTCATGACGGTGCCACAACGGCTGAAATAATAGCTGGTGATATATTTTTTGAAATAATTGACCCCCTAGAATTAGAATATACATACAGAATAAGGCCTGCCAAAGATTTTGGAGCACCTTTTGTAAGTAAAAAATGCGTTTGGAGGCTTTTTTGTTATGGATTTGTTTCAGAATGAATCGTTTTATATAAAACATGTCCCTCTTGTGCCTATTCAACCAAAATTCGGTTGTACGCCTCCTGAGAATCTTGAGGATATTGAAGGAAATGTTGCTCTAATTGAAAGAGGGTACGTGTTCATTTCCGTTTTCTAATACATTTTATTTTTCAATCTCTTAGGGAATGTTCATTCAAAATGAAAGCAATAATCGCTGAAAAAGCCGGTGCACAAGCGGTAATTATAACAGATGTTTCCAAGCCGACTGAAGAATACTTTATTGAGATGATTGATGATGACTCATCTGATGAAGTTCACATACCTGCAGCTTTTCTCATGGGGAAAAACGGTATTATGATAACAAAAACTCTGGAAAGGTTGAAAAGATCATATGCAATAATTAATTTACCCGTAAATTTAACGTTCACACCAGTACATGAAATGAATCAGCCACCATGGTTGGGATGGTAATTGATACCCCAGTTCTAAGTTGAATGAAACACAAATCAGGGTCAAGTTCCTCAATTTTTAACCCCATTTGGACACTGTACTTATTTTTATTTATTGCCAAATAATTTATTTACTGGTGTGGGGTTGTAATTTTGTACATATTAACATCGTCTGAAATGGCCACTCGTGTGCCATGTGTGGAAAAATTGCTCACCTCTAGTCAACTTAGCAATAATTTTTTAAAGAATTTACAGTTTTACTTGTTTGTACATATCACTTTATTTATTGAAATAAATTTTAAGACGTTATTTATTTCGTTTTTATTCCTCTACCAAACAAAGTAGGGAAAAATAAGGGACTAACACAAAACATTAACTTAATTCCGGAATTTTATTAAAATACCAGTATCCAAGTTGTAAAAATTAACAAATATAAATTACGACCTAGGTCTTTCCTTCTTTTCTTTGTATAACGCTAGTAGGGATACATTGGCTACTTTGACAACCTGTAACCAATAAAATGTAAATTGTCGCCTTTAATGAGGGCTCTTTGCTATACCTTGAACCTAACTCCAGGAATATCACCTACGGCATGACCTTTACGACCGAAACCTGCGACCAAAACTTCGTCGTTTTCCTCAATATGGTTCAAACAACCATCTCTGGGGACGAAAGCGGTGATTTTTTTACCGTTCTTGATCAATTGGACCCTAACACACTTACGGATAGCGGAGTTGGGTTGTTTAGCTTCAACACCTCTGCAAAAACATTAATCATTTCATGTCTCCCTAGACCAATTTTAATGTAATTATAAAAATAAAAAAACATGCACAGATCATACTTGCCTGTTGACGATGTCGAAATCAACTCCCCGCACAGAATTTTCCTGTGATTGAATCAAACTCACCCATTCACAAGCAAATCCTGCGCAGGGCGCTAATTACCCCAGGATTGAAATGTGGTACACATATCAGAGCGTAAAGTCAACCAAATTGACTTCCCAATGGTTCAGAGTACCATTCTTTAATATAGCACTATCAAAATATAAACTAAGGTACCAAGGAAGTACTTTAGTTGTCTCAAAGTGCACTTGTGTCAAAATAAGAAACTCACACTTTTTCAAGTACAATTCCTTTGGCATGTGAAGCACCCCCAAAAGGATTGGCCTTCCAGCGAGTCCCCAAATGAGCTTTTTTGTAATCTTTGTCGGCCCATCGTTGCTCTCGGCGATGGTTCACATGTTTTCTAGCCGTTCTCAAACCGCGGGGCTTGCCTGAAACACAAAAAAACATAAATCACAAAAATACAAATACGACGACGTTGAACAAAGTCTGTGGATCACATTTATAGCAAGAAATATCAATTTTATTTTCATTTAGCAAGAGGATGAAATGGATTTCTTTTAGAGGACTAAAAAGTGAGCGAAGTTACAATCAATATTTTGCAAGATAAGTTACCGTGAAGACACTTGTGGCTAATGAAATATGATGGACCAACACACAAAGTAATTAATTTTGGAAAATTTTGGCAAATTTAATGACTAAAACTTGAAAAAATGTATTTATTTACGGTAATGCATGACACTCACCCATGTTGGCTGCAGCAAAACTTCGGCAAAAGAGGGTCAGGAATGCCAACCTGACGCCGTCTAAAGTCCGAACGTTGGCAACGCCTCGAATTGGATTGTTATTTTTTGAGTTTATCAGTAAACAAACCTTGTCCTGGACTATAAATTGTGTTGCCAGTTTGTTATTAGTGCTCTAATTATGATTTCGTGTCGATTATGTGTGTTAATCAAAGAGCATTGCAATTTTGTTTTTGATTTTTTGAGAAATTGGGGTTATTGTTGATATTATGTTGGTAGTAGACTGGAATCGATCCAATTTTTTTGTGATAGAAGAGGATAAGCGATTTTTGACAGTTCGAAGCGCACTTTTTGTATATTTTTTTAAGCAACCTATCGAGTTCTTGGCTGTATAGCTTTTTTTGTACTTCTATTCTGGACCAAGTTATAATGTTTGCGTGGTTTACGTTTTTGCTCCGTATTTTCTAACAATTAAGGTAATTATCAACGCCTTCTTTTGATAGTAATCTAATTACTCGTTTGTTTATTTTGCGATTTTTGACAGTAGCAAAAATAACACACTCCGTAAACAAAAGCACATTTGCGGCTTATTATTAGAAAAATGATTTCCCAATGTTTGTTTTATTCCAGATACGGTATTGAACATGGAAAATGCTCAAGAAAGGGATTTTCACAGAAGTTTGGAGCCTGACGTGATCATTAATCATGAACTCAGTGAAGATGAAGAAGTGAGTCTAATTATTACCAAAAAGGCCCCCATAATGTGCTAAATCAGACGGAATAGGGGGACATTTCGTTTTGTAATCGATAAAATTTTGCTCAGGCCTCTTTAAGGCTTATTTTCCAAAATTGTGCTTTCGGAGCCTACTACCTATTCTGAAACATTTTTAACACAACTAAGTGGGCATCAGTGACATTTGATATTCATTTGTTTTCTTTGTTGGCGGTGCCGAAGAATTAGATACGCCGTTTTTTGATAACAACAATTATTAAAAGATCTTTTTGTCAAAAAAAAAATTCAATGTTAAATTATGTTTTTTTTTCAGGAAGTTACGTGCATAAAGAGCAAGGACGTCCACTCTTCAATCAACGGACATCCCAAAACGGTGCAACCAGACATATCCATAATTCCCTTAAATAAAAAACCCCAAATCAAAATAAAACTCTTCAAAAAGGAGTATTCCCCCTCAAAGGACGACACGAAAGTACAAAGCATCTCTCGATCTCCTCGTCAAACGGTAAGACTGGTATCAAAAGACGAAGCAGAACGTGCTGGCGACACGTACACTCGACGCAAATCTCTCCCTCTAGAAAAATGTCACATTTGCAAAAAATTCTTCCGTCGAATGAAAACGCATTTACTAAAACACGAACAAACCAATCGAAACCCAAACGATCCGCTCACTTGTACGTTTTGCATGAAGGGTTTCAACACTCAGAGCAACTTACTCATCCATATGAGGACTCATACCGGTGATAAACCTTACGTCTGTGAGGTTTGCCATAAAGGGTTCGCCCAGTCATGCAATTTGGTCAATCACGTGAGGATACATACGGGGGAAAGACCGTTCAAATGTCCTCATTGTGACAGGGCGTTTACCCAATCGGGGAATCTTAATAATCATATAAGACTTCATACAGATGAGAAGCCGTTCAAGTGTCATTTTTGCGATAAAGCGTTCGTCCAATCCGGAAATCTTAATTCTCATATAAGAAATAATCATAAGTTTGTTGATGATGGCGCGAATGATTCTGTTAGTGAAAAAGTAGAAGAATATAAATGCTAGCTTAGGTTTAAAGATGATGACTTGATTAAAGAAGAAACGGAATGAACTAAATGGTAATATTTGGGGTTTACTCATGTGGGTTAAAATGTTATTCTTTTTCGGCTTTTTCGAAAACAACATGGTTTGTTGATAACTGAGGTTGCGTAAATGACCTGAGAAAAAATTATAATTTTAATAATTATCTTTTTTGGGACTTGACAAACAAAAATTATCTCTGTGATTGCTTCACTTTTTTTGTTTTTGATTTTTATTTCAGTTATTATTAGCAGATGAGTAATTTTATTATTTAATCTTTAGGACTTTTCAGGGAAAAAATATTGTTAATTGATAAAAATTGTTTTCGTAGACATTCTAGGTGTGAAAGCCGTCAATAACACATATTATTCTTATGACCCACCTTTATACAGAGTGTTTCAATATGATATTCCTATGTGCAAAAGTTCTATTTGTGACGAGTAGTTCAAGGTGACTGTTAAAGGCACCATTTTTTATTTATTCATAGAGGTGTATTATGGGCAATATTACACTATTATTTCAAGGAAATATAATTTACTTGGACAAACATACTGTGTTTATGAATACCTCTATAACATAAAACTATTAGTTTATTTTATTCACTGACATTTATAGACTGTAAAATAGATAGATATTTTTAATAAATATTAAAAAATTACAAAAAAAAATCATATAAATGGATAAGTGTAAATCTATAATTAGTAACACTTAAGATTAATCCGTTACTATGTTTCTGGGTAAAAATTTTTTTTTACAACAAACATGTCAGCTTAATTATTTAATTGAATTCTACCAGTTGTGAAGAAAATTATTGTAGACTTAATACTTTTATTTGTAGAGTGCATTATGGCTAATTTTTACGTACTAAATTGCAATAATTCTAAAAAATCTAGTCAAAACATTGGAGCCATATTTTTTTAATTTTGTTTTTGGATGTAGCCAAAAGCAGCACGCTAATAATTGAAACATTCTGTAATAACATCATTAGGTGCTATAAAGTTTCCTATACAGATTTGCCATATTTCTGCTCAAAAAGAGTTAACGCAACTGTTTTAATAATAAAGATATTTAGTCAAGTCACTATCACGTAATACTCATTGCTTTCATGATATTCGTATTTTTGTAGTTACTCTATATTATCATTTTTTATACTATATTATATACTTACATAAATTTATACTTATAAGACTTAGTTTTTACAACAAAGTCTGTAAATTGTCGGATTGTTTTAGTGATTTTAAAAGACTAATTGGATGAGACTGTAAGTTTGCATAGTATGTCGCTGATAATTATTAGTGCAGAATGAAAACACGCGACAGCTTCCAGCAAGGAGAGGATTTTGAAAAGGAGAAAAATACGCTTAGGACTGGCACAAACTATGCAAGTTTTTTTAGACTATCGTGCAATAACTAGAGATTTATTTGGCCAAATTATTGATCTCGAAAAATGTATTTATTTATCGTCAATCACCGGTCATGTATACTCATCAATCTTCTGACTTCCATTCAATAGATTTGTAGTTTCTGTTCTATTATTATTATTGTCCCAAGTGTACAATATGTTCCTTACACTTAACTAATACAAATTTGTACTGTATTTTGCATGTCACTGTAGTTTTATATATAAAACAAATAAATATACGAGAAGTATTCCGTTTTAAATTCACTCCCATTCAAGTGAGCTATGTCACACTTCAATCAAATTCAACCATTCCTAGAAAGCCAAACTTTTTACGATGTTTTTATTGAAGACTATTTCAAGAAAACTACCTTTAAACCTGTGGAAATTCCCTTACTTACCTTTCTACTACCCTCAAAATCGAAACTATGCCGACCATAAAATCCCAGACCGCCTCAAAAACATGGAAGATGAAAGAGACCCTCAGTTTTTTGACATGGTCGAATATTTTTTCCACAAGGCTTGCATTTTGATTGAGGATCGATTAATCGAAGAGTTGGGGGAGATAAAAGGGACCAAGATGTCTATCGAGAGTCGTAAGGCTCGAGTAAAGGGTATTCTATCTTTGATGGAACAATGCGACTATATTCTGGATTTTTGTTTTCCTATTAAGAGAGATAATGGAACATATGAGACAATCCAAGCTTATCGGGCCCAACACAGCTCCCATAGAATGCCCATGAAGGGTGGTATTCGCTATTCACTCGACGTTAACATGGATGAAGTCCAGGCTTTGTCTGCTTTGATGACCTTTAAGTGTGCTTGCGTTGATGTACCTTTCGGTGGAGCTAAAGCTGGGATTAAAATCAACGCGAAGAAATATTCCGAGAATGAATTGGAGAAAATCACTCGTAGGTTTGCGTTAGAATTGGCCAAGAAAGGGTTTTTGGGGCCAAGTGTTGACGTCCCAGCCCCAGATATGGCAACAGGGGAGAGGGAAATGGCCTGGATTGCGGATACCTACTCCAAGGCTATGGGTTACAGGGATATCAACAGCAAGGGATGCGTCACCGGAAAACCCATCAATCAGGGAGGAATTCATGGTCGGGTTTCTGCAACCGGGAGAGGACTTTTCAACGGCCTTGACCTCTTCATCAATGACCCGCATTACATGAGTTTGTGTGGTCTTACTCCAGGGTGGCAAGGCAAGACTTTTATTGTGCAAGGATTTGGCAACGTTGGCTTGCATGCTACTAGATATCTACACAGGGCGGGGGCTAAATGTATTGGTGTCATTGAATTTGACGGTGCCCTCCATAACCTCGAAGGAATTAACCCCAAAGACTTGGAGGAATATAAATTAACCCATGGAACGATAGTTGGGTATCCCGGTGCTAAAGCTTTCAATAAGGACGCTCTCATGTACGAACCTTGCGATATTTTGGTACCCGCAGCTGCGGAAAAAGCAATTCGCAAAGACAACGCGGATAAAATCAAAGCTAAGGTTATCGCTGAGGGGGCGAACGGGCCAACAACCCCTGCCGCTGATAAAATTCTCGTTAAGAAGAATATTTTAGTTCTTCCAGATTTGTACGTGAATGCTGGGGGTGTAACAGTGTCTTATTTCGAGTGGTTGAAAAATATTAATCATGTTTCGTTCGGGAAACTGACCTTCAAATATGAAGAGGATTCGAATAAGCTATTGCTCAAGTCGGTTGAGGAGTCGTTGAAGAAATCACTAGGGAGTGCTTCTAGTAGAGTCGAGATTGCACCGACTGAGGCATTTAGGCTGAGAATGGCAGGGGCTTCCGAGAAGGATATAGTCCAGTCTGGACTGCATTATTCAATGGAAAAAGCAGGCAAGTCCATTAAACAAACCGCAGAGGAACATAAATTGGGGTTGGACTTACGAGCGGCCGCTTATATGAACTGCGTGTCTAAGATTTTCTCAACTATTAATGTAGCTGGACTTACTTTCTAAATTTTGTTGTATGAATGAAATTTTATTTAATCAGACATTTTTATTTGAGTACTTAGAAGTACAATATCACACTAACATACATACTTTGAAAGCAAATACACAAACATGTCACGAAAAAAAAAACAAATAAAAAACTATAAACAAATTTACACAATTTATGTACATCATACCATCACTATAAAAGTACAACTCATTTAATATCATGAATATGAATGAATAAAATGGCACACAAAGTAACACTCATATATGGCCGTTCCTAATAAAGCCAGTTAGCTGTGCCTATTTCCACGCAATCGGTGATCTACGTGTTATTAGGCACGGCTAAATCCATAACGGAACCGTATAAAGAATATAAATAAAAACACTTAAAAAAGTTGACATCACAGTTGTACAGAAATGTGCAACAAAAAGACGTCGTTTCATAAGAGTGAATCACAATCGAAAATAGTACGCCCCTATCACTGCATATTTTGCCATCCATGATATGTTAATATGCAAGAAAATTTCGTCTTACACATTTCTGCTGAAAGAAGTTTAAACAGAATAAACATCTACCTATAATACAATTGAGCTAAAAGTGATACATTTTTGAAAAAATACACTCCCGACATTTGCAAATCTAAAACACATGTATAATTGGTCTAAAAAATATTGCAACATAAACCACGAGTTTTGTTTGGTTTGATAATTCAATGGGTTTAGAGCAGTCTACTTAGCTGTCCTTAATTTAAATTAGCTTATATTTAGTTAGGCCTTCTAATAGTTAACTTTTTCTCTAACAGTAATGCTCGTACACATAACTATTAAGTTAATTAATCTAACACTCAATTTGCGGTTGCAATAAATGGAAGAAGTGCTGTAACATCGTCTTTATGTCGTTGAACTTACATAGTGTTTATTTTCAGTCCGTTAAAGTAATCAATACTTTTACAAATACCATTTATAACAAAAAAAAATAGAACATTCAGAAAATAGTATAGCTCAGTCTTATGCATAAAGCATTCATAATAACAGAGTAAAGACTTCGCAAAAAATTGATTGGTTTAGACGAAAGCTAAAAAAAATTCGTTGCATAAAAATTCCTTGTTTCATAAACATAATTTTTTAAGACCTAAGTTGGAGATTAAAAGCACCGCATTTTACGTTTTATCGCGACAAAACTCTTGGTTGTAAAGGACGAAGAAGTCTCACGAAAATTCTCCCTAGCTCATTTCATAAAATACTGTTTTTTACATGTACATTATAAATAAATATTATTTAAATACAGCTCAAAATTGCGTTAAAATCGACAAGTATTGCTATTACACTAAGATGGCCACTACTTACTAAGTAGCTTTTTTGCCACCACGGGGTTTTATGGACTCTGATAATTGCCACATTGCATCTTCACCAATGAAATCATCAAAGTTTTGGAAAAACTGAATAATACGGTCTTGTTTTTTGAAAGTATAGATACTGAAAAATAAAAATCAAATACATTGTACGTCTTTTATTATTGTGTATTTACCCTTTCTTAAACTTTTTCATATTTTCAACAATATTGTACTGTTGCCATCTCTTCGAAAAGTTTATTGTACCATCAGGTAATAAGTTACTATTTCCTATGTGAACAAAAGTTAAGTCTTGCAGAACCAACCCTCTGAAAAAAACATAAAATCAGATCCAAGTCAACAAAATTTGCCAAACAGCTTACATGTAGGGGATGCAAGGGGGCTGAGTCTCAGCCAAAGCCACTCTATAAGCCCTAAAACTCGACGAGCTGTCTATCAAAGCACAATACTCTTTCAACCCTTCTTGCACATGTTTCTGCCACTCCAACCTTCGAATCGGAGCCGAATCCAGCGCCGACAGCAGTGCCAAATACGAATTAAAATTATTGATTTTCCTCAAATGTTTCATAATTTTAATAAATTTCAAAAAATACTTTTCCCGGACATCTTTTCCCTCCGCTGTTAATATCCTCGTGCGTGCCCAATACGACATTTTATTAAAATGTTCAGTGAACCTTGTCAGATTTGGACTCCTCTCCTCGTTTTGTTCCTGTGCCCAAATCAACACTTCCGGTATTTCGATTTTCATAAACAAATCAGCATCAAGAAGAGTCATCTGTTCGGCGATTTGCTCCGATTTAAAGTCGAGCAAAGTCGAAGTTCTCGCGGTGAGTGAGAGACTCGTTACGACATTGGTGTATTTGAGACTCATTTGTTTGGCTTCATATCGTTCCAAGTGTTTCACTCGGAGGGCTTTAGCCAAGGTGATTTCACCAGAAGAGATGAGTTGTTGTACGAAATGCATGAGTTTGCATTGGAGCTGGTCGTCCAAATCAGAAACACTAAAATGTCTTATTTTTAGAAAAAAAATCGTAAATATGGTTTTAACTTACGTCAAATCATTGACTACGCGAACGATTAAAGCGAAAGCCTCCGATCGTAATTTCTTATTGTTGGGTTTGAAAGAAAAGTGTTCGTATCTTCTTATAAGTTTAGTAATTAGGTCGAAAGGGGTGATGAAAGTGCGGTATGTTGTTAAAAATGCTTCTTGATACGTAAAAACTAAAATAAAGATTAAAAAAATTATGCCAAAATACACTTATTATCAAGCACAGAACAAACATGCGAAGAAAAAAAGCAAAATTTCTAAGATTTTAACTACAACAATATTCCTTATTTTTTAGCTTTTTGACAACTTAACAAATAAGATCAACAATCATTTTATCATGCATTTGATGTTTATTATAGATTTTTTTTGTTGAAGTTTGTTATAGATTTAAAAATATTTATCGATGTAAATGTGGTTGGTTGTTCGTATTTTTTTACATTGTATTAATAAAAAATTGCTGAGTTTTGTTTTTAAATAAATAAATCGTGTATAAAAATGTCACAAAAATGGAAAAAAGTGAAGGAAAGTGGCTGAAAGTCTTAACTTTTTACGTACCATTTTCCTTTTCTTCTGCAATTCGAAGTAAAAACATTTTTATTAACAACACATTACACGGCAGAAAGCATAGACGTTTATGAACAGAAATTTAAAATACAAAGTTGTGCAAAATTTGCTTACCTCCATTTTTGGTGGCCTTTGTTGCTTGAATAATGAGGCCATCGATGGGCCCCCCTCTGATATCAGGTCCCTCTTCATCCGGTTTCTTCATAACTAACCAATCATCAACGTTTACTTCTTCCATTAAGTCTATATCACAGCGATTAACTTCACTAATTTCATTCTTATCTTCAGCAGTCTTCAATACAGAATTCGCAGTATGTTCTAGCAAATCCGGTAGTGTTTTAACCGGCGATTGCGGTTTAACTTCGTTATTTGTGGGTGTAGGCGGCGGCGACGGTTTAACCGAACTGTTTCGAGACCTCTGTTTAGGCGGGAGAGCTGGGGGAGGAGAATTTGATTCCATTATGACGGTGTTTGGGGAATGCAAAGGCGATGATGATACTCTACACATAAACAATGGGTTAGACAAATGATTTCTTATTATGGGGTTGTACCTTTGGTCCATTGTGGAATGTGGTGGTACGTTTAGAATTTGAATTTGAGTATGTGATGAACGACTAGAACTGTGTGAAGTGTGACTGAATGAACATGACTGGGTTGTTGGTAGACCGGGGGTTGGAGGTTGGGCCCAATGGGACTGCACCATGTGCACCGAATGCCGCATGAATTCCTGTTCATTGGCGTGGGAGCAGTTGCCGAACATTTCCATGTATGCCATTACTGGAAAAGCAATTCAAATTCAGAGGGTTTTCAAACCAATTTTGTTATTTATCAGTTATGTCAAACATTTGTATGGTGTGTGCCTTGTTAACATGCAAAAGTCGAAGTTTCATTGAAAAGTAAACTAAGCAAAGCGAAAATTTCAACAAAATATTTCAAATCAGTCTGTTTTGATATGTTCCAGTGAGAATGGTACGAAAGTGCACAAAAGGTACCAAAATTCCTTGCCCCTTGTACCGATTTACAGTTTTCTGTAACTGCTGAATTTTTGGTATCCTGTATCTACGCTTCCGTAAAATGGAGATGTTTTGCAAAAAATCTGTTAGTATAACCACTTTTTGCTACACTAAAAAAGACAAAAATTGTACAATGGACACTATAAACACAAAAATGTTACAGTTAGAAAAACAAGTGCTGAACCACAAATCACACCAAACTGTTTAGTTTGAACAACAAAAATTGGTCAAGCTTGTAAAAAAGAGAAAACGAAAAGGAAAATGTTCTTTCTAGCGGCTTACTTACCAGAGTAAGCCACAGACTGGAACACTATGAACAAATTTAATCGCATTAAAAACGTTCTAACGATCTATTTTTCTATATTTTCAACTATACGCTAATTTAAAGAAAATTAATTGAAACTTACTGTGTTTTTTCTTGGGTGGGAGAGGTGGAGGCTTATTGCTGTCTTGTCCTATCGTACTTGACATACTAGTACTACTCGCAAGGCTTTGATGGGATTGGTGCATTGGGCAAGTGACTAAAAGTTCCCCTCCTGAAATCACATTTCTAACACAATTACAATTAGTTAAGACCACGCACCTAAATTACTATCAGGTACATTATCATAAGGTGAGGGTTGCCTTTCTTTTCTCTTCGTTTTCTGTGGAACAGCAGGCGGGTGTATCTCATCAGCGTTGCTATCAATCTCGGTGATGCTCATTTGTTGTCCAGCACTGACTATCGTCGACACCAATGAACTGCTACTACTGCTACTGCTCGTCTTTTGATCGAAATTCTTGATAGTCAAAAGCGAATCGCCTTCTTTGTGTGAACTGTGCATCCTACTTTCGGTTTTAACCGATTCAGCTAACATTTGTTTCGACGTGTGTTGAGTCCACTGTGAGCTAACCGAACTCTGTTGAGAGCTTCGTTTGGAGTAACTCGATCGGTAAGACTGCGACGATATAAAACCTGAGTCGGTGTTTGATAGTCGATTGTAGTCGGTGATTTGACTGGATATGTTTGAGCTTAATGATGATTCCTCCCAGGAACTGTGAGACCCGTTAGCGCCTACAAAACACTGTATTTCTCACTTTAGAGTGGATATTCTCATTACCGAAAATATCAGATGAGTGATTATCGACTTCACTGTCACATGTCCGCTCCATTATTCCTTTAATTTCGTCGTCTTCCTCGCCACGCGAGTGATTTAATACCGAGTCTAAACTACCCGCACTTGCTGATAAGAGGGAAATTGAGTCTTCAGGGGATTTCGACCTAACTGAAACTCTAAATACCAAAACAAATCGATAAGAAGGTAACATGAAATAAAAGGTTGGCTCACCTTTCTAGACTAGAAGCAATAGGGGAGTTATCCATACTTGAACATTCATCTGTCAATCGATGTAATTTATAGTGTTTCTTCTTTGGAGGTAAGGGAGGTGGTGTTATACAACTGGTCGGTTCCGAGTGGCTTATATTAAACAAAACACTGCAATTGGTTTGGTTATTTCGACCTGAACACATACAACATTTAATGTAATAAGACAGAATTTATGATACGGTTTGGTCGTTAAATTGGTAGTAAATGCGGTTACAATACAATTAATAGGCCAATTACGTGACAGATTTTGAAGCCAGGTTTATGGACTAGAGTGGAGCTCTATTTCAAGCTTTTCCGCTTTTTACAATTCACGCCACTTTTGATGATTTAATTAAGTAGGTAATCAGAAATATATTGAATTTTTAAGCTTTCTTCAATGAAGTTTTCAAAATTATTCTGAATCATCGAGAGCTAAACCGTTTCATTTTCTTCTTTAAAAACTTTTGTATCTAATTCACTAAGCGACATGTCTTTTCTAACAAGCATAATTCTTGGTATCAGTCTTAAAACACACCATTTGGCGTTTTTATTGATAGTATTTTGCTTTTTCGATGATTTTTTTTCGAAAACTTTATGTAATATTTAATATTTTCGTGTTGTCATTTCGACAATTAAAAGATACAGAGTGTTTCACACAACTTTACGAGGCATGTGCCGAATGTACGCACCCAAATATACAAAAGTCACAAAACACTAGATACAATAAATACACATTTAATTATTTAATTTTTGGAAACCCATGACAGTAGTTGTCAAACTAATCACTGTTTCATTAATAGTCATAAACTGCAGTTTTTCAGAAACAATTATCATTTGTTCTATTAAGACACAGCGTGAATATGATTTTAGTTTATCTATCTTAATCACTAACTAACTAAAAACGTTGTAATTTTTTATAGGGTGAACAAACGAGAAGATTATTCAATTTTTCAAAATTTGTAATCGAGTTCGTATCGGAATATGTATTATTGATTGCATCCTACAGGCGCAGGCCTCGTAAAATTACGTGAAACACCCTGTATATCGAATTGGCTAAAAAAATAGGGATTTCCATTAAAAAAAAATCGATAACGTCATTATTCAAAAACCTAAAGTGTAAAATTTTAAATCAAGTGAAAATTGTGTATTTTTTTAAAAAAGAATTCGCCTGTTCGAGCATTTTTGCCAAAATAAAGTATTTTCAGTTTTAATAAGATTATTCCATAATTTTGCCGCTCACTGTATATGGAATTCGACAATGATGGGGGATTTCTGCAGGTTTCTGCAAAAGAAAGGCTTTACTCCTCAAAAAAAAACAAATACGAAATTCTTGAAAATATTTCTTTGTTAAATTTAGGTTCAATTTATTATCTAGTGTTTCATTTTGTGCAGTTTAAATTTAGAAATGGTTTAATACAACATGAGCGATACTTCGACCACTCTTTAAATATGAAAACAAAAATAACAAAAAAAACCTTACGTGACGGAAATTTCTGGACAAAATTACGTAGGATACAAGTATTTTTATCAATGTTAGAAAAAAAATTGCAAAAATGTCTCCTAGTGTTATTATTTTAAACAAAATTTTTGTTGTTTATTGCCAGTTTTTAATAAAACTATAACTTCACATTTGTATTTTTCTAGTCTTTGATAAACTAAAATAGGAACTGTCTTAAGAAATTTTTAGTTAAAATGTTTTTTTTTTTTCATTTAAATATTGTATTTTAACGTTTTGTGGTGGGCTAAACCGAAGCCTTATTTGTCTAAATTTGTTTATACCGGGTGCGGCATCCATTACGCCCAGAAAGAAAATCCCCACTTCTAATTAAATAAAATTGTTGAATTTTTTCACACTTACCTGGGCATTAGTAAGGTACATTCTCTAATTTTTTGTTAATTTTTCATTTACAAACAAAGCCAAAAAATAAATAAAAACTATGTTTCTCAAAAAAAGTTTAATTCTAATTTTTATACTGACCTACACAGATTCACTTCCTACAATTGGTTACAAAATCAGAAAAGAAATACCAATTAGATTTTGAATTAAACGCAATTTTCCGTCTTAACTTTGAAAATCATTTTTATTTATAACCTGCTACTTGTGCCATCGTAAATTTTGGTGACAATGGGGAATTGCAATTGGGGTAAGATTCCAAGATTTACAACAAATAGACCTTTTAAAGCGGTCGGCTACCAGTAAATGATTCTTTTGTTGGCAAATTATACCATTTTGTCATAAATCACGGGTCTGGTTTGTGTTTAAATAAAAAAAGCGATTATTTGGCTAACCAAGTCAAAATTTAAAATTGTGATATCAAAATTTTACAGATTCATTTAGAGTAAAAACTTTGTAGGTAGATTAACATAAAGTATTCATAAAACACACAAAATTGTTACGGACTCATTTATTATCAAAAAAAATTAGAAAAATTCTCAAATTATACCCTATCAATAATTTAGGTATATGAAATGTCGCCAGTTTTAATAAATTAGAAGTCGCGATTTATCAATGGGCGTAACCGATGCCGCGTATTTTAACAACAACACAACAAAATTTCGGTTGTTTATGAAGGTTTATTGTTAGTTTTTAATAATTAACAATTTTGAAAATGTTTCTTTCTACCTAGATGATAGTCTCAAGAACTGAGAGAAATTGTAATTTTTCCAACTATTGATTATATTTTCAGTTAACAATTTACTTTTCTAACATTTAAATTTCCATAATGTTTGTCACAATTTCATTAAGCAGTATCTTGTTTACTCAAAAACGCAAACAGATGTAAAGATAAACAATATCAACAAACATTGCTCCACTATTGCCAGATTTGTATGTTTGGCTTTACAATTTTAGTTTACAATCATAAACCCTGTCTTTTCCTTGAATTGTTTGAATTAAAATACTAACCCATCTGGTAGCGGGGGCTTGGGAGGTGGACTGGAATCCCTCAAGATCGACTCCGTGCTATGACTACTTCTCACAATCGGCGGCCCACACAAATTCTGCTCCAACAACTGCCTCTCCCTTGGAGTCAGAGGAATATCAGGTAAAGAATTTCGTTGTGCTGGCATCTCTAAACTGGTGTTAACGTACGAACTCCTTGGTGTTGTCTTATAAGAAATTTGTTGGTGCGCAATCTTCTCCTGAACCAACCTTATGAGCTCCTGCACCGCCACCTCGACTTGTGCCACTATTTCGTTAACATTTTCTTTCGTTAATTCGGTGCTTTTGTCATCAATCAAAGCATCGTCGCATAATTTGATCAATCTGGCAACACTCTGATACATGTGACTGGTTGCGGAAAAAATCGCGTTGCTCGAATCCGAATTGATCGACGATCTTACAACGAGATTTATTTGCCACACGGTGTCGAGCACTATGGTGCCATTCCCCGGCAACATTTCGAGCTTTTGCTTCGAGACGACGTCCCGGAAGTGTTTCAGCGTGGCCTGGGTCTGTTTCCAGAGGTTCTCCAGTTCCTGCAAAGGCCCTTTGGTTGTTGAATACGCGTGGTTGACCATATCCGATTTGGATGGTCGCTCTTTAGGGCTGTGTGAGCGGATGCCCGGGCCTGTGGGGCTGCGCATTTGGGAGATTTTGCCCAAAAAGTCGTCTTTGAAAGATCGAGCGCGGCGAGCGAGTTTGGTGCTTTTGAAAGAGGGCTTGTGGCCGCCGGGACCGGACCCGGCCAAAGGTGAAGCAATGGGACTGTCGCTTTCTACAAAAAAATATTTAGATTATTAGAAACACTGGAGTTATCACACCATAAAAAATGAAAGATGTTACATACATCACGTACTCGAGTGTAAAATGATACCAAAAAATTCTACATTTATATTCTGAGGAAAATAGAGACAACAATGTCAAGCGTTTGCAAATATTTGCGTTAACTCTGGCATAGTCGCTACATAATTACAACGATATACTCTGTTCATTCTATTTTATGTGCAATATTTGCGTTACGTAAGTTGAAAAAAAAACAAGATTTTACTTCTAGGTTTAGCCTATAACTTAAATTTCAAACACAAAACCAAAAAAACAACTTACCTATCATGATTACAAATAACTTCAAGACTTAATTTTTGTTTGTTGTTCACATAAAGGTAGAGTAATATCTTATTTATATTAAGATAATAAATATTGCGAAAATGGCAATAGGGAAAAAGTTTTTATGAACGTTTTTCAACTTTTATTAGGTGTGTAAGATTTTAAGAAGCAAAAACAATTTTTTGCTTTCCTGGAGTAATTGCAAAATACGTATTTTGTCAATTAACAATTAGTAACAGTTTAATTAAGGGTTGTTTTTCATATCAATTTTTATCTCCTATTTTATGGTAATTAGATAGCTTAATTTTTAACTGTTATTTCTCCAAATAATTTGATTGGTTGGTCCTAAAGTCATGGGCGCCCACAGGGGGGGCCAGTGGGGGCCGTTGCCCCCCCTGGGACAATAGTGGTTGCTATTTTATATAAAAAAAGATTTTTTTGATTTTTCACAATCTCGTTCTAATTTAAATTTTCATGAACGAAATAAGAAACTACTTTTTACATTTTTATCACGAACCGAGTGATATGAAAACAGACGAATAAAACTGTTATTATTAATTTCACTCTTTTTTTTAAATTTATTTAATGTTACTGATGATCTTCTTGTATATGTTTTTTTACAATTATTTAGTAAAGAGACAAAAATTTTGCCAATAAAAGTCACAAATAACATTAAACAAAATTACAATTTAGGATACAGCTTCCTTGTTTCCTCTTTTAATAGCCTATAGCAACAAAACTTGGAAAATTATTTTTCCAACAGAAATAAATAGAGTCAAAGTGCAAACTTTAAACCCTTATAACTTCGAAATTTTTATAGATAAAATTTTTTTAACATTTTTCCATGTTCCTGGTATCTTACCTTATATGGCATTTTTCTCTGGGGCGCGAGTTCTGGCGCACCTGTATATAAAAATCTTGATCAAGACCACCCTGTATAAAAACAGAGTACACAACTCTTTATACCTATAAAGGAATTTTTAACAATATTTTGAAAGTACTTTCGCTTCTTTAATTCATTACAATTTTTATAGGTTTTGAGTTGCGTAATTGCAAAATTTTGGCAAAATTATTAATCTTTTTACTCAATATTTCAACATGAATGGGAAAGTGGCTTGGTAAATTTTTTTTTGTTAGTATTTATTTGAAAAAATTGTGTTTTTTTATATTGAAAATTAAAAAAAAAATAAACTTACCTCACTTGCTGGTATATTTCCGTCTTTTTTTTTAAATTATCGTCATATTTGTTTAAATTTCTCGTCTCAATTTTTTGAACATTTTTTTATATAACTAAATTTTAAGTTCATACATTATCTACTATTCGTTTACTACTTTATCAGTTTTCATTTTTATCTCTTGACAACGAGTAGAGATAAAGTCACCTTTGGACAAATTATATTCGTACTAATGTAATTATTGTCAGTGACACTGATAACAACAATCCAAAAGTAATTATTATGATTATGCGGTTTGTCGGATGCACTTTCATCCGCATAGTGTTATCTTACTACACAAGGGAAGTAAAGTCGTAAGTAGTAATAAATGAATTTTTATTTATTTATTCAGAATACAGCAAATATTGTTACATTGCGTCTTCAAAGGATTTAAAATGAAACTGCTCCAATAAATTACAAAAGCATTGCAAGCCTATTGAATCAGAAATCGAAACCTACACCGGACTCGCTAAATAAGGAAAACAAGTTTTACTTTAAACGCTGTTGATAATTTAAACAAAAACTTCATGCCAAATATGGTATTAAAAGAGGATCATAAAATAAAATTAAAGAAAACTGAAAATAAAAAAATGTGAGAATCGTCATTTTCCTTGTACGGCACTAACCCCATGATATTTCCGGTCACTTAAAAATTCAAGATCAGCATCTAATCCCATAAAGACACTTCAGAGACATACGTTTTATAAATAAGTAATGAAGAGACATTTTTGAGATCGTCTTGTTAGGATGTCAGTCTTTAGCAATTTATTTACATACAATGTTACAAAATAAATTTGCATGCATCCTATACTAAAAAAGGAAGTGACCAAAAGTAAAGTTGATAAGTTTACCAATAATGACGTCAATGTGTGTCATATGTATTCGACGTGATTAATGTGCTAGGTAAACTTTCTAAAAATTGTAACAACTAAAAAGTTTGTAGCATTTAAAAAAATATCAAATTATTCAAGCCTTAAATAACACTAATAGTAAGTTTATAACGACATTGCAGCTATTTTTAAGTAATGATAACAATGATGTAACCACATAATTACCCAAAGGCAAGGTTTACAAATTAATTACTTCAAGTTATTCTTAATAAAATTTTAATAGTATTTACCTGTGTTGTTTTACTTAAAAAAACTTCAAGAGCACTTTTTGCGTCCAAGCCAAACAACAAACACATTGGAACTGCACCCAAAACCACTAATTAATAAACTTAAACTATTACTAATTACCATAAAATAACACTGACTAATACGAGGAAATAAATTTATTCCAGACAATGAGTCAAAAAATCACGAGCGATTTTACAGCCACTGAAAACATGCTCAGCTCGAGTGAACAAACTTAACTTCAGCAGTAAGGAGACGACTGATTCAAGAAACTGAGGACGAGTAGGGGAGTTATTTACTGAAACAACAGATACAATAATGTGTTGAAAAACATAACCTATCCCACTCGAATCTACGACCTCATATTACAAATTATTTTGTAGCGTTTTATGGGCCTAAATTTAAATGGGCAAAAGACGCGTAAAATGTACAAATATTTACAAATTTTCTGCATGTGTGGAATGTGAATCATACGTCTTCAACATTTTTATAGGACACGTTAAATTTTTTCGTGTTTATTTTTTAACACGTAAATATTTATAAGCAAAAAGTACGCTCCAAATTTTCAACACAGACAGTATACTAATACTATTAATGAATAAATATTTTCTTTTATTTTCACTGGGCCACTCTGTACACTTATTATACAAAAGTAGATTACAAGATAAACATGTGGCTTTGGTATGCATATCATAGAAATAAGAATCTAATTCTGTTCTGAATGCACTCGGAAAATGACAACATCTGTTATAGATTTTGTTACAGAGTTCTATTTTTGTATATTAATTAGTAAGTAAATAATATTATGATGACCTTATTGGGAATTATTTGACACGATGACGTAAAAACTACTGAATTAATAAATTGTCACGAATGGGTATAACACCTTCCAAGCCCACACAAAAATTCCCATTTAAATCATCACAAAATCTCTATTTTCGATATGTGGTAACGTTTACTCGAAGATTTTTATGATCAAACTTCCTGTATTACACCATCATCAAGTAAAGTGTTGTGTAATTTTTAATTAGACATAATTAAAACACGATTTTCTTAGTCTCGATGGTAAAATTATTACTTTTAAACGTATATTTCCCAAGACTAAAATCGCCTTCCAGAGTTCTGGAAAATTAAAAAAACTTTTCCAAAATTTAAGGATTTATTAAAAAGGCTTGTGGGCGGTAGTTAAATGCGATAAAAAGACGCTAATTAAACCAAAGATGTCTATTTTAATGTCATTAAATGTGCAAGTTACCTTGATAAGAAAATAATGCGAATTTGCTCATTTACTCTTTTATACAGGCTGCGCCAGAACTCGCGCCCCACAATTTTTTTAAGTAAGGTAAGATACCAGGAATGTGAAAAAAATGTTTACAAAATTCTATCTGTCAAATTTTTTTGACATTTGACATTTTTTAAATTTATTTAATGGTACTGATGATCTTGTATATGTTTTTTTACAATTATTTAGTAAAGAGACAAAAATTTTGCCAATAAAAGCCACAAATAACATTGAACAGAGTTACAATTTAGGATACAGCTTCCTTGTTTCCTCTTTTAATAGCCTATAGCAAAAAAAACTTGGAAATTATTTTTCCAACAAAAATAAATAGAGTCAAAGTACAAATTTTAGACCCTCATAACTTCGAAATTTTTATAGATAATTTTTTTTTAACATTTTTTCCATGTTCCTGATATCTTACCTTATATCGCATTTTTCTCTGGGGCGCGAGTTCTGGCGCACGCTGTATAAGGTTTGGCCAATTGTGTCAAAATTTTACTAGTCAGTATCTCAGATTAATAATTCAAATGAGTTTTTAAGTTGAATAAAAAATAGAGAGGGTTAAATTATTATTACCTCAAAAATTTTATTTTAAATGTTAAATGAGAAAAATAGGAGAATAATAATTGTATAGTTGAGTGAAAAACGGAAATAGTTGCAAAAATTAAGACTTTTTTTTCAGACAATTTCTCAATCCTCCGTCAATACTCAAAGTTAATTCTTTTTTCATAATAAATAATATAAACTCACAGACCCAAAATTGTTAATTTATTTTAAATGAGTTAGGAAATGCAAAACTGAAAGTTGAGAAAAACGTTTTCTTTTTCCAGTAATTCATAAATTAAAGGATAGTTTGTTAAAACCTTAAACAAATAACTTTAAAGCATCTTTTCTTACACCTGTAATCACGACGATAATGTATGTACCTGCATTAAGATAAAAATTTGTTTATTTACACTGCAACAAAGTAAAATTTACAACTTAAACGTGGCTCAAAACTCGATTTGTTTTAATGTTTGTTAAAACAACATATTTTTCGTAATTTGTGGAAGTTAATGGTCTTTAACAAACGATCTAAAGAAAAGCAAAGCAAAACAAAAAATAAATGTCTTTAAACTTTTATTAATCACTTTTAAATAACAATATCCTTGAAAACAAAATTTTGACATTCGTATTTGTATTGTTATTTTTGCATGTTTTTGGCATACGATTTGTAAAAATTTCAAAAGTTGAAAATTTAAAAAGTGTGTTAAGTGTAGACAAATCAAAGTAAAGGTACGTATTTAAAAGTCCCTTGTTCCAAATATGAATTTTATCAAATATGATGCTTAGAATGACTATTTTCAATCAATGACAATTTTAAGTGTCATTTTTTGGGAAATATTTTCGACCAGAAATCGATTATTGAAAATACCTCATACGGAATCATTTTTACGCATACAATTATTTCAATTAAAAGTTAAGTTAAATGCTATTTCGTGGGTGAAATATAAAATGTAAGCCATCCTTGAAAATGGATTAAAGCAGTCGTTGTGATTTGATGGCTGGCATATGTTTATTAACTTTGGGTGTTAATACTGTCATTTCTATTTTTTGTCTCTCACCCACACACTTTCACTTAATCATCTCAAATTGTTTAAATCAGTTGAAAAAAGACTGGATTTTAGTTATGGGTGACGTAGAAACACCATCAAACGAAAACGTTACTGAATCTCCTCCACCAGAAAACGCCACTTGCGACATTCCTAAACCTTCAATCGACATTTTGAAAGAAGCCAAACCCAGCGAAAACATCGCAATAAATGAATCGAATGAAAACGTGGAAAATCCACCAATTATAAATATAGAAACGACTTTAAAAACTTCAACGACTGAAGATCCAGTTGAGGAAGAACCAGTTGATAAATTAAAAAATGACAACAAAAAAGTGGACGAAAGTGTCCACAATGCCGAAGAAGCCGTAATTAAACAAAAAGAAAAATGCTCACTGAGAAACAAAAGCGACATTTTCTCACTGAATGAAAATAAAAATGCACCGTCTACGATTTTTTCGGTTGGAGGAGCGCCCTCAAAGACCATCCATAACACAAGTGTCAACTCAAGCAAAAATTCTAGTTCGAATGAAACCATCAGTTCAGGTGCCTCGAGACAAAGTCAGTTGAGAAACCCTTTGACGGGGATGGGAGTGAGTTCCAACGATGAATTTCGAACAAAACCGTCGAAAAGAAAAGGCAAGTCTGTTCCCAGTTTAAAATTAAATTTATTGAATTATTTCAGATGGCAATCCTTTGCTTGGTGTTGGTTACAAAGACGACGACCAAGTGTTGAACGCACCACCGAGTCAGAGAATCCCCCCCGGTGGTTGGTCAAAAGGTTTATGGTGAATCAAAGCAAGAAAAAATCAAAATTTTAGTGATGAATGAAACGCCAATCTCACCTTCATTCTCGTCTAGTTGCGAAACCGATAATAAAACAGTCCAGTGACGTCTTGGCCATTTTTTTCGATTGTACAATTTGTATCTTCTTCTACACCTCGTTTCATAAAAATCGTCAAAATCCGGCATTGCACTGAACAAAAACGTAAATCAACGTTTCAGAGTCGCGGATTTTTTTCAACTAAAAACTACGAATGACTACTAAACTAAAATTAATTCTGCACTAGCATCCAAAACCTATTTTTGTCTCTGATTGTCAAAGATGTTATTGTCATGCTATTGCGTTCATTGTAAACAATCAATTTTCTTTAGCATTAATCAAAATCAGTTTAACATCGATTCTGTTGGAATTTGTTAGGAGGGATTTTGTCGCACAACTTGACCACATTTTGGACTCTATCCAGAGGGATTTACAAGGTGATATTTTTAGATACGACTGTTCGTAGGTAATTTTTGATACTAATTAGATACTAAGTTCATTCACTTGCTGCACAAGTGACTTAGTTTGAGTGCATCTTCACCACTTGACCCTTTCAATTAGACATTACACAAGTGCAGCAATTAAAACAAAAATATGCTAATGCTAAATGCATGTTATAGCAACGAACTAGGACAAATGAAATGTAAAATGCCATCACCTGTTCTGATATTTATTTGTAAAGTGTCAGATAATAATCAATCAATAAGCGATAACGAAAATCAATACAACTTAGCAAATAATACAGTTAGGGACCTAGAAAGTGAACGTAATCAAAAATTAAAAAGCCTTAATAATTAATAAAAAAAGGTTGAAATGCCAAAAGGTCATTGACGACAACTTGCCAAAACAAAAGAAATTCATGACATAAGGCACCAGTTTAATGACAGCAAGAAATGAGAAAATATTTATTATGCAATTCACTTATTTGAGATAAATATTAATCCCAATTAATATAAAAAACTCACCTGATACATGTTTTCCAGATTTTGGTGTTGATGTAGATGTCATATTTAAAACACCCACAAAGTGAAAACTTAACACATCCACTCACATGTATTCTTACATTTTTTACGCATTTTTTTCATTTAACTAATTTGAAATTTTTACATTTTCTTTCATTGTAGCAAAATTAAATTGGTGGACGATAAAAAAATATACAATCAAGATAAATTGATGCAGGTGCCGCCATCTGAAATGTCAGTTGTCATAACTTGACAACAATCAATAATGTTGTCGGTAAAAAAGTTTTCGTATTGTTATACGTCTTTTTTTTAGTTTTTGAAAGTGAGTTTGTGGCAATTTTTGTGTAGGAAAAAAGCGAATGTGGTGAATAGGTTACTTCATGATAATCAATTTTATTTTTTCGGTGTTACATGGGGGCGATATTTGAGAATTGTGATTGATGATGATGGCAGCACTGTACCTGTCAAAATTACTCCCGTAGGAAAGAATCTCGTATTTTGTTTATGTAGGTCCTTGGGCTCTAAAATTATGCCCTTCCTCAGTCTTTCCTGTTTTGTTTTGTAAAAAAAACTGTTATTGATTTACTTTTCTTACGAATGAAGGTAAGATATTTTGACTTTATTAAATTGTTACTGTATTCGTTTTTGTCAGCTCATGGCATATTAGCTTCTAAAGAAGTCAAAAAATGGGAAATTCGGGGCTAAAACAGCATATTGTAACTGCTCAAAAAACGGGAGTTTTGAAATTATCTCAAGGACACCTCAATGGATTTCCTCCAGAGTTCAGACAACTAGAAGGCAATTTGAGAACCTTGGATTTATCTGATAACAAGTTTGTAAATTTACCAACCGAAATAAGTCGTTTTTTACAGTTAAAACATTTAAATCTGAATAAAAATAAACTGGTAAAAATCCCAGACTGTATTGGAGCACTTACAAAATTGGAAACTCTCAATCTTTGTCATAATAATTTAACCAGTTTACCAAGAACTCTATCAAATTTGATCAATTTAAAGCAAGTTTATTTGTGTGAAAACCATTTAAAAGAAGTACCTTTGATGTTTTGCAGTTTGAAACACTTAGACATCTTAGATTTATCCAAAAACGATATTACTTCTGTACCTGCAGAAGTTTCAGGTTTAAATGTTGTCGAACTTAATTTAAATCAAAACCAAATTGCAGACATTTCTCCACAAGTCGCGAATTGTCCGCGTTTAAAAACGCTACGTCTAGAAGAGAATTGCTTACAATTGTCTGCTATACATTCCAAAATATTGACTGATTCAAAAATCTGTAATTTAGCACTTGATGGAAATTTGTTTGAGTTAAAACAGTTGGCAGACGTGCCAGGATATGATGCTTACATGGAAAGATTCACGGCAGTCAAGAAGAAATTGTTTTAATTACAATAAGCCTATCAGAAACATGGTTGTGAAAAATAATTGTAAACTTTTCAGTTAAACTTTAAAAAGTATTCCCTCCAATTTTCCAGCATGTATGACCCAAAAACTCACTCACACTTTTCACATAAATTGATGTGTTATGCATAGAATATTGTTAAATAAAAGACAATCAGTGTAAGTGTTTTGTGTATTAGATTATTTCATCAAATCGTGATGTGCATTACAATACAATAATATATGTGCTAGCTTTAGTCCCTAATCTTCTGAAACGAGATTCTTTAAAAGTATTTTGGGGCCAAATATACTTTCAATGAAATGTCTGATAATTAGGGTAACGATAGTATTTTTAACGTGTAAATTACGACTTGTGATTATATTGTGAAGATTAGAGACGAATTCATCAATTTTCTTACTTTCACGTTTCGAATTTTTTGTGAATGACACCAATTTTAAGTCAACAAATTTGTGCCGAAGCAACTTTACTTCAAGCACTTATTTGTGCTTGCATATAAAGAAGCAATAAATTGTTTCTCACTTTAGCTATTCAGATTTATCTCTTTGTGAAACACTACGCATTTAAATTAATCTTTATTCCCTGTTGGATAGGATGTTATGTTATTCAGAAATAATATCTATTATGTAAATGTGTTGTTAGTTTAGGTGATTTTTTTGTTTTAAAAAATTCTGGAATAAGGTGGTGCCAATTTGTTTCATTAGCGGAATAATTGTGGATTTATTTATCAAAGATAAAAAGCGCTTATAATTGTACAGATGTTATTTATTATTTAATGTTATTTATAAATAAGTTATTGTTATGGAAAAAATACATTTCGAAGCCTCAAGTGTACTTCTCAATTACTATACTGTACTTTGTAAAGATATGTTGCACATTTGCTATCTCTATTTTTGATTCTACATTTATCCGATTTCTATCTAAACAATATATACAGCCTCAGTGAAAATTGTCTTTCATTTCAAATATCACTTATCGGTGCTTATTTTTAGACCAATATTTATGTTGTTAAATAACGATAAATGGTTATCAAAGGTTCTATTTCACTTTTTTCTATATTAATTTGTTATTGTTACTGCAATGGTCTAAACAGTTTTATATGAATATAGGTAAAAGTTGAATTCTAAGTCAAAATAACTTCTAAGTTTTTAATAAAACACCTTTCAATTGTTTTGTGCTCTTTATGATTTGAATAAAAACAATTGATCCACGCCGTTTTCTGGATTTATTTATGGTATTGTTATCGGTGAAAGTTACCAACTTTCAAGGTTATTTTTATTTGAACTGCAGCTACGCGTTATTTAATAGTAAATCTTATTTTTAACTTGAAAATCTCCTATATTTACTGGAAATTGGAAACGTGACTCATTGTTGATAATAACAACAATTACTACAGTCATTTGTTTTATCATTTGTTACCATAACAATTTCCCAAAAAATGTTTGGAATAATACCAATATAAAAACACCTTCAAAAATGACTGGAATTGTACCATAATAACAATAAAACTGATAATAAATGTTTAACAAGTGTAAATTTTTTAAATTTTGATCACATTGCATTATTTTTCCACCTCACCTCTACGCCTCCATCCTCCATCCCGTTTGGTGATGGAAAAACGTTAAATGCAGCCATTTTACGTTTTTTCTCAACCGTGACGTTATCTATCTCCGTCAAACACGTTGCAATTGTAATGGATTAAAAAGAGTGCGAATGCTGGTAAATGTAGTTTCCGTGTTGTAACTTCTCTTCGATCTGTATTGTTTATGGCTGTCCTGTAGTGGCGTGTTGCGCAAAAACGTATTTCACTAAAACTTTGTTGGTTTTGTGAGATTTTTTTGCTGGTTTAAATTCTTGTGAATTAAAAGCGTTCTTTGGATCATCGGTAAGTTGAAATTTTTAAGTTTTGAGCGATTTTTCACCTCGTTCTCCGCTCACGTAATACCCACCCAGACCCAGATGGTTTGTTTTTGTTTACCTCTTCGTTCGGCGTTCTAGAAAACGTAGATTGTTAAGTAATAAGCCCCGACAGAAAGTGTGGAGACTGTTTTGGGCCCCATTGGCGAATTTGAGAGTGCTTTTAATATTTTTCGAATTTCTCGCCGATTTGGGATAGGTAAAATGTGTATAAATATAAAATGTGTTGTGTTGTCGGTTTCCAGTCACGTAGACGTTTTGTCCTAGAGTTCGAAATAAGTTCACAATTATTTGTCTTGAAAAGACACTCCTGTTTGTGATGTCTACAAGTAAGGTTTTTTGGGGCATTATTAAAGCAAATGAACAAGTAACAAAATAACGTGCTTTTGACCTTTGCGTTACATAATAGATAATAGAGTGTAAGAGTCTCACCAATAATTAAAGCCAATTTGTCGTCAATCAGCAATAATTGCCAAATGTTAAAATAGTTTGATAAAAAAAATACATCGTGGTGAATGTCGTGTATGCAACCCATTAAACATACCTCACCTTCCATAATTTTTCTTGTGGCGAGTTAGTTTCACATAAATAAAGAATAATCGTGATGGAGATTGTAGATATTAGTTCCTTTAGTTTATTTTAATAAGAATTTTAGCATTATTGAAAAGTTGTAATAAAGTGTGTCCTAAATTTCGCAGAACACTCGCACTCTATGAACACTTGATATCAGGAACATGGAAAAAATGTTAAAAAAATTCTATCCATAAAAATTTCGAAGTTATGAAAGTTTAAATTTTGCACTTTGACTCTACATACAGGATGTTTCACATAATTTTACGAGGCCTGTCTGTAAGATGCAATCAATAACATATTCCGATAGGAACTCGGATTACAAATTTTGAAAAATTGAATTATCTTCTCTAGTTCACCCTTTAAAAAATTACAACGTTTTTAGTTAGTTAAACTAGAATCATATTCATGCCGTCTCTTGATAGAACAAATGATAATTGTTTCTGAAAAACGGCAGTTTATGACTATTAATGAAACAGTGATTAGTTTGATAACTACTGTCAAAAAATTAAATAGTTAGAAGTGTATTTTTTGTATCTAGTGTTTTGTGATTTGGGTGCGACAAGCCTCGTAAAGTTATGTGAAACAATCTGTATTTCTGTTGGAAAAATAATTTTCCAATTTTTTTTGCTACAGGTTAGAAGAGGAAACAATGAAGCTGTATTCTAAATTGTAACTCTGTTCAATGTTATTTGTGGCCTTTATTGGCAAAATTTTTGTACCTTTATTAAATAATTGTAAAAAAAACTATACAAAATAATTAGTATCATTAAATAAAGATCAAAAGTGTCAAATGTCAAAATTTTTTGACAGATACAATTTTTTAAACATTTTTTCTGTGTTCCTGGTATCTTATTTTACTTGAAATTTTTTTCTGAGGCGTGAGTTCTGGCGCATCTGTATATTTTTAACTAAAAATTAGGGTAATACAAATTTGTAATTTTCCAGTTTGCAAGACCCTCGAACTGTACGGTTACAGATGTAATTAATTAAAAAATTCTTAGAATTTTTTCTGTTCCGTTAATATTGAGCTGTAGGTATAGGAAAGGACTGCTCCGAGAAGGCAAACGTTTTTTTTAATTAATTATTTTCAATTAAAATATTGTGTTACAGTTGGAGACAAAATACTTTGGTCGTCACTTTTCTGACACTTTAATGTAATTCAAGCTTTAACGTTAAAATGAATGACCATTTCAAATTAATGACAGCTATTATATTCCTATCAAAAATATGGACATACAACTTGTCAACTATGATTGACAGTAGCAAAAAATAAGGTCCTAAAGCATGCTTTACAATCTAATGTCACTCAAGTGACATTGACGACCAAAGTATTTTGTCCCCAACTGTACCTCGCAAAAAATGTAACATGTTTTCTGTTAACCAATAGAACAAATACGAATGCAAGTTCAGAAAAATTCAATATAAATAGGTAAAAATATAAAATAAATTACTTCAGAATTGGCAAGGGTTAAAAGACCTATGAGATTGAACAATTTTGTATTATCGGCAAATATTTTAAAAATTTTGTGTAAATGACAACATATTAGCTTCAAATGAGTCAAATAAATTAAAATCTTCTAGTTTAAATTAATGAATTTAGAAAAAGTTTGATGGTTAATTTTTAAAATCTTCTGAATTGGCTGTTTGACTATGTATATCTTTTTAATATACACTAACTCAAGGTAACAAAAATTTCATTAGGGACTGGACGCAATGAAGTGAATTCAGCTGTATATGGAAAAGAACTCATTTTTTATTTTCTTCTAATACTCTTAATTTTTTTAAGAGTATCCGTTGTAAAACTTTTTATATTTTCTTTCATAAAATATGAAATTGAAGACCATGTACTGGTAAATCAAGATAAAGGTCATGCGAAAACAGCTGCGTAACCAAAACAAAAACAAACCAGTCGCCTTTTTGTTTTGTTTTTCCGTATTAATTGGCAATTGTCCACATCCCTAACTCCAAAAACCTTGATCTAGATTTGTTGTCAGGAAAAAATACAACCGTGTCCGTGCGTCAGCCACAGTCGATCTCGGTTGGTATTTTGGTTTATTTGGTGCGGAATGGCTGTAGAACAAGGCCATGTTGACGTCGATCTCGACAACGACATCGATAAAGTGGTCGATGAGGAGTTGGCTGCGAAAGAAGTAATCGCAGGCGGTGACGGTTCCAGTTCGAAACGTAAACCGAAGAAAGTCCATCGCCAATCAAGCAAGGAAAATGTCGTGGCTTCCGGTTTCATCCACGGACCGAGGTCTTGGAAAAACAGTCGACGCTCGAGGAATGGCTACGGACGGGGACTTCCTAAGAAAGGGGGCGCTGGAGGGAAAGGAGTCTGGGGGGCTCCAGGATCCGAATTGTTGGAAACTTACGAAGATGTCAACGATCCGAATTTTGATAATGAGAATTTGAGTAATGGGGATATCGAACTCAAAGCAATAGGTAAATTGAAAATTTACACTCAATGACACGAAAAATGTTCTTGGGTGTGTTTGGACGCATAAGTGTTATGGCAGTTACTTTGTTATTGTAACAGTTCCAGATGTCTCCCATGAGGAAATTAAGAAGAAAGTTGATCCGATTATTTTGGAGTATTTCGAAAATGGGGATACTCACGAAGCTTCCATCGCCATAGCTGAAGCTGTTCCTAAACAGTACAGAGACGTGCTAGTCGAACAAGTGATCGAAGTGTCCATGGACCACAAGCCTTCCCATAGAGAAATGACGTCAGTCTTGATTTCTGACCTTTTCGGTCACGTGATCTCTGAGACTGACATAACCAAAGCGTTCCAAAGCCTTCTTGCAAATCTCAGCGATTTGATTCTTGATATTCCCGATGCACCAACTTTCCTTGGGAATTTTATCGCTCGAGCCATAGCCGATGATTGTATTCCTCCCAAGTTTATTACCATAACGAAGGAAAAAAGTGATAATGAAGTTTTCCAAGAGGCTTTGAGCCGTGCTGACACTTTATTATCTATGAAGCATGGCCTAGTTAGGTAAGATATACTACATTTTTTCTAACTTCGCAAAAATAATTCCTCGTATTACAGGTTGCACAACGTGTGGGGAGTCGGCGGGGCTCTGAGACCGGTCAAAGCCTTAACTCGCCAAATGAACTTAACTCTGCAGGAATATATCTCGTCGAGGGATATTGAAGAAGCTAGTAGATGCTTGCGCAATTTGGAAGTGCCTCATTTCCATCATGAGTTGGTTTATGAGTCAATTGTGATGGCTTTAGAGGCGAACAATGTTCAGGTGGAAGAGGCCTTGTGTAATCTCTTAAAAGCGTTTGATGCTGCCGTTTTGATTACACCAGAACAAATGGAGAGAGGATTTTTGAGAGTTTTTGATGATTTACCTGATATTCAGATGGACGTACCGCTCGCTTATATCATTTTGGATAGATTCGTCGATCGTTGCCATAAGGAGGGATTTCTGACTGATAAAATTATTGAAAAAATGCCTAATAGAGGGCGCAAACGATTTGTCTCCGAAGGAGACCAACAATTTATTAAGAATCATAAGACATCGTAATTTCTACGATTCATTCAATTTCTTTGCGCTAGAACTGTGCCGTAGATTTCATATGTATTTGCATTTACGTTTTTTGAATTTTCTTAGAAATACAGCACGGTGTGCGTATTCAGTATACCCTATCATGTTACTTCTTTTTTTTGTATATGTTCTATGGAATAAAGATTATTCAAGTTAAATTTAGAAACCGAGTCTAAATCAAATCAATACTGCACATATTACTTTTTATTTCTTACGTTCACAAAAATCACCGTATATACAATATTTAATTAATAATACTAATTGAAGTTACGAATTTAAATACTTTTCTAAACAAATATAATAATAAACACTCTTAACTAGTAATCTCATACTGTAACTTCACCAAAAATGAGAACAATAAAATTACAAAAGATGGCTGCGATTTTGTAATTTTAATTCCTTAATAAAAAATGTTCAAAAGTTCATGATATGGATGTCTTGATAACTAAAACATTACAAAACTAAAAATTCGTTATGTACTTTAAAAAATTAAAAAGCAGGCACTTAACGAATGTCAGTCTTGCATCCGAATTAAATATATATTTTAATGCACCGGCAAGACAAATAAAATATAGTACTTAACCACTAATTTTCTACTAAACTATCGTTAATGGCAGTGTTCTGTCACGTCGACTATAACAGATTTTTTCCAACCGAAAAGAAAATAACCAACTCCCGCTCCTATAACTACTGCTAAACACAACCATACATTGTACGTCATAAAAATTAACATCAGAAAGTACGATAGGACCATTTGAATCATGTGAAGGACCGTTTGGTAGAAGTGCATGCCGCTCAGCATCGTTGGTCTGTAAAAATGCAAAATCTATTAAACTAAATTCAAAATGAAATGCAGTGTTAATAAGACCAACATTACAGATGAAGATAAATCTAAGTAAAAAATAAATAATGTCGGATAAAATGTTAAAAAATGTAAGCAGGATTGGTTTATTTGTAGGAAAAATTAATAAAACAAGGGAATGAAAGCAAGAACAAAAGTTATTGTGCTGGAGTTTACGTTAGGTGCATTTTCCATACTACTTTGAACTTACGGCTGTTTATGGATGACTTCTCCCACCATACTAGAATTAGTCGGAAAAATCAGATTTAATTAATTGCAAATTACTTAATTAAGTAAAAATAATAGTTTTATATCGTTTTTAAGTATTCTAATATATTACTATATAACACTGAAAGAATGCATGCATAAGATTAGATTGCGTAACATTTTGTGATAATAAAAAAATTAAAAAACATCTAAAATATTAGATTGAAGAATTTGAAATTAAATATATGAATGCCTGCTGATATCGTCCACGTAGTCACCTTTGTTTAATAAACTTTGGTATATAGAATACTGTATTAGTTTTAATTCAGCTAAATATTTTCTCACTTAAAAAATTGAAACAAAAGTTTTACGTTAAAAATGTTTACAATTTTGCAAAAATATGTGACAAAATAATTAATTTCAATTATAGATTAAAAAAAAAACTTACTGGACAATTTGATTGTCTTCAGATACGACTCCCTTTTCGGGAAGTGTTACGGCCCTGTATTGTAGCGCATTGTAAGTTTTCCAAAATAGGTATTCTCTAAAATCACCAAAAATACATAAGCGACCCAAAAAAAAATCATTTTTCACCTGTAATATTTTAAGCCTTCGTAAAGAGCTGCCATGAAGAAAATTCCAATCATAGAACCAATCAAACCACCAATTGTTGTAAATTTCCATTGGTCAAAAAGCACAGTTTCATTATAACCAGTATGGAACTAAAAAAAATCAAATTTGTAAAAAGTCAAACAAAAAAAATAGTTTTCCCACAGCCATGGACATATGGCTCATATCATGTTTGGGCATGGTTGTAGTGCCCATGTTGTGGCCCATACTATGGTCCATTCCTTTATGCATACTGTGGTCCATGTCGTGGTTCATGTGTTGGTGATCCATTTCTGAAAATATTTTATCCATAACAGGTGTGGTTCAAAAAAAATTACAAATTTTCAGTGCTGTTTTTAGATTTATTTTATTCAATCTTAAATAAATAAAATTTGATAAAATAAATAAAATGACTGACCTATGTTTAAAGTAAAAGGATTCGTTGTTGTCCGCTTACTACAAGGAACTGAACTGGTCTAACTTTCATTAATACGGCTACGGTTAGTCAAATAAAAACTATTCTACGATTATTATCGTCCACCGATACATTTGTGTGGAGGGAAGTTCTCACTGTCACAAACGGATATATTCATGTTACCGATTTTTTAAAAGAATTTCCAAAAAAAAATTGATGTTCAAAAACCAAAAAAATTGAAAAAGTCGTAATTGAGTATTTTAATTTTTTAAAATGTTATCACCTAGACTATTTTTATCAAATGTCTCGTGTGAAAACAATGAAAATCATTATTATCTTTGTTTCCAATACCGATGATGAAATATCAAACAGCATTTCTTTTTTAATGAAAATATGTGCCTTAAAGGTGACCGATAAAATAACACATAAATTGTATTTTTCTTAAAGGGCAACGACCTAAAATTATTTCTGCTAACTTCATGTAAAATAAAAAAGTCAATTTGGTGTTGTCGCTAATATAAGATACCCAATTACCATTCAGAGTAGTCGCAAATATTTTATTATTCAAGGAATTTGGAATGTTTAAAGTCTGAAATTTTAGCGGTACAATAGTCATCATGATAATAATACAGATTGGAATTTCCGGCCTTGCTAGGCGTAAAAACAATTGTGTTTTGCTATTTAATTAATACCCTACAACTTTCAATTTCTCTTAAGATTTTTGAGACTTTTTTATTTCGTCATTTTCTTTTGAGCATTTACGACACCAAAAAAACAACTATTTTTGTGAATTAGGAGTACTGATATCGACCGCATCAGTTCGTGAAATTTTCTGTGGTTTCCTGTGGTCAAAATTAACAGAAAAACAAAGTAAAGGACGTAAAATCCCAAAACTACAAGTTTTGTTGCTATGAGATCAAAAACTTGTATCTTCAATCCTCGTTCTGTTCATTTTTATGCAAAAACTTTGTTGCACACGACTGATTTTCGCATGCACACGGCACCACAAAAGTACCGTTTTCCCAAATTTGGTCTTTAAGTACACTTATATAAAGGTACTTATCGTGAATAAAGTCTTACATTTTGCACACGATACCACTTTCGTACCGTGTGCAACAAGTACGAACTGCTTGGTAGTCACGTAACTTGTATTTGGCAACAGTTCCAGGTGTTATCAGTTGATGTGAATTTGTTTTCGATTATTGGCAGTGATGTGTTTGCTGATAAAAAATAGGACGAAAAGGATTAAAGGAGTGTTAATACAATAAATTTAACCAAAATGAAAATGCAGAATTATTGAGCCGACATTCAACCATTACTACTAATTTATTGTGTGTATTGACATTATTTTAATTTCAATTGGCCTAAATAAAAAGGCAGTCGAGTGTCGATGGACCAGCTGCTGTGTTATAATTAACAGAGAATGATATGCACAATAAGAACAAAGAAAGGACAAGAAATTTAGTTTATAAAAAAAACAATACAAAATAAAACAACAATAAAAATTACTAATTGTTTGTATTGTATCGGTTTGGGGTCCTTAAAATTCTTGATGTTTATCTCACGTGCGTAATTTAGTTAATTATTGATTAACTAATTCAATTATATTTCTAACTGTTATTAAACACCAGTTGTAAAATATTTTCTTTATCGAGAATGAAACATACATAAAACTCGCTTTTTATCTCATACTTCCGCAATGACTGTTTGATTAGAAAGTAATTTACAATTATTTTTAATTAGTTTTGGTACATTAACAATTATCAAGAATTGAAACACCTCGACAATGAAAACATATGTTATAAAATAACATACCCCTAAAGTTTTATAAAAACAACACCTTAGAAACTTTTAAAAACGTTCAACGCCGCAGGTGTATAGTCCACCTTAGCTGCTTACGTAATTAAACAACAAACGTAATTCACAATTAGAAATTAAAAATTCAGTAAAAGTACTAACCTTAGACTTGTCCTTATTCGCAAAATCCCAGCTAAGGCCGAACTACTGTCCAATATTAAAAGTGTCGGTGAAAGCTCAACTACTCCAGTTTTAAATAAATAACAATTCTTGTGCCTTTCACTTTGATCTTAGAATATGAGCCACATTTTTAGGTTATGTCCGGAAATTTATATAAAAGGTATTGACACTAATGCTCAGTTTTTTAACAAAATGAGGATGTTGATTTGAGCGAATTGTTTCGTTAAAGCATTTTGAAGACCTAATTAAAAAAATATTTAAATAATTGTTGTGCAACTTCACAATTTGACATTTGACAGAAACAACTAGGACAACAGGGCTACCAATCCCATGATGCTTTTGAATATTGAGGTTAATTTACACAAATTGCTCAGTATAAATAATGTTATAATTACTTCAAGTCAATTATATACAGATATAATACTACAAACTAGACAAATATCTTAATAAATTACACCGTTGCATTAGGGTTTATTACGTCTACTGGTGAATTCCTTTCTTGTGAAATGTCCATTTCAATTTCATCCTCTTCTTCTTCATCATGGCTTTCTGATTCGTCGTCATCATCGTTATCGTCTTCATCCTCTTCATCATCGTCCTCGTCCAAATTCTGTGATTTCAAAATGAGAAAAATACTATTTAAATGTTTATTTCTTGCCTTACCTCACAAACGGCTTTGCCAATAGGTGCTAAATCACTATCGCGTTGTGATATAGATTGTAGCTGCAAAAAATTAAATCAGAATTTGTGAAATTAATCATGAATTGGGGTACCTACCCAAGCTTGGTGTTGTGCTTCTAGTTGTGACACTTCTTCTTCGTCATCGCAAGGCTGATCCACGTCAAACCACAGCGGATCAATTAACTTTGGTTTTAATTTAGGAAATAACGGTATACTCATGTTACAAAGGGCTGTAATTAACACAGACAATTTTTAAAACTGTTGTGATTAAAATACCACTTGTCACGAGCACTACTACCAAATTTAGGATCACAATTTTCCTAAGAACCTAATCTCTAAAAATTCATATTTTTATTGAAGTGGGTAAATAAACATAATGTCAATTACAAAAGAAATCAACAAAAAGTGCAATCGATATTTAATTTAAAAAATTTGGGCTTAATTTTCTCTATAAATAATTTTTCTAAATAGTCAAAATCACCAACATGACGTTTTCCATTTCCCTAGTTTGGATGTGGACATTTGTTGGAGGTTTGGTTATGATTTTTGTTCTTCAAAAGTTCAAATCATAGAACACACTCAAATATGAACATGACATGATGATGGTAATTAAAAACTCTTCCGTGAAAACTATGGAAAATTACCAAGTCAACAACAAACTTACTTCTTGCTTTGAAAAATGTGCTTTTAAGAAAGGACAATCGTTTCGTGCCAGAATTACACAAATCTATGACCCTTCAAAATTTTGGATGGTTACAAAATTTCGAGAACTCGAAGTGTTTCAAAAGTGTATGTTCAAGTATTATTATATGAACCGGAGTAAATATAAAATACCAAGGGATAAATTTGCCGTAGACTTGTACTGTGTTGTCTTTACTGATGGGGGCTATTATCGAGGTGTGATTGTTGGATTCCCCGTCACTCACCAGAAGGATCAGGAAGCACAAATATACTTCATTGATTACGGCATGTTGAAAATTGTAGAGATGAATAATATTTATTTCATGACTGAGAAGTTTTGTCAAGTGCCACGTTTTGCTGTGAGAGCGTCCTTAGCAGGAGTGTGTCCTAAAACTACGTCGCAATGGACTTCTGAGGATGTCTTCGAGTTTCATCAATTGGTAGACAACAAAATTTTAATGGGATTGATAGTTAATATTGACGCAAACAGACAAGTTTTGGAAGTGCATATTAGTGAGGAAAAACATGGTGTTTCTATGATTCCAATCCATAAAATGTTAATTTCACAAAAACGAGCCAGACTTTTTCATGATACAGAGGAAACTTTTGACAAAGGTGTTTTACAACCAAAGCTAAAATACCCCTATTTATTTCCTTCACATGACGCCATAGAAAGCGGGAAAATTCCTACCAATATCAGTGACGCTGAATATCAAATACAGTTCGCGTCGATGTCTTCAATTGTTGATCGTTATTATCAAAAAAGGGAGACCATTAATGCTGACTAAAACTTTCAAATTTGATGCCACATTTTTATGTTGGTAGATCTGCATGTCAATTCACATTTTTTTATTAAAGTGTGGTTATGTTTATTTTATATTTTATAAATAAAAAATAAAAATTTTGCTATTCTATGATAATAAAAACAAAATGTCTTTACCTTGGATCACAATTAATTCAACGTAATTTTAAAGTGGCTCAATAACAATTGTTTAATTTTATGATTTCAGACTCCAGGGAGGTGTCTCTTTAATTAACTCCTTGAACAGGAACAAATTTAATCTGTTATTAAAACACATTGTCCAGTCTGAAAAAGACGAAATTTTTACACAAGCAGAACTAACAAAACTTTCCGAATCTTTAAAATTAGATGACGCAAAAATTCAACTTTTAATTCAAAGTATAGCTCACATTTTCAAACAAGCCTCTAAAGTGATTCTAAAACCGACTATTTTGCAAGACCAATTGGTAGAAAAATTGAAATTTGATTCTGATAAGGCTGAAGATTTCGTAAAGTTGTGGACACAAGAAACCAAGAAGAATTTTGATGTGGAGAATTCAAAGAACTTGGATAACTTATCGTGGGAGTTGAATGTTGAAGCTGCTTCAAGTTTTTCAAACAAGGAGCGTTTTGTCCATTCGCGCTTGCAAATGGCACTTGTTAGTGTGAATGGAGATGAAAAAGAAGATGTGATTTTAGAATTAGATGAAAATGAGCTAAAACATTTGTACAACACTTTGGAGAAAATTCAAAATAAATTAGATTCTATTTAAAATGTATTTTATTGACGTCAGGTAAGATTCACTATAAGATTTTTTTGGGCCTCCTTACTTGGTAACAAATTATGATGAACATTTTGTTCTGGCCTTGCCTCTGTGTGTATTGTTGCTGCTGATAATAGCATATGCATGGCCCCTTGCAACTCGGTCATATCATTTGCAATTTCTGCTTCTTCTCTTAGGAGATGAGTCAAACTGATTAACAAATTCCTAACTTCTGGATTCAAAATTAGTGGATTTTCTTCATAAGTATCAATAAAAATATTTGCTGCATCAATTAATACCTTAGCAAAGCGATTTTCTGTTATATTTCTAATAAAAAATCGTAAAATTTGAGTCAATGACTTTACGTCTCGTCCAACAAAAGCTTTTTGTAATGCTCGTCTTTTTATAAGCTCTTGAATCACACTTACAGTCACTTGGGGCGTTTTATTTGCCACATAGGACACTAAAACGCAATCGAGTGCTTTGGAATATTCAAATTTACGCAAACATTTATCATATTTTGTTTCTTTTTCCTGATTAAACTGAGGTATGATTACGTCAACAGTGGGCTGATGCAAGTTTGTTTTGTGTTGGAAAGAAATCTGTTTTCTAACTTTTTCTGTTTTCTCATCTTCTCTACGACTTATCGCGACTAAACCGTCAACAAGGCCCACAACTACTGTTTCGTCATTTTTGGAAACCCCCATACTTAAAATAGCATTAGGGTAGTCTAAAGTGTGAACTGCTTTGTAACTACTGAGGTCATAGATTTTTACATGTCTATCCAAACTTCCTGATAACAATCGTTTGTTATCTGAGGCCAATCTGAGACAAGTTATGGTTTTGTGGTGTTGGGAAATACTCCCCAGTAATTTACCACCAGCCACTGTGTCCCATATTTTAATTTCCGTCCCTCCAGCTGATAGAAAAATACTACCACTGGGTAAAAATAAAAGAGACTCAACAGGACTACCATGATTCACATTGAGAATCATTTCATTTGTCCTTGTGTCATACATTTTTATAAAATTATCATATCCTCCTGCAAGGACAACATCAGGAACGGCAGGATTTGTAGCCCCAGCTCTGATGTAATCAGTATGGTCTGAATATGTAATAACGTTAGTCTCAGTAGGAATGTCCCAAATTTTCACGCTTTTGTCGTCCGAAAATGACGCAATTTGAGGCTTCCCTTCAATGAAAAATGTCCTATGAATTGCAGCACTGTGTCCTTTAAACAATCTACAACAAGAAATTAATACCACTCAAACACACAATTTTATTACCTTAAAAGACTTTTTGTCGAAACATCAAATAATTTAACACTGGCTTCTTCACCACCGGCACATATAAGCCGACCATCTGATCGAAAAACAGCCCCATAAGCACTTTCCCTAAATCTTGATAAATTCTTAGCTACTAGTTTTGTAACCGGATTGTAGACTTGCACACGCACTGAACATGTTACTGCAAAGTAGTAGGGCTCAACAGGAGAAAAATCGATGTAATCAATGGGGCCAAACTCCTTCACTAAGACAGGGGGCTACAAAATTAACTTTTATTTCATGGTAAAATGCATGGCAATACTAACACTAAGTTGCTTCCAATAAATAAAGTCTGGTGTGACCACAGACGCACTTTTTTGGTAGATTTTTGTATTCAATTTCTTGAACGAACTCATATTTTTAAAGTTGGTCCACACGTGGTTTTGACATTAGCCCACAAAATAATCATGCCTGAAATCCCATTAGATAAAATAAAACTCTGCAACTAGTAATTAGTTTTATTAATTTATTATTAACACAATTATAATTTCTGTAAATTAATTTTATCCACATTGGTGAAAGTACGCGTATATTATTTTTTTTTAGTAATTTGTATAATGATTTTTTGGTCATTTGACATGTATCCAACAAACGCCAATTTTTTATGCATATTTTAACAAAATAAATGTTTTGTATTTATTTTCTGCAACGTAATTCGATTATGTCAACTGTCTGATTGCCACCAACCAAAAAAAGCTATAAGTTTTGTAATATTTAATTAAGTATTTAAATAAAATTAATTGTTAATTTATTAGGATTGGCGTTTGTGAGATGTGGCGATTGTCAAAATCGGCAAAAACAGCGCGCGCGCACAACACTCGTTTGTTGTCAATCTCATTGTCAACATTTCTTTTTAATAATAATTAGAAGATAAAGCCTGAATGCTTCCCGCAATTTTTGATATAGTAACTTAGTTAATCTTGTAAAGATGTTATGTGTGATGTTTCGCTGGTAGTTAATTTTTCTTAAGGTCATTAACCCCTTGAATCTGTTAGGATGTCCAAAACGCGGATGTATCCCGTTTACGGGAAAACCCCAGCTTGTTCAATACAATCTCGACTGGAAGAACGAAGAAATAAAGCAAAAGCCTCAAGACTAGAGCATAATCGAAGAACTGACAAGCCTGAAGACTTCATTACTTATGAAGATAGTGACAGTGATGAAGAGACTGTAGCAATGCAAAAAGAAGTTTTAAATACCTCGTACAACTTTGTAGATTACATTAAAAGTAGGGAAATGTATGCCAAAAACATTACTTCTGTGTTACGTGACTATGGGTCTCGTCATATTCTCACGCATGAAATGTTTCGTGAAACCCCCGTTACCTTGGGTAACATGAATAAAGTATTTTGTTCTCAGTGGTTGAGTGACAGGCAGGTTGTTTTTGGTACAAAGTGTAATAAGGTATTTGATTGTCTTAAAATCTGTCCGAAAAAAATCACAAGTGCGTTCCAGTTGATGGTATACAATGTAGTAACACATAAACTCGATCAAATCCCGTCTTTAGTGAGTAGGAGAGATAGTCTGGGGGCTGAGCAAGCTCACTGTGGCTTACATTCAGTACAAATCAACCCCTCAAGGACGCTTCTAGCAACAGGGGCCCGAAACACGTGTGATGTAGCAGTATACAGGTTGCCAACCCTTGATCCTGTTTGTGTGGGTGAAAATGCGCATAAAGATTGGGTGTTTGACATGTGTTGGTTGGATGATGAGTTTCTGGTCTCTGGGTCAAGGGACACGAAAATGGCTCTTTGGAGGATAACGCCTGACTTGTTTGAAAATAAAACGGAGGTCCCTATGTATCATCATGTTTCTGCCATTTCTGTAAAAGAGTGTCGCAACTCACAAAGGGTAAATTGTAGGTTTTTGGCAAATAAAAATTTAATTTTTTTATCAGGTCAGGGCTTTGACTTTCAATAAGGCCTATGAGGAAATTGCAGCGTTGAGTTTAAACGGTTACATCCACATATGGAACGCAGAAACTTTTAAACAGAAATTGTCTAGAAAATTGCCTTCTACGCAAGAAAATGTGTGTTTAGCGGTCCAAGAATCAGGATTATATGCAATTGGGTGCAGGTCATACACATTGCTATTAGACTGCCGGACGCTTCAGGTATTTAAAGTAATTGCAAAATTAGTTTTTGGTCATAAAAAATATTTCCAGGCCGTTAAAAAGGTTTCTTCGCGTTATTCTGGGTGTGGAATAAGATCAGCCAGTTTTCAAGGTGATGTACTAACTGTAGGAACTGGGTTAGGGATGTTAATGTTTTATGACTTGAAAGCTGGAAAATATTTAGATTCTAGTATAAATTCTTCACGGACGGTTGTACTTAAAACCAGTAGAGGCTATGTGGTATGTTTGATTTTCGACGTTTCTGCAAAATGAAATTTTTTTTTTAGTTTCCTGACGACGAATTCGTAGATAATATACAGAATGTAAAATACGTTCCCGCTATTTATACACATTGTTACGATACTAGTGGAACGCGATTATTCACTGCCGGAGGGCCCTTGCCGGCCACACTAACAGGAAATTATGCAGGTTTATGGCAATAGTTGAATTAAATCCTAGTATTAAGAATGAAATTAAGTTTGAAATACTAAAAGACAAGGTCAATAATAAAAAGAAAACTTATATTGTATGTATAGTTTTAAATGGCTTTATTGTTGATGGATGTACTTGTGCAATGCATTCCTTTTTTATTTTTGATTTTTTTGTTTATCAAGTGGACTAGTCATATTTTATACTTTCGCCTCGTCACACTGTACATACAACATAAGGTTATTTGTTCTGTAATTGTGATATTAATATTTACTGAATAAAAGGGTGGCAGACCTCGGTTTATTTCTGTCTTTTTCAGATTTTTTTTTTATTTATCACAGGCCCTACTAAGTAAAGGTGGTTAGGTACGTAATAAAAAAAAATATTATGAAATGAATTATATTGATTGAACTGAACAACTAGTGGAAAATGTTCACAGTTCTTGAAGATAAAGATCAACTACAATTCCTACGTAAACAAATAGTTTTTCAAGTTATTGTTTACAATTATTGTATCCGATGTTAAATATTGTCTAATTACAAGTTTTTTAGAATTAACCTTACTTAACATTTGGCACATTGTGACTATTACATTTAAAGTAGTACTGAGATCAGACATTAAATCACAATATTTATCAAGTCTCAAAATTAACATCGACTTTGTGATTTTTACTTATGGCAAATAATTTTTGGTTTGTATCTCAGACGGTGGTAAACTGTGTAATCGTTGCACTTTTTGTTTTTTTTTTTAATTTTTTTAATTTTTTCGAAAAAGGCTAAGTCTCTAGACCCGTATTTGATATGTATGTTTTACCAAATTACGAGCACGATTAAGTTAACCTCTCGTAACATTAAGCGTAAAAATATGAGAGAGTGTTATTTACTTATATAATATACAAACGAAGTATAAAAATAAACACGAACCTGTACAAAATAATACTTTTTTCAACCACAATGAGTTTTTAAAAATGTTTCATTGCGGCAGCTGTTTTATGTTTTTTTTTGGTATTTTTTTTTCTATATAAAGCGAAAAAAAATCACAGAGAGTTTACAATAACAACAACAATAAATATCCCCTAGGAAAAAAAATCGGATTCAACACCGGGAACATATCAAGAAGAAACTTCTACAACTTATACTTAGATCAAATTCAACTGCTTAAAAAGTTACGGAATGTATCAGAAGGCCACTATTGCCACAAAATCCCATCATAATTTTTATAAACAATTCAATTATCTTTGACCAGTGTTACTGGAAGTATATTACTCAATTGTTTATTTCGTGCCAATTCTTTATACGATGCCGAAATCACTTGTTTGATATGTTTGAAAATTTCCAAATCAAACACGGATCTGGCAGTATTGGAGAGATCGAAAGGTTCCTCAATACACAAAAATTTCCATTGGTGAGGGTCGTTCTTAGGACTTTTTACCTGTTTACAGATTTCAATCGGTATGCGTGAACCGGTACGTACTGAAATAGCATAATGTTGATAGTTAAAATAGGAGTAATAGTGGAAAAAACCGATCAGTAAATCACCAAGACATCTTGTGTTTTCAGATTCAAAGTCCTTCAAACCTTCCACTCCTCCTTGCACGTCCAACGACCGGTTCTCCTGCAAATTGAACTCTTCGGGGTACAAGCTGTGCAGGCAAGGGAGCACCGCCGGAAACACCCCACCTACAAGAACCAAATTTCAACAAACACGCCGAAATGGACGCCAAAAATTAATTAAAAGTACACATTTACACGTTAAAAAATTTTCAAAATGATTTTTCAAGCTTAAAAACTTTGCTAAACAACACACTTCAATTTAAAGAAGTACAAACCGCGTAATTTATGTAAAAAATATGATCAGGACCTGATATACACAATTAAACATTAGATGGTAAAAAAATTTAAATTAAGGTCGTCAGTTCATAAATAAACATAATGTTGAATTACAAGTTTCTAAAATCTTAATTCAAAAGAAAAAAAAAATTGTAAAATCCTTATTAAATATCTGACTTTATTAATCAATTTTACGAGTGCAAAGTCTATACAAAAGTTGAAAAAAATAAGAAGTTAGATACGAAATATTTAAATTTATTCCAAGTTTTCCTCATTTTTTTACTTACATTGCAAATAGTGTATGACCATCAACGTCCACGAATAGCTTGAAATGGTCATATTTTTGGCATCATTAATGTTGTTCTTTTGCGCCCAGATCTTGACCATTACCACTAGAGGTCGCACTCTCCAATCAAGTTGGGCATAACAGTACAAGAGTCGCGTATTTTGAATTCCGACGATGTTATTACAATTCAAATCAATTTCAAATCCGGTTTCTTTATTTTTGAATTTTAAAATCGGTACCTTCGCCATAATTAGTTCAGCTTCGCTTGCCAGACCTACATTCAACAATGAATTTCCATAACTGTAAAAATTATATTTTACCATTTTCTAAGAGAGCGTGTTGCAAATAATCCAAATGGTGTAGCGAATCAATTCTTGGCTCGTTACTGATGGGTTTTGTTAAAAGACAAATGTCAATGTCGCTACCTTCTAGAGCGAAGCCCGACATGGTGGACCCCACTAAATACAATCCATAGTTATTTAACATCTGAAAAGTAATTATAATGTTTTTTTACATCAATTTAAGCGGATTCGTATACCCTAAAAAATAAAAATATTGCTTTCCATAAGTTGAGTTTACTTGTGTAAGTTTCTTGTTTTTGTATTTTGTTAGTGAAGACATCCCATATTGCTTGATTCAGAGGGTCCCAAGGGCCCCCATTTAGCAAAATTTGTGGTTTGGGATCAATTTTCATTTTATAAGCCCTTGACTGAAAACGGCGCATCAAACCATGTACCTTTCTTTCAGTTTCTTCCAAATTGTTAAAAAATCTCTTCTGGCCTCCACGATAATAATACTTGCTACAATGCCACTTTTAATATGATTGATTAATCGCAAATGGTTCGAAAATGTTACCTGGTTCTGCTGCAACGTACATTTGGTTGATACAAGTTTGGTTGATAAATACATGTCTGGTTGCAGAATTCACTTTGGTCAGTCTCTTTAGCCGTCTCAGAACGTTTAAACTTCATTCCTTTACTGTCAGGGGCGTCTTTAGGTGAATGTGATATACTGCTTTCATCGCTTTCGCACTCTTGTGGAGAGTTTGTACCTCGTTGCTCATAACTTTTCACTTGGATGTTATTATTGCAATTGACCATTTTTTGGTGTGAGGTGATCAAATTCAATGGCATCTTGTTTATTACAGATCCATTCACGTAATTGTAAAACTCTTGACTGAAGTTGTATTGGGGGTAATTGTGGTTTTCCTCAAAATTGTGAAAATCGTGCAGATTGAACTCTTCTTTGCTGCTGTACACACTGATCAAGTTTATGTTATTTTGGGGCGACATTGTATGAATTCCCGATGCCATTTTACCAAAAACTCCCCAAGTTTAGAGCCGAATAACTGTCAATCCATTCTGTAAAAAAGATTCAGCTTTTTTGTGAGTTTTTTCCCAAGTGCAAAAAATTGAATCAAAATGTGAGGTTAAAAAACTGACAACTCCTGTCAATAACAAACTTTGTACTTACCTAAAAGAGCAAATATTTTCAGTTTTAACATGAAATAACTTCTAACAATAAGCACACGATAAATTATTACACTTTTACAATTTATTTTAATGTTTATTGCCGCCAAATAACGCCTGCGCTCTCATTTTTCTAATGCCAACCTAAAAAATGCAGAACACCCTAGGAAATAAAAACTAATTAAAAAAAAACAATTTATTAAAAAACTAATCCAAATTTTGTAATAGGGATTTGATGAGTTCCATTTTTTCTTTGTGTCTTCTCTCACGACCTTCCTCTTTCCGTTTAAAAATCTCCCATAAGACATCCGCAAGAGATTTGTCTTTTTTATTAGAAATTTCTATTGTTTCATTTCTAGATGAAGAAGGTTTATTATGATTTGTAAAGACTGTCTCTGTATCATCGTTAGATTCTTGCCCCGCTTGTTTCCTCCATTTTCTTAATATTGTTTTATATCTGTTTTCGCATTGAGCAGCTGAACGATTTATTTTTAATTCAAGTTTAATATCTTGAGAAACGAGTTGCCATAATTCCCTTTTTGTTCTAAATCTCTTCTTAGGGCCGGTACAAACTATATATTTGTTATACTTTTTCAATAAATAATTTGTCTCTTTCTTGGTCCATTCAACTATATTTGGTGTTTCTTCAACTTGTAGTACATTTTTAGTATTCACAAGTAAATTTTGTCCAGTATTGTCATCAGAAGTGTCTATAAATATTAAAATTAATTCATAACACATGCCGATTTTTCGAAGACTTACCATTTACTACGTTTAGATCCTCCAACATTAAAGTCGAAGTGTCTTGGAGTTTTTCTGCAGATAGGTCATCAGAGGCCTCTTCATCGTATATTATTTGTATAAAACTCATTTTGAAAATAATCCCACACTTTTTTTGAAATCAGGATTTGCATAAGTTTGTTCTTTACTCCACTTACCCCCAGAACAGTTCTCTCAATGAACAACGGTAAGAAAACTCTAAGTGGCAAGTTCGACGACAAAAAAATTACACATGTTGTTAAATATTCTACGTAAATTAGGTCGTCTCGATTGCAATTATTTCTCTTAAAACCTAAAGATGTGTGAAACAATTTGCAGAACTACTCAGTGTCGGACCGGAACAAACACCATCTTGGGTATTTAAGCGCCAAATTTAAAAATTTATTCAGTAAAAAAACTATACAATAACGTGTTTTTCATAATAGGGATACAATTTGAATTTACCCAGTTTTTCCCCGTTTACATAATTATACGAGTTGCAACAATCGGTGCACATAAAAACTTTATGTTGTGGCAGTCTATCACTATCAACAACTATCCACTTTGCAAATGAAACAGAACACATGAAACACATTCTGTTTGCGTTGCGATTTAATTTCAAAACGTGAGGATAACACTGAGAATGCAGACAATCACTAGAATCCAATAATCTAGCATCAGCAAAAACAAATAAATGCTCGCAATCTCCTTGATGCAGATACAAGTAAGGGTAGCCAAATCTTGGTGTTAGACTGTCAATTCTTACATTTTCCATATTTTCGCATGACAGATTTTTTATTTTCTTTTCTTTGGTCCATTCAATTATCGGAAATGAATAATCTATAGAATTTGGGTCGCGAAAATCGTTATAAAAAACGTTGTCAATAAAAATAAAACCAGAAGGGTATATGTTCTGAAACCAAATAATCAAACCACATATTTTTGCAAGTTTTACAATCATACTCTCGCATTTGCCTGTGCTCTTAAGTCAGCTGATGTGTTTTCAACTTCTTTGCAAAGACCAAAATCTGATGAGCAAACAATTGTGTCTCTTAACTCAGTCAAAGTGTTTCCACCCAAAAGAACTATTTCGTGGCTGAATCTTAATTTCTCAGATGCGTTTTTTGCGTTGAAAAATTTAAATTCTATTGGTTTGTATATCAATACTGAGATGACAAAATCTGAGCCAGGTTTGAGGTCTGGGGGAAACGGCGGAACGGAAAACTAAAAATTCAATTTAAAATTAATAAATTTACTATACTGTGCATACCTCTAATTTTTTATGATAACTTCTTTTATTCATGGTACATAGCCGTGATGCATTTTTTTGTTTTTCAAGTTCTTGAATGAATTTATTTATTGCAAAGTGATTGGTTTCTGTTGTTATAAATGGGGCCGGAAATTTTGTACTGGAATTTATATTTTCTGGTAGTTTTGTTGGGAAATTTTTGGTATTCTCTCCCTCACAAGTTAATTGATCAATACTAAAAAATAAGTCTGATTTTCAGTTCGATGAAATTATAACAATACCTGCACTTTTCTGACAAGTGTTTTAATTCATTGTAAGATATTTCAGCACCCATCAAGTCCTTGATTGCTAATAAATATTCCGTTTCATTGGTGTTTCCTAGTTTGATATTCGGAACCCCCACGGATGCCTTGCCGAATTCCTCAAAATAGCTTTTCAAAGGAAAACGGGTGGAAGCACCATAACCTTCCGGTGGATAAATCTCTTCCATTATTTTGCTTATTTAAAACAATTTTCTTTTCCAATTCGCTTCAAAATGAGGTTAAGTATCTGTCACTTTGACAGTTGTCAAAATATGGTCAAAATTTGACAAATTATTATTTGTGGCTTGTCATCCCAAAATAACAATAATTTATTTGCGATTATGTTTGTTCATCGTTAAGTAGAAAATACAAAAAGTGTGTGTTAAAAATGGCAGACTACTTTCAAGAAATGGGGTGGCAGCCCCTTTCAGATGGTCAGGCCCCCAACCACTTGCTACATTTTGCTCGTTTATTTCGTGATTACAACATATTTGACGAGTCTTTAACCCAGACGTTAGCACCCCCGGCTTCAAAAAGTGTTGTGGAAAATTTACCAAGCATTACTATCAATGAACAAGGTGGGTAAACAAAATTTGTCTCTTACAAATGTACGATTTAGTGCATTTTAGGAGTAAAATGCCCTGTGTGTCTCAAGGAGCATGGAGAAGGTGAAACAGTGAAGAAAATGCCTTGTAATCATACTTTTCATGCTGAATGTATATTGCCATGGCTGGAAAAGGTATTATTATCTCTAGATTTTTAAGTGTTATTGTTAAAATCAATATATTTTTTTAGACTAATTCGTGCCCTTTATGTCGTTTTGAATTGGCTACTGATGATGAAGATTATGAAGCTTTCCGTAAAGAAAAACTTCGCGCCAAGGCGAGGGAGGCAGATATTGAAATATTGCACAATTCAATGTTTTCATGATAATTCTTTTTTTTTTTCTTTACATTTAATTGGTAGGTAATGGTTGTGTATTTGAATGAATTTATTTAATAATTGTGCAAAATGCAAAACGTTCAAGAAAATATGATTCCGATTGTGTATTTATATTTGAAACCATCAAAAATTCTCGCCACGAGTCCTAGCTATAAGTGAATAACGTTCATAAGTTCGAATAAAATATTGATGTAGTGACGTATTTCCTTTTTCGGAAATTTTGATGAATCAAGAATGAAAATTACAAACCTGGTTTTTTCTTCAAGATCAATTTATCCTCATGAAAACCTTTCATTGTTAAATCACTGTTAAATTGGGCGAGATCACTTTCAAATTCATTTCAACGCTTTCGAAAATTTTAAAAATATGATAATTCTAAACTAACTGATGAAAGTAATTTTTTTTCGTTTGCCTGCGCATACATTCCTCGCAAATAATTGAATATACAAAAAGATATAAAAATAATTGGTAGAAAACTATGTGTTGGTATATAGAGGGTTTCAAATAAAACAATGAAAAAATGAGCTAAATTCAGTGTTTTTCTGGCCATACAATATCCTCAATCCATTTAATGTAATGCGAAACTCTTGTATATATACCTGGACCCAGTCCACAGGCTTTACCAAAAGAAGTAATCCCTACTATATCATACATACACGAAATATCATCACCTTCGTGGTATATCTGTAACGGCCCTCCAGCGTCCCCCTTCAATTTTTAATTTTACTTTGTTGTATAAAACAGAGTCTAAATTACCTGACAAGTATCCTTCTCATCTTTCCCTGAACCAGCACATAGCTGAATATCGTCCACAACACCTCTTCGTAGATTTCTTGAAATGAGGTCTTTGTAAGTCATATTACAAAATTCATTGCTAACAAAAACCAGCTCCACTTTGTTTAATTGGTCACTTAGTGAACCTGACGCAAAACTTGTGAAACCCCATCCAGTAGCTATACCCTTTTCCACTGAAATTGATTTTTCTGTGTAAAGACAAGCAGGTCTTGCGTACGAATTTAATTCAATCGGCTTTTCAAGTTTTACAAGTCCTATGTCATTATATTTGGCAGGAGGTTTATAGTCTGGATGTGCAATGGTTTGTAATACATTCAGTTCTTGTTTATGATCAGTTTCATTAACATTAGTAACCCCAATTTTCACATATTTAAGTGTGAGGCCATTTCTTAAAAAATAGTTTCAACAATAGAATTCTAACGAATAAAACTCACCGTAAGGAAGTTACAAAACAATGAGCAGCGGTTAAAATAAACCTATCGCTAATAATTGTACCTCCACAAAGCCATTTTATGACTTCATTATCTTCGGTCTCATATCCTAAAAACGCCTAAAATATAGACGTATAGGTAAATGTAACCAATAAATTAAACTGATTTACCATGTGTGGAAATTCTTTTCTACCTGATACTACTCCACCAACAATCCGTTTAACAATTTTATGTCCACATTCATTTTTCGCATAAGAATATTCTTTGCATTCTGAAATTCAAGGCTAATAAAATGACCACTGGCTGACCTTTAGATAATTTACTTGTTTTCACAATATCACCTGGATTTCTTTTTTCTGTGACTTGTGGACAGCAAACTATAGTTTGAGTTTCCCGAAATCCACATAATTGAGGAAGACGTTGATTTTTTATTATATCGTCTCGCACTTGACGACATTCAGTTAACAATTTACAAGTACCTGGAAATCCAGACGGATTTACTGTGCATGCAGAACCTAAAATAGTAGGTATTTGAAATTAATAAAATTTTATTATTTCATATACCGTAATCATCAGCTTACCGTATACTTGGCCATAAACAATTTCGAGTGAAGTTGTGAAAAATCCAAGTGCAATAAGCAAATAAAACATTTCTTATTTAAATAACTTATGCGACTAATATGTAAATCGCATGTTTAATAATAAACAAGGTTAAAAGTTATCTCTTTCTCTGACTTCTTCATTGATGATAACTTTTTTGGTTTATCTAGTATATTGAAGTGGGAAAAATGTCATAAATAAATCATTATTAACATAAATATGTGGTTTGTTTAGAATTAAAGAAGACATGTTTCATTTGCATATCACATTTTTAGTTTTTACAGCTTTAATAGAAATTGTTTATGGTCACCTAAATGGTAAGTTACGGGACGAATATTATTTTTGTATACCTACTACCCACAGGTGCTTCATGCACGGTACATCCAACTGGATTTCCAGGTATTTGTAAATTGTTAACTGAATGTCGTCAAGTGCGACACGATATAATAAAAAATCACCATCTTCCACAATTATGTGGATTTCGGGAAACTCAACCGATAGTTTGCTGTCCACAAGTTACACAAAATAGAAAACCAGGTGATATAAGCAAGATAAGTAAGAACTACTTATAGCGAAGCAAATCATTTTCTTCATTTTGAATTTCAGAATGCAAAGAATATTCTTCTTATGCGAAAAATGAATGTGGACATAAAATTGTTAAACGGATTATCGGTGGAGAAGTCGCAACGAGGAAGGAATTTCCTCATATGGTAGGCAGAATAGGTTTATTTTATTAAAAAATGTGTATTTTCACTATTTATTTCACAGGCGTTATTAGGATTTGAGGAAGCTAGTGGGAACGTAACTTCGATTTGTGGAGGTACAATTATTAGCGATAGGTTTATTTTAACCGCTGCTCAATGTTTCTCACAGTGAGTTTTATTCGTTATTCCATTAGAATTCTATTGTTGAAACTATTTTTTAAGAAATGGTATCACACGTATAAATGTAAAAATTGGGGTTACTAATGTTAATGAAACTGATCATAAACAAGAACTGAATGTATTACAAACCATTGCACATACAAACTACGATTCTTTTTCCTTCTATAATGACATAGCACTTGTAAAACTTGAAAAACCGATTGAATTAAATTCGTACGCAAGACCTGCCTGTCTTTACACAGAAAAATCAATTTCAGTGGAAAAGGGTATAGCTACTGGATGGGGTATAACAAGTTTTCCGTCACATTCACAAAGTGATCAGTTAAACAAAGTGGAGCTAGTTTTTGTTAGCAATGAATTATGTAATAAGACTTATGATGGTTTTGTTGTGGACGATAGTCAGCTATGTGCCGGTTCAGGGAAAGATGAGAAAGATACTTGTCAGGTGAGTTAGACCCTGTTTTATACAACAAAGTAAAATTTAAAAATTAAAGGGGGACTCTGGAGGGCCATTGCAGATATACCACGAAGGTGATGATATTTTGTGCATGTATGATGTAGTTGGAATTACTTCTTTTGGTCAATTCGACTGTGGATTGGCTCCAGGTGTATATACAAGAGTTTCGCATTACATTAAATGGATTGAAGATATCGTATGGCCAGAAAAACACTGAATTTAGCTTATTTTTTTATTGTTTTATTTGAGACCCTCCACGCGGACTCTACCAACACCGAATATTTTTATATCTTTTTATTTGCGAGCAATGTACGCGCAGGCAAACGAAATAAATTTACTTTCATCGTATTTTTATAATTTTCGTAATTTTATCGTATTTTTATAATTTTTGCAATCTTAAGAAATGTACGAAGGGGTATTGTAGACGATATTCAGCTATGTGCGGGTTCAGGGAAAGATCAGAAAGATTCTTGACAGGTAAATTTTTACACGTAGTTATGGGTTTTTTACAATTTAAAATTAATTTTAAAAGGGGGTCGCTGGGGATCGATGCAGATATACCACGAAGGTGATGATATTTTGTGCATGTATGATATAGTTGGAATTACTTCTTTTGCTAAAGCCTGTGGACTGGCTCCAGGTACAAGAGTCTCGCATTACATTAAACGGATTGAGGATATTGTATGGCCAAAAAAACACTGAGTGTAGTTATAAGTATGAAACCAAGCGTTTTTTTTTCGTAAACTAACCACTTTAAGAAAAAAAAAAAATAGTGTAGCTTAAACTACAATTAAAATGTGACTATTTATCAAGAATAACATTTTTCGAAATTTTTTTCAGTTTTTGAGTTTTGGAAAAAAAAATTTATATGGCAACCCACCCGGTTTGTATTAGAGTACTGACAATAATTTTTTTATATGAGTGTAAAAAACATTTATTTGATGTTTTTATTTATTTGTTTACTTGTTTCTTTGTTGTAGCTTTGGGAAGTTTTGGTGTGTACTCTGTTTTTTCTTTAAATGGAAATTACTAAATCAAAATTTTGGTGAAAAATTTGTTAGCAGCTTGTCTCCATAGCCCGCCCTCTTTTGACATTTATTTGAATTATATTTGAATTTGAGAAAAATTGCCGACTTGACCGGGGGTCGAACTCTGGACCTACCTGCTGGAAAGCGGGACCTTATGCCGCTGAGCCACCACCGCCGCCGATAATTTCCTTCAATATATTTTACACAAAATTTTTCAAAAATTTATTTTTCGCATTTTTACAATGTTTTTGTGCTTTATAAAGTTTTTTGAACATCCAAGAGTGCAAATGGACAATTTTGAAGTTTTTAATTTTTTCGATTTTTGTCGAAATTTTGGGCGATTTTCCACAAAATCCACTGAACACAATGCAACAAGTTAAAATACTCTACGATGCATAGTTTTTGAGATATTGAGTAATAAAGTTAAGAATAAGGCCAGAAGCATAAGCACTATATCCGATTATGACCAAAAAATCTACATTTTTTGATGCTTATGAAAAACTAGTACTATACACTGTGTCAATTTAAAACTTGCAATCGGCAATTTCTCTCAACTGAAAAAGTTATTAATAATCACTCAAAACTGTTTTGGTGGTTCTTAGGGGGAATTAAAATGACATGATAAGTGACACACCTTCACCCACCCTTGAATATAGTAAAAAAAATGAAAATTTAACGTCTTCGTTTTTGAATAATTGGAAAAATAACTTTACCAAATAGGCTGTTGTATGACATTTTTGAAAAGCGCTTGTTATGGGCTTTTCAACGATATATCGCAAGTAGGGTCGTGCTATTTAAAATTTTTAACTTAAGGTGGCTGCGGCTTGAAGGGTGGGTGGAGGAGCGTCACTTACCATGCCATTTTGATTCCCCCTAAAAACCACCGAAACGGTTTTGAGTGAGTCTCAATAACTTTTTTAGTTCTAGAGGTATTGGCAATTGCAAGTTTTAAAAGTGTTGACAAATTTTTACTTTTTTTTATTTTATAAATTGCGGCAAAACTGTGTCTCAATGATATAATATTTTGACGTAAACCTACGTAAAATGTTTCGAGGAATCGATTGGCGTCAAGAAAACTGCAAAATTCCTAATAGTTTTTAAGTTATAGACGTATTTAAATTTTTGATATTTTTGACTTAATCACAAATTTTCTCGTAAACTATTTATCGTAGAGCACTGATCTTTTTTGTATATGATAGAAAATTACATTTTATTTCCAACGGTACCAAATATAACAAGTTATCTCCAATAAGTCCGGAGTTATTGCCAATAGACCGCTCCGGGTGGCAAAAATCGACCAAAATCTCGACAAAAATCAAAAAAATTTTCAACTTTAAAATTGATCCATTTAACGTTTTTTACATTTCTAGAGGTCTTAAAGACTCAAATAAGTGCATAAAACGCCATTGGGACAAGTTTCAAAATTTTTTAATTTTTTGAATTTTTGAAGATGAGCGGTAGTAAAATCGTAAAAATAGTCAATTTACTAAAAATCGTAAAAACGGTTGAAATATGGTTTTCTAGACGTAAAATTACGCGCTGAACACGATGCAACAAGTTAGAATACTCTGCGATGCATAGTTTTTGAAATATTGAGTAATAAAATTAAGAATAAGGCTAGAAAGCATAAGCACTATACTTATCCGATTTTGCCCAAAAATCATTTTTTTTTATTCTTATGAAAAACTAGAATTAACCGGAGAACACGCCTGTACAAACCGTTTTGACCTAGGACCCATAGTTTTTAAGATACAAATTAAAAAAATACTAAAAATGGCTCTGTACCCGGAATCATAACCCGGAGCAACTTTCGGTTTGCGCTGTTGGATAGATAATTTGAAGCAAATTTTAATGGTTTTTAGCTTTTTGCTCTATGTCTTATAGTTTCGTAGAAAAACGCGTTAAAAATTTCCCAATTTTGGGAATTTCTACTTTTTGAACGTTAATTTTTACTTTTTTTTTATTTTGTAAATTGCGAAAAAACTGTATCTCAATGATGTAATTTAAAAAAATAATGTTATTTTAAAAAATAAAATATTTTATCAAGTAGCTATTAAGTCAGAAAAGTCAAAATGGTTGATGCAACAAAAAGGCCTCTTCATTTACCTCCTTGGCAAATTCCGTTTTTGGAGAAACACAGAATCCTCGAATTATTTCATGTCAGTATCCACCAATTTACAAATTTTTACAATTTTCGAAATTTAGGAATTAGCCAGAGAACTTGTGATACAACAACCAGATGACCACGTCTTATTTCTGAAACAAATCCTAATAAATGCTGCTAGAAACCGAGACACAGCAAGAGTCATCATACTTTGTTCTCCAAAAGTAAACTGCTTAGAAATTGCAAATGCGATTGCTGAAATTACAAAACAAAATGTCATTACTGAACATTCCTTACTTACCTTTGTAAGAACCCACCAATATTAAAAATTAAAAAAATAAAAGTAAACAAATTTCTAGAGCGGACGTTCAGAAATACGAAGTCCTGACTTGAGGGCTAAATATATTGGTCACTTTGTTAGAACCGATAATGCATATGAAAATGGCTGGATACTTGTCGGTTTGTCACTGGAATCCTAAAAATATTATAATCAATTTCCTTGTTTTTGAAGATTGTATTAAAAATGAAAACGATGCCAAAGCTCTCCTAAAGCTTGGGATTCTTCCGACTCATGTTATCCACCTTATTCCTTCATTTCAGCCTCGTTTGACAGAATTACTGTACTGCCATGTCTCTGCAGAATGGCCCGAATACCGACGAACTATTCTAGGGCTAAGAAATGCCTTCAAACATGTTTTACGAGTATATTTAACCTCGCATGTTAACATTGACTCTATATTTTCCTGTTTAGGAAGTGTTTTTTCAACAGCGCAGCTTATCAGAAATCGTAACAGAATGTATAGAAATTTTGAACATTAAACCGGCAAAATATGCCATCAAACCCAGAGTTTTAATATTAGGTCCTCGAGGCTCAGGCAGGAAAACACAAGCCAAATTACTAGTCGAAGGACTTGGTCTTATCCACGGTAATTCCTTCTTCATCACAAAAATTTGTTTTATTTTGATTAAAGTGGATTTTGAACACTTGATCTGCGAGGCTTGGATGTCAGACTCCGACTTGGGGAAACGACTTCGCAACTGTAAGAATGAAGTTTGTTTTCATTCTGAACTACTTGCTGAAGTTGTGCATAAGAGAGTTTTAGAAGACGATTGTTTAGAACACGGCTGGGTTTTAACCGGTTTTCCGTTCTCTAAACGGGATTTTGAATTCTTGGATTGTATTTACACACCCCCTAACAGGTTGAAAAACAATTTTTTAAAATAAATCAACATGTTTGCTGTGTTGTAGAGTCATATTTCTTGAATGCGATCTTTCGATTTGTAAAGAAAGACTTTTAAATCGAAAAATCAATGTCCACACAGGTTCAGTTACAAACATTAAACAACACCCAGAGGCTGAAGTGACTAAAGAATTGAAACCACATCCAAAAGATAATAAAGAATTTATTGATGCCGAGGTAAACAACTGTTACATTTCTTGTACCAGTTTTTCACATTTTTCAGCTCTCTTACTATTGTGAGAATTATGGCGACTTGAAAAAATATTGTGGTGCAAGTGCTCATTGTGTAAATGGGGACCAAGCTGAACGTTGGATTTATGAAACAATCATTGCCATTATTTCGAGAGCACCATCTCCTCACAACCCTCGAAGACCTCTCGTTGATGTTTCTAGCAGTTCTGTGTCTTTAGACGCCTGTTGTTGCTCGCCAATTCCGTCACAAATTTTGGACTGTTACAACACAAAGTTGTGAAATAAAAATTCATCTGCAGTCATATTTTATTTAGAACATAAAGCTAATCTTAACAAATATTTTTTCTATAAAATTGTTTTTGTAAATATTGATATGGCATGGATACTTAACAAATTTAATACTGTTACGATAATATAAAAAATGAAATTTATTGCGATGATACGTATATGAAATGAAAGCAAAATCGAGCCTTGTTTGGCGTTTCACATGAAACATTTATACACTAAATCTACATTATCACATTTTAAAGAGTTTGTCTAACAATTATGTATATTTATGTATAATATATTTTTTCTATTTGTTACAGGTTTCAGTTGATTTGATACTTAATCTTGTAAAGCTTAAGCACAACAAAGTCCGCATAGTTATATCGAAACCAATTATTATGTTTAGTTGAATCTAATCACTTTCCACGGATTTAAACAATTCTATTAAAAGCACCCTTTCATCTTGAACTAACAGACATTTTAACAATTAATTACATCAATATATTTCCATCGGTATTGAAGTGTGTAAATCAATTTATTATCTTTCGACGCTATTTTTACCACGAAACGATAAAATTATATTACTTTGTACATCACTCTCTCAAAGTAACAAATCAACTCGTTTTGCCCTAAATTACCAATAAATTCAATCGATAGACTTTAATTTACAATCTTCATTTAAAAACAAAAATCACGGAATAATATTTTATTAGTACAGTTTGGTACAAAACTAATGTGACTCGCCACCTTTCAATCAGTCCAATAGGTGGCGTATTGTTCAGACAATCAAAATATTTGTTCCTGATTTTTCTATTTTGAATTCTATAAGAGGTACACAAAACAGCAAGTCCTAAAATTTACAGATATGATCACGTGAGTTCGTACTGCTTCCGGTGCAGTGCATTCATGTCGTTTTGTTGATTTTGCACTACTATAGGTATGGTAACACTGCTTTGGTAACTCCTCTGCATCCTAAAGCCTGTAGGTTGTTGGTTCTGTAAAACTTGATCCCTTGCTTCCTTGTACTGCTGGTACTGCATTTGGCTGTAGAACTGCTGTTGCAGTACCTCTCCGTTGCTGTAGACTGGTTTGCTAACAGGAGGGCCGTACAGTTTATGACTAGGACTATAAGTTGGTTGGTCGTAAGGAATGTGTTTGGGTGAATTGTTCATATAGGTTTTAATGGGACTTCCGTGTTGGTTATAGCTGGGGTACTGCCGTGGTGGGGGAGGTTGATAGGTGGGTTGACTGGTGTACATTGGACTAATGGCCTGGTATTGCATCGCGGATGGATAGGAGATTTGTTGGGGAGGGTTTTGGGTGATGTAGTTAGGGGGTGGATAATTTACATGTCTATAGGGTACTTGTGTTACACCGTACGATTGATGAATCACACTTTGTGGTATCTGGAAGTAGAACATAGAGGATATTAGCGAGAAGTAACGGTTGGGTGAATGTAATAATTTTTGGCGTTTTGTCAATAATGAATTTACGCCCGAATTCGACGGGAAAAGAGGTCATTACAGTGCAAAATAAGTTTTAAAATTTAATCGAATAAACAAATGTAGTACAAAGCATGGTTAACTAACTTAGTTTTTACACTTTTTGTGATACAACAACAATTAAAATTTCAAAAATGCATCAAGTGCTCATTTTATTTGTTCCTTCATTACTAATAAATTGTCTACATTTTAATTAGGTTTTAAAGTAACAACATTATCCCTAGGGTCGGTTTATAAAAGACGAATGAAAAATTAATCCGTTGTTAAAAGTTAATGCGCGGTTAACCCGTAAATCTTAGCATCTGGTTGGTTCAATTTGGTCACGTGATCAGTTAATCTGACGCTTGATTCCAATTAACTTAATGACGCTTCTATGTTTTATTAAAAACAAAATCTTTTATCCGTTTTAAATATAAAAAAGTAAGTAACTATAAAACACTACTTCAAAAAATTAAAGAAACAAAAAATTTTCCTTTTTTGGTGATTTTTGAAAGGCTGTAACTCATCGAAAAATGGTCATATCTAGATTAAAAAAAAACATTTTAAATTTTAAGTTTCTAATTTTCAGATCTTTTGGCAGAAAATTTTTCTGTGCTACGGTTATCTATCACACTAAGTAATAGCATGAGAAAAAAAATCTAATTTTTTTTGTTGTTGGTCCACGGACGTGGGAATTTTTTTTAGTTAAGTCAATGCATAGGCCGGATCGCATATTCGTTCACCTTTAACATGCTTTTTTCATATTCTCTTTACGTCGATTTGTCGCTGAGATATTTGACTTTAAATTAAATCTAAAATTTTGAATTTTTTTTATTGAATAAAAATTTGTTTAAGAGCTGTGTTGTTTTAAAAAAATAAGCAAAAAATAAGCATAATAAATGAAACACTTAAAAATTTGGGTTATGTAAAAAAATCTGCATTTTTCAATTATACAAAAGAAAAAGAAAACATATAGCACAGTGCAAAATAAATTTTAAAATTTAATCGAATAACCAAATGTAGTACAAAGAATGGTTAACTAATTTAGTTTTTAGACTTTTTGTGATACAACAACAATAAAAATTTCAAGAATGCATCAAGTGCTCATTTTATTTGTTCCTTCATTAATAATAAATTGTCTACATTTTAATTAGGTTTTAAAGTAACTACATTATCCCTAAGGTCGGTTTATTAAATACGAATTATAAAATTAATCCGTTGGTAAAAGTTAATGCGCGGTTAACCCGTAAATCTTAGCATCTGGTTGGTTCAATTTGGTCACGTGATCAGTTAATCTGACGCCTGATTCCAATTAACATAATGACGCTTTTATGTTTTATTAAAAACAAGATCTCTTACTTGTTTTAAATATAAAAAAGTAAGTAACTATAAAACACTACTCCAAAAAATTAAAGAAACAAAAAATTTTCCTTTTTTGGTGATTTTTGAAAGGCTGTAACTCATCGAAAAATGGTCATATCTAAATTAAAAACAAAACATTTTAAAGCTTTAAGTTTCTAATTTTCAGATCTTTTGGCAGAAAATGTTTTTGTGCTACGGTTATCTATCACGCAATCCTTAGTAATAGCGTGAGAAAAAAAATCTAATTTTTTGTTGTTGTTGGTCCACGGACGTGGGAATTATTTTTTAGCTAAGTCAATGCATAGGCCGGATCGCATATTCGTTCACCTTTAACATGCTTTTTTCATATTCTCTTTACGTCGATTTGTCGCTGAGATATTTGACTTTAAATTAAATCTAATATTTTAAATTTTTTTATCGAATTAAAATTTGTTTAAGACCTATGTAAAAAAATAAGCAAAAAATAAGCATAATAAATGAAATCCTTAAAAATTTGGGTTATGCATTTTTCAATTATACAAAAGAAAAAGAAAACATATAGCACAAAAGAGATTTCATTATGTAACACATTACTTTTCTTATTTTTATAAATAGATTTTGATCTTCAATCTCTAGATTTTCTAAAAGCCGAAAACTTGGAAAAATTTAATGAATAAAATATGAAATATTCAAGCATGGATAAGCAAAAATTGTAAGCATTTATGAATTTTACATATAGATGGTACAAATAAATAAATACAGAAACAAGTTAGTTTCACTTAAATAGGTACGTGAACACGAGAATCTGAATTGCAATTTGCAGTGGACAAACATGGATCTTTTTCGTAGCTCCAGGCCACCAATTTCAACAGATTGTTTATTTATCTCTGAAACTGTTCTTAGCCGTCGCAAACATTACTTTAAAACTGCTTAAAATGCCTGGGAAAATGATTTTTTACCTTGTTGGCGAAACTTAATCCACAATTTTATTTTTATTTTTCAAACGACTTTAGATTCTGCTTCATGTCTTATTTTATTCATATGACTTTGTAGCGTGACAATTTCTGAATGCGTTCAAGCTCCAGAGAGTGCCACATGCATTCTATGTCCTGTATTCATGATATAACTTCGCCTTAAGGAATAAAGAGTGCGGATTCCGTTCATATCAAACTCCACTGGAATCTTAATAACGACATTATCCTTCCAGGATAAAGTCGTAACCAGAACACGACTATTAGATCCTAGTGATAAATTGAATTATTGTCACAACGTTTGACAAACATTAATATTGCTTGTAAGTAATTTTTTGTCAATCTTAATCTGAAAAATAATGATAATGGAAAATTAAAGTACATAACTATTATTTATAACCTTGCTTCTATTACTTAGTCCAAATACAAGCACTTTGACGTAATTTAGTCTACTCGTGGTATATTGAAAATGTTTCCCAAGTTTATTGATTACAACTTTGAAAGGATATTTATTCTATTATGACTATAAACTATCAGAAACTGTTTCTTGTTATAAATTCATGACTTTGGTACGGTGGAAGATTTCTAATTACAAAACCAATATCAATAAGAAATTTGAGCCATACATTGGTTGTTTTTTAATTCATTTTCGATTTCGTTAAATGTTACTGTCGTTAAATGCTTGCTTGTATTATTTGAGTGTAATTAATTAACTGACCTAACTTTTCTGTTTGCTTCAGAAAAAGTAATTTTTAGATAAAAGCCAAAGAAAACCCAAGCTTTTCCTGCACTTTAACAAGAAAACTTTCATCTCGTATCTCCAGATGTTATCGAATTGAATTTTTCATTTATTACTCCAACCTTTAAATTTATTGAAAATTTTACAACCCTGTGGCACCTGTTTCTCCCTCGTCTCGAATCATCCCATTTACAATTTATTTGTTCCTAAAAGTAACTTCGCAGTTAAATATTTTATATGACGCCCTCGAGCATTTCAAACATTGGTCGAATAGCGATTTTGTAGGTTAAGCATCACCGAGAGTTGGAATTTAACCAGGAATTTTTTTGTACCTGTGAGACGTAGCCCCTTTCTGGGGGTCGAGGTCCGTCTCTGGCGATTTCAGCAGATCGCACGCCATCAGAACGAATTTTCTCTGCAAGCGGAGGCTTGGGGCGACGTTTGGGGGTCGCCGGCAGGGACCTAGAGCCCGCACTCGCTGTTTCCCAGTCCTTGAGAAGCGCACTTAATCTGGCTGCCTCGGCCGCTTTTTCAGACTCACTCTCTGAGTTGTAATCGGGACCCTATATGTGCAAAAACAAAGATAGTTTGTAACTGAAAAATCAATAAAATGCAAAACAATGAGGCTTCAGTTTGAATGAGCAAAAAGGAAGGAAAAGTGCATCTTAAGATAAAAGGATTTAGTTGTAGATTTTTCATTTTTTTGCGTGAAATAGTGGAATTACTTGGCTCTAAATTTGTATAGTTGTAATGCAGATCTTTTTTTTTAAATGGAAGACATAAAGTATAGAAGATTTTTTTATCAGAAGGATCTAAATAAAACATATCTTTTTATTTTATACATAAACCGCCCATACAGCGTGTCCCAGCGAGTTGAAAAAGTCCATTAGTGACCTTTAATTGGTAAAATTAAAACAAAATTGTATAGGACATTGATAGTGCATCTAGTACATCACCTAAAATTATTTTCAACCCTACAGCATGTCCCAAAAATAAGTTACGATACAAACTTGTGTTTTTTTAAATGAAACACCGTATGTTTTTTTTTTTTTTGGATGAAGCCTTTTAAATCAATGTTTTTGCGCTAAATTTTATTAGTCGATTTCGATTAGTTTTAGAAATAAGATGTTTTCTTTGACAAAGACATGCACTTTTTAAAAATTTATTTCACAAAAATTAAGATAGCTAGAACAAATTATTTCTTACTTCTGCAAAGTAAGAGAGTACAGAAGTACAGAATTTAAAGTTGTAGCAATTTTTACTGTTTCGCTTTTGTAAAGACTAATAAATTAAGAAGTTTGTTAAAAGTTAAATAACTTAAAAATTTTAAATGAAACATCCTATTTTTTATTTTTGCATTTAATAGATTGATAAATTGTCTATCTAAAAAAATAAACTTTTGATGTCTAGAATTGATAAATGAAAAGATATTTAACATTCAATTAATTGCGGCAACAGTGCCTATCAATATCTAGATCACTTATCCGTTGATTTATCCAGAAATTGTAAAAGTCGTTATAAATCTTAAAATTCGAATTATTTTATTGTAAAAATAAAGAATAATGGATTCAGTTTAACACAAATGCGATTATTAAGTAATATTTCTTCCATCTCTTGTGCAACTGTACACGTTTAGGCTACTGAAACAATAGTAATTTTTTTTAATGTTTAACGTTAAATATATTTTTAGATAATGATTATAAACACCTAAAAGTAAATAACTTAGAAAGACAATTTAATAATCTTTTAAATGCAAAAACAATAAATAGGGTGTTCCATTTAAATTTTTTAAGTTATTAAACTTTTAACAAACGCCTTCATTTCTTTATGTTTGCAAATGCAACACATTAAAAAAATGTTACAACCTTATAGCTTGTACCTTCTTCTTTGCGGTAGTGAAAAATAATATTTCTAGATGTCTTAGTTTTTGTGTCATAAATTTTTAGAAAGTGCATGTTTTCGTCAAAAAAACCGTCTTATTTTTAAAACTAAGCAAAATCGACCAATAAAAATTGAGCCTAAAAACATCATAAAAATCTACATCTAAAAACACTAAAAAACATATGGTGTTTCATTAAAAAAACACAAGTTTGTATAGTAATTTATTTTTGAGACACGCTGTATAGTTGAAAATAATTTTAGGCGATGAACTAGATTAGTATCAACAATCTCCTATATATTTTTTTTTATTTTACCATTTAAAGGTCACTAATGGATTTTTTCAACTCGCTGGGACACCCTGTATTAAAATATGCATTTAGATGTCATTTGCAAAGAAAATTTGTTATATAAAAACTATTTCAATAGTGAAAAAAAATTTGCTCTAAGTGAACGAGATAAAAATGATTAACTCATTTTTGACTTTATCTACTAAAACATCTTCGTTAATAAATTTTATTGAATAAATCTAAATTTAAATGAACCAATATTGCATTAGATTTTTTAATTAATTCAAACTCTTAAATGATTAGTTTTTCACGTTACATATAATAATGGCGGACCTAAGTGGGACCAATCACATTGAAATTAATCAAGCGAATGAAATTTTTGGGTTAATCCAAAATCTAAAGTCATTGGTTTCTAACATTATTATGATGGCCGACCTCAAATGGGCCAATCACAAGACTTACAACTTTTACTATGTTCTGTATATACCGTACGTTAATTCATAAATAGGTAACAATAATTTCTTTGAATTCCCCGCCCCGCACCATAAAATTTATGAAAAAAGGATTGACATTAACCAATTATTTATGAAAATCATGTTGATTACGACCAAGAAGTGTCAATGAAAATTTTTTTTACCATTTTTAACCGGAAAATAAGGTGGGTTATGTTTTTTTTTGGTTTTCTATCCCACATATCACTTTGTTCTCTTTTATCTTGAACTTGAAAGCGACATTGGCCGTGGTCTCTATGTTTTAAAAACTTAAATTTGATTTAAAGTTGTAAGAGACTTTTGCAAGTTGAATAAGAGTAATTGCAATTTGTGGCCCGAACACAATCTTGTGGAGTGGAAATATAAATCTGATTAGAAAGACAAATTTTAAGGGTAAGGCAAACCTGCATAATGAAATTTTAAACCCAAATATACGAAGCGAAATAAAGAGAAGTTTAGCTAAATATTTAAAACTGCTTTTATAACGGATCAACATAATCCGTGTCCATGTTAATACTTAAATTTAATAAGAAATTTATAGTGTGGGCTTAGATGTTGTAAACTTTCTCGGATTTTTCTGAAGTAAATAAATAATAAATACCGTTGTGAAATGTTTAAAGTAAAGGTGTGATTTTATTTCAGTCTATAATTAACCTCAAAAAGTAAAAATAGGTAGGCTAAAATTCACAAGAGAGTTATAAAATATAAACTGAATATGTTATGGCCCGTAAACAGTTTTTCGGTAATTTTCAAGATTTAAAATAGTTTACTTACATTTTGAATTTTTTCGTCTAACATTTTGAAAAAATCCTGCTGACTTGTTGAAATTTCTCTAGAAACAGAAATCAATCACAATTGGCTAAAATGAAAGATTGAAAGAGCATTACGCTTGAGCTAAGAGGGGTCCACCAAAAGGCTTCACTTTGATTGTTTTCCTCGCTTCGCAGTCTTCGATATTTTCGTTATTTTCCAAATCGGTTTCTACTCCTTCTTCTTCTTCCGCTTCTGTTTTTTCAGGAGTTGCTGAAACAAAATATTGTTTTAAACAATGTACTTTACCACTTTAATATCGAAATAATTTAGTAGCTTTTCCAGAAAATTCCAAGGTAAAGAACGCATTTCCTGTTCACATCTCATAAAATGTCTTGCGCTAAAGCTTTTATGCATCCTTTGGGAATGAAGAGTCGGAAATTTATCGATTGTGTAAGTTTTAAACTTGCCATTTTAAACGTAATCTAAGTTTCGGATTTTATTGGGTCAATAGAACAAAATCGGAATGTGTAAAATTATTAGAGTGTTAAGAAGTTGTAGGAATAACCACATATTTATATCATGTTATTTAGTGGAAAATTCAAACAAGCATGAAACTTCAACATACTAAACCCTCGTCTACGCTAATGGCTCGATGATGGCACTGTTGCTGGCTAAAATTAGGAAACGAAATCGATAGGACAGTGATATGGCTTTTATCGCAAGTTTCAGACGAATTTAGGACCTATAAAAATTTCTTTTGGGTCCACAACAACTATTCTAATACGGTGGCAAATGCTTTGTTTCTAGTAATAATTTGTTGGGTTTTTGTTTGTCTGTGAAGAAACATCTGTGTATATTTATATAAACTGTCACGCATGAGGACAGGACGATGACATGCTATTGACCAGTTATGTTGGTTATTGACCAATTTGTCTAATGTAGGAGTAGAAATAAATTTCGTGGATCAAAACACGTTTTTCGAAATGATTAATTTATTATTCATTATTATTATTATTTGTTATACTAATTTAATTATAATATAAGTATACTATCTAAATTTAATTTAAACTAACAAGTCTGTAGAAGTATTAATAAGCAGACCAGTTATAAATGAAGTAAGGGAAAATATGCAAATTTTGAACAAATAATTTTTTGGTACTCCTTAGAGAAACGTTGAATTTGCATTCGTTCGGAAACAGCTCCATTGATGTACTTTGTACTATTCAAGGTGTTAAAAAACGAGTGTCAAATATTTAAGAAGGTAATAATATGAACCAAAATAAGTATTTTACTAAACATAAGTGCGCAAAGCGTAGCTGCCGCAAATATCCTCAAAAAAATAAAATTTAATTGAAAAAAAAAATGTTTTTCTCATTTTGACGAAGATTGGACAATATTCAGAAACAATATGTACTCGTACAATTGTTCCTTTAATTCTTTTGTAAAACTTTGATCAATCGGTCCGAGACGTCGGTTTGATGGATCAATTTAGAAACTTACAGGGAAATGAGGGGGGTCGTACATTAAGCTGTAAAAACACCTAAAAACAATAGTCTCCCCATTAATATTAGTGAATACGCAGTAGATTTACTAAAACAACGCAAAAAGTTATTTTTTTCTCTTTTAAATCAATGTTGAGGGTGAAAAAATTTTTCAAAAAGTTATAAAAGGAGACATTTATTCCAGTTTTTGACACTACCTTTATATTCTCTGTGTGGTTATTGTTGCTGAGATATCGATGATCAAAGACAAAAGGATCTTTTTTCTTTTATAATCAGATATTTCAGTGACAAATTGACGTAAAGAGAATATGAAAAAAGCATATTAAAGATGAATAAACAGGCTATCCAGCCTAACTAAACAAAAGTTCCTACGTCCGTGGACCAAAACAAAAAAAAAACAAAAAAATTAAGATTTTTTTTTCCTCACTATTACTTAGGATTACGTGATAACCGTAGCACAGAAAAAAAAATTGTGCTAAAAGGTCTCAAAACTAGAGACTTAGAGCTTCAAAATAGTTTTCTAAAATCTAGATACAACCATTTTTCGATGAGTTACAGTTTTTCAAAAATCACCAAAAAAATTAGGAAAATTTTTTGTTCCTTTAATTTTTTGGAGTAGTATATTACCTCCTTAAATATTTTATATTTTTTTAACACCCTGTATAAGCCATCAAAAATATTATCAACTGTTGACAATATTTTGGTTATCCGTCTGTGGTTGACGATTTGGTTTCATAGCAAAAATTTGGTGTATGAATACATTTTTTAATTTGGAGTTAGTTTAATAATTTGGAATTTAATTAGGACATTGTGTTGCCAATCTGAATACATGTAATTTTTCTAGTGTAAACTATTTGATTTTTTTCTTGAGACAATTTAAAATTGGTCAGACCAAAACTAGTGTATATCACACGGCTCGAAACTGTTCTGCAAGTGCTTGCATTTATTATAAATAAATTAGATTCAGTATTGTTTTAAAATTACCGCTTTTTTAAAAGAGTTGAAGATATTTAGATAAAAAAATTAAAACAAATCTGTTAAACGATCATAACGTATTTATGAACCCAATTTTGTTTATTGCTAACTTAACACAAATTTTTTGAAATCAAATTTCAAACGTCAATGATCATGACAATAAAGGAATAAAGCATAAACTAAAAAAGAAAGTGACCACAATTTCCCCAAAATTTTAAACGGGTTACGCTTTATTACTATAAAGCGCTCAGTAAATAAATAAATAATTGATCAGTATAAAATGATAAATGATCAGTATTTAATTAATTTTTGCACAGTAAAAATAATAAATGGTAAGTAAAGCACGCGCAGTATTTTAATGTAATTTGTTCAGTAAAAACTCCAATTTGCACAGTAAAAATAATAACGTTCAGTAAGTTCAATCAAAATTAGCAAAATAACATAAAATTTAAGGAATTTTCAGTCTTGGTTACATAACAATGTATGGCCCCTGCGTAAGAATGATTTTAGCAAGGGCTGAAAACTGTGCACAAATGGTAATAATCAGTCTTATCAGCGTACGCCACTCTTTGCACTGCTGTGCTCCTGATACCACAATTTTGTTTTTGAACGGTTTGCGACATTCCAGTTTTGCATTTATTATTTTTACTGTGCATTTATTATTTTTACTGATCAAAAATACTTGCCATTTTAAATAATATACTGTGCATTTAATTTGTTGTCATTTTAAAATAACATAAATTCTATAGTTACAATTTATAAAATACAAACAGATTTTAAGTGTTATTTATGAAAATCACACGTATGTACATATGTACATATGCATGTACATACCAGGTGAATAAAAAGTATGGAACCAAACGTTTTTTGCTTAAACTATTTATTTTTTGAAAAAACTAATTGATGAGTGATAAAGTACTATAAAAATGCGATGATTTAACAAGAATAAAATTTTTCTAAATTTTCTTTTGTTTTTGAGTTCTACAAAAAAATTATTTTTTTAAATGGCAACCCACTATAATATAATTTTTTTCATAAAAGCTATACTCTAAGGATTACAACTATCTGCTTTATATTTAATTAAAAAAAAAATCACATATATTGCAATTTTGACAAAAAAAATCGCATAACTCAAAAACAAAACAAAATTTTGTTCTGAAAATACGATCACATTTTTTATATTACTTTAATTTATATTAATTATTATTTTCTGGGGGCAAATGATTAAAAATAAAACCGCTTGGTTCCATACTTTATATTCACCCTGTATGTAATTTTTTTAGACAAATAATAGTCTTGTTTGATAGCCGAAATCCAAGAAAATTTTCGTCTATTCTCCTGTTACTGTCGTCTTATCTCGTTAACAGTCAGTTGCACGCTTGTATGAAACTTCCAATTAGTCCAGTTATTATCAAGTTTATCAATTATTAATGCTTAAACTGGAACTTCTCAGTCCATTATAGCAATTGCAAACATTAATCATCAAAATGGTAAAATGTCAAAGACAATCAACTAATAATTAGTTAATTAGTGCTAAAAATAAAAATGACGAAACTTCACTGCGTTTGATTTATTATTATTTTTAATGATTACAAAATAAGCACCAGGGAATCAAAGTTTTGTCAGTTTCACTTAATACAACAAGTAAATAATTACACACCACATTTCACGCGTCGTGAATTTAAGAGCAAAACAAGTGATGAGGTCTAGACTTGGTTCATAATAAATCGATAAATAATAATTCAATTCGGAATTACAGCGTAAGATAAGGTCTGCATAATAATTTTCTAACGTTATTAAAAAACAAAATTTTGCGTGGTCGTTTCAATCAATATCTCGGTACTTCAAAAATCTATATTAAATCCCCATTTCCGGTTGTTATCAAAAGCCACTTTTCGACTTTTCCGCTATTGGTTTCGTGGACTTTTGCCAAATATCTGCCACAACCACAAATAGGCCGTCACTCGAAACCTTTTCCAGTGATTTATTAGAATGTGGCAAGTTTGGCAGGTGACAGCTTCACACTCTAAGAAAACGCTTAATACGGAGGCAATTTCAGACAATTAGCTAAATTAGGTTACACGGCGAATTCTAATCGATGCCAATAAGCTAGGCCACGGAGAAAATCAGATTTACCAGAACAGAAATCAGTGTTCCAATTTTATTAAAGATATGCGACGAGTTTATTTAATAAAAAAAACAGGGAAAAACACACACCGATATTTTCCCTGTTTGTACACGAGAAATCTTAATAAATTCGCAAAAATGTCAATCATTTTTCACTAGAATTTAATTGTTGCTACAATTTTTGAAAGTTATAAAAAAAAGTACACAGTGTTGATAAAATTCATGGGTGTGTTTGCATGTTCATTAGTTGGAAAAGTTATAATTGTAACTGAAACACATTTTCGCTAAAAATGTTATGAGTTTACGTTAGTTGCGGAGTTTGTTTCCTATTTCCTACGCCATTACAGGAAATACCCAATTATCTTCTTGACTCGAAATATCTTCTCTATTAAACTTTACACCATCTCGGTAGACTTTTACACCTAATAAGTGGGTCATATTTTTTATTAAACAAATCTAAATGAAATAAAAATCGAGCTTATACACTGATATAGGTCATTACATTTTGTTCGACTTGTCATTATCTGCGTTGCACATCCATTGTTTAGAAGAAATGAATAATTAAAACGAATCAATACGACGTAATAACAAAGGATAATTCTCTTGTTTTGCGACTTGCGGCTGACGTGTAGATGTACAGTTTCATTTATTATTGTTAGTTTTTCTTCGTATTGATGTTTCAATTTTCATAAAAAACTTAGAATGAAGAGAAGAAAAATAAAAAGGCGAAAAGTGGCGATAAGAAACGCGAGGTGATTTAGAAATGAGATATTATGGGGCTTTGTAACCGAAATATATGATATTGTCCAAAAGCTCATATTGCCTTCTAGCAATCATTATTTTAAATTTAATTTAATTTTACTAATAAGTTACAATAATAATTGAACAAATGTACGAGGTTTTATTATAATAATTTTGAATTTATTACCCAGCTGTAAATAATTAATTTGCTCTTAAAAAACAGCTGTCATGTTAATTTAAATAATGAAGAGGCATTATTAAAACAATAACAACATGGTAATAAATCCGTTTTTCTTTAAACATTTTTTTAATATGTTTTAAACAGGAATTAAAGAAATCATATTTTGAAACATCTTTTCTTCTTGCGTAAACAATTTTCTTGTTATTTTTCTTACCTGACTTTTTGTTATTCGTTTTATTTCTCGATTTCCTGGGATAAATGTTGATTTTGCTGTGGCCACAGCCCATTTCTAGATGGGTGCAGAAGGCAAGTAATACCACCGCAGCTCTTAGTTCGGTAGACGATCACATTTTCTTATGACCTGATTTTATTTATCAACCAATATCTGCACCATTAGCTGCCAGATGACCGTGAATTTTCAGTGAAGCTTCCATCTGCAAATAAATTCCCCACAGAATTATTAATTAAATGAAAGCATTAAAGCATAATGTGATTATTACTGCGCCTCACAAACGTCACAAATTTTATTAAAAATAAAGGAAAAAAACTAGTACGGTTGAAATTTTAATTATTATTTATGTAAAGTCCAATCAATAAACTTTAGAAAAATGTGCTCCGTTAAGACTTTGCTAACGAGACTAATAAATTTAGATGATCTGAAATTTATAACTTGAGTAAAATTCCTCAATAGCATCAAAAATACATAAACTGTTTTTTTGACTGCTAAAAAGCTTAAACTTTCATTGATTACAAATATCGGTCCATGCAAATATCCAATAAATATGTTAATAGCCTAGTAGAGGGTTTTAGCGATGATTCTAATTTTAGTAGCAACAAAGCGGTTAAATTCTTATTGGATCATAAACCGTTCAGTAAACTACAATGATTGATTCCTAGACAAATAACCATGTTGCCACTTCCGGTGCGATAAATATGGGCACCATACATTGCCTTTGCTCACTTATTTTAAGTTACGCAAACTTGGCAAATACTTTCAAAATTATTTAATTAAAAAAGTAATTTCCCAGTTTTCCAATTGACTGAATTTGACGAAATTGAAATACCAAAGCTTTGAGACATTCAATAATAAAGGAAGCTTTCAACAAGTGGTCCCATGTCTGAAAGCAGTTCGATATGTTCAGTTTAAGCATTAAAAGATTGTTTTCTTAGGGAATTAACGTGTACTAGGTGATGGTAATTTATGTGTATGCATATTTTGGGTTAAATTTAGTTGATGTTAACACAGTGAATAAATAATTGTAATAAAAATTGAAGAGAAACCAGAAAGGGAATATTAATGAGATCGACTTTTTGTGTAAATATTTTTCTTTCGTTACTGAGTTTCTAGTCTATTTTTTTATATTGAGTACAAGACGGAGTAGTTTAGTTTAAATTTGTCTTTATTTTATTCTAGAAAACAAATTTATTCCAACAGGAGACGTATTTACAGTGAAATAATTGCTTCTTCAGTAAAGAAGATAAAAGTTTGCGCATTCTCAAATAATTGCGTTTCTTGAAAATTCAATAAATGCCAAGATTAAAAATTAACAAGTTAGTTAAGACAATGAGTCAAGTTTTTTGTTGTGTTCCATTTTGAAATTGACAAAATTGTCTATTTTGGGAAGACAGTAAATGCTTATTAAAATCCTTTTCATGTTGTTAACTCAATTCGCTAACCACTCTAGAGAATTTCTCACGAGTCCTACATGGCTATAACAGGCTATTTAAACAAGCCCTCGCCATTTTCTCAGTCTAGAAATTCATAAATGATAAATATGCGAAAACAGATGTCTCCTCAACTTCTGAAAATTATTCAGAAAAAGATTGTCACGAGCACTTGCTGATTTTAATATAAATAACCTCCGCTTTTAATAAATCTATTGCACCAAATTTAGACTTGTGATCAATTTTTCACCCAAAAAAAAACAATTACCGCCCATTGAGAAGCTACTTTTATGTGTTGCTCTTGTCTCAGTATGTGAAACTTCTCTAATTAATTGAAACGAGTTCACTTAGCCATTACGTAGAAGAAAAGTTTTAAATAGAATAATGAGAAAACACGAGTTAATTCAAAAATTAATTATTATTTGTGGGTTAGTATAACTCTGTAAAATTTACGTCTCTTTGTAACAGTAAAACAAACAGAAAGCCCTATAAAAGCTTCACTGGGTAGTGCATAAATTTCCTAAAATGAGACTCAGCAGAACTTTTGGTGGCAGCAATCGTAAAACAAGCCAAAAATGCAAAAGTATGCTTTTATTTTAATCGCCCTCTGTCATATAATATTAAAGTTGTTATTTTTATATCTTTTCATGCTTGCCCTATTTATTATAAATAGACGCCTACATCGAAACTTGTAGATAGCATTCGATCAAAGAGCATTGTATCCCCTGCCTTCGACATAATATTACAACTATTCGAACAATATAATTGTGTAAACGATAAATTTACCGAGTTTTAACTTTGTGCTACCAATACTGCCTCAAGAGTATTCTCATGACATCAGTTTCTTTTGCTTCTCTTGTGTCATATCTTTCTAAGGGTGATATCGATTTGTCTTGTGAACTGGAACCCTTTCTTACAGATTCTACTTTATTTATCGTTAAAAGGCTCTTAGTGAGTCGAATCCGTTCACTTGTGTCTTTTAATGAGTTTCTATGAATGCTTGTTACTTATATTTAAATGATTGCAGAATATATTAATTGAGTTTGATATTGAGTCAAGTGTGTTTACCTCATCAAACTATATGTCTAATAAGACTTAATTTGCGTGATGTTTAGTCCCTGATAATGCGAGATTTCAAAATGTAATTTAACACCTTATTAGAGCATAGGAAAATACATTACCTTTACCGTGTAATCCATAAATGAGCGATGAAATACGCATAAACGGTAAACTGTTTGTTTTCAAAATTGTTTTATTTACATAGATGTAGATATCGGTGTTCCAAATGAAAAAAATTAATATTATTCGGAGTTTGTTTTCAATGTAAGGTTTCTGTGTTTTATGAAAAAACAAAGATATGCATACGAATGGATTATAAGTCGAGTTTTCCGGTAGTTGAGGAAATATAAAAAAAAGAATGTTTTATTACAATTTTTAAGAAAGAAAGAGAGTTTATGATTCTATTTAATTGAACTTATTCTCGAAATTGAAGGGGAAAAAATGGTGTACGCTATGAAATAAAAAACCTTTTAGAATGTTGAATTAGTGTGCTGAAAACTTAAAAGCTTGCAGCTGTTAAATGTGACCTAAAAAGACATTAATTACTAGATAGTATTAAGTAAACTTCGGTTAAATATTAAGAGTAAAGTTTACTTCTTACTTAGAAAGAGTTTTGTGAATTTAGACTGTAATGGATTGAACCACTTATTGGAAATTTGTAGTACGAAATTTGAGTTCTTTTATTTTGAACTGAATAATTTATACTCAAGTATTATTGCTTTTTTAAATACGACTGTATCTTATTTACAATATTGTTTTTGAGCATAAAGAGTAATTATTTCCAATTTTGGAGTCACAGTTACTTACATTTCTAACAATTCTAACCTATGAAGCAATATTGAAACAAAAGGATTTTTTCTAGAATATAAGTTTCATACAGAATGTTTTATATCACACAAGAAAAATTTCAAGTGAACTTCAAGATCTAATAAACAAAAAATAGTAAATGATTGTTTACAATACAAGTTCTTGCAAGATATGAGACATTTTAAGATGTACAAATAGTAATTTCAATTTAATAGGGGCACAATGAAGAATCAAAAATATCTCTTATTAAAGAAAAAAAAAATTTTTTTTGAAGAATTTCTTGGACTTTTAATTCTTCTAAAATTAGATTTCTCATATTGGTAAACATTGCCTTTTTGTAAAGGCTTTTAATTAAAAGTGATGAAATGGTGCAAACGTAAAACATTTGTAAAAAAATAGAAAGAAAAAATAAATGTAAAATTTTGATTTTAGTTGTTTTTTTACGGAATGATGAACTAACTACTTTTCCTAAAAAGAGCTTATTGATGTGTTACGACATATATTTATTTATTCCAAATAAGTAAATGGTTTTTAAAATGGTTAAATGTAACAATAAATAACAATAAATCACCAAATACCAAAATTCTGTAATTTTGATTTAAACAAGGTTTTTCCACAAACTTCTAAATACATTGATCTATTATTATTATAATAATACATGTAAAAATGTGTGGTTTACTTAACAAGTATTAAGAAGTACTTACGAATTACACTTTTACTTGCTGCGTTATTGTGCGTTAAAATGGCAAAATACAAATAATATTTATTACTTATTATTGATTTAACACTTTTTAATTAAGTGGTTTCCACTATCGCAGTATACATTTATTGCTGTTTAAAAAACATGTCTGCGGGAAAAGATTTTTATTACCCACCTGTATACCGCCTTAAAAAATTCTATATTTTTTTACAAAATCGAAAAATTTATTGGCTTTTTGATTTTATTGCGGTTTAAGTAGGAAAACCGTACAAACTGATAAAATCAATCAACAGTTGAAATGGGAAATAAAATCTAATCATCTCTTGGTTCATAAACAAGCTAAAACAGTACGACAAAATCGTTTTGCTGCTGCTCCATATTTCATCAATCTTTCAAATTGTAGACTGGTTTTACGACGTGGCTTAATATTAGATTAAAATAATATACAAAAAAATTATAAATTACCAAAATTACACAGTGAAGCTCCAAAAATAAAATATTAAGTGGACTATTTCATTTTCAAATGAAGGAAGTAAAGTAGATGTTTATTTTGATTTAAAAATTTGCATAAAAATTCAGCAGGATTTGCGTTAATAGATACGAAATTCCTAATTGATTTTCACCTCAACTGTGTAACTTAATGAAAATTAAATTATGGGGTTGATGAAACATTCTTGTTAATATTGCAGACAATAAACTCAATTTTACGGTCACTCACTTCTGAATATGGGATTTTTGCTACTAATCTAAGGTTTGCGAATTAGAAAAGTTTCTTCCATTGTATACATAAAGCATTCATGCTTTGTGTTGAGAAAACATATGCTGTTTAAGATAATCGGTGTTGTTACACTCAATTTTTCTACCATTTACAACGACATTAACTCGCTTAAATAATAGTTATGTTGCTATAGCTATAAATGTTATCTTCTCGTGTTATCCCGTTTTAATTGCTCCAGAAATGGATTAATCCAACTCCTGTGGTGGCAGTCCAATCCTCATTTAACTTCTATTGTACAAAAAATGTAATTGTATAAAACATTTTTAATTACGCACATAACATATTCTCATAATTAAAAAAACAAAATTTTTTTGTTAATAATTAGAAAATGCCCTTTGGGCAAAAAGTAATTAACTTCCGTCAAAAGCATGAAAATGAATACGCAGTTTCTAATCATTTAACTTATTTTAAATGTAAATGACCAAGATGTGACCTTATATTAATTGCGATTATCTGTAATTATTTATATATTATGAGCATTCCATTCTTGATAAAATTTAAAAAAAATGGGCATGATAGTTACATGTACAAAAAATTTAATAAAGATAATTGCGGACATACCTTACAAATCCTGATAACATCTGATATACCAATCACGCACAATTTTTCAATTCAATATACAAAAAAAAACACCAAGCAGATCACGAAATTCCTCGCACAATTTAAGACCTCACAGCTTTCTCACATGTTTTAAAATATCTTTGAAAAATAAATATGTTTACAGAGATGTTTGCATATTTTTAATAATTGAAATCGTTCCAAAATCTCTCGATATGAAAATATTTCCGCGTGTTAATCGCACGCTCACGTGAAAATTGGCACTGGAATCGCAGAACTCGATGAGTTTATAGATTAGTTTTTAATTGTTTACCTGTTTTACTATGAAATAAGAGAGATAATCAACGGCACAGTTTAATCATACGGTCGACGCGTCGCGACGCCGGTTCTACACTGGACGTGCGTATTTTCACGATTCGCTTCGGAAGCGGTCGGAAACAGATCGACCCTTAGCTGCGTCCGGGAGGGTTTCACCCCATGTCACCCCTTGAAAATCATACACTGGCTCCGGGGTGCACATGGAGAGGAGTGGGGTTGAAGTAGAAGACTTTATTCTTTCAAGCTTTTGAATTTTCTTTGGGCTTTATTGTTACCACATTACATTATCCTGAGACTATCGTACTATACTTTTTTCCCAAAAGAAATATAAATTTAATGAATGGAGGTATTACAAGTTGGAATCTCATTTTAACCAGAGAATTTCCTTTTCACGGAATGCGAGTACTAATATTATTTCCACTTTGTGCTAAGTAATTTTAAATGCAAAATAATTCTGTGGAGACGTTCCAAGTAAAAATGAATTAATGTTTAATATCTAATTAAAAAAGTTTTGTAGTGGTTTTGTAATTGATTCTGTCTTAAAATACCCCTTGTACATCTCTAAATTCAAATAGGTTCTTAATTCTACTCTAATTATTAATTTTTAAAATAAAATAATGTACTAATACTCGACCTATACCGTTTACAAAATAGAGTTACTCTTTTGAGTAAATAAAAATAATTCATGGATTTACTTCAAAAAATTTTTTTCAAGAAATAAGCGATTTTTGTTTTTCTTAACAAGTGAAGAATTTTTTAACAAAATACTGCAAGTAATATTATGAATTGTGTATGACAAAAATTACTCTTATAATCATATTTTTTACTAAAATATTTTTTTACTAGGAAAGCTGTTTACTGTTTACATCATTTTTTTGTGTAAATTTCTGAAAAATATTTGCTTAAAATACATGCATTATTGTAAAAGATTAATTAGTTAATTAGAAAATAAATAAACAGAATTGTTAAAAAATATTTTTTTGCTCAAACAAAATCTGAGGTAAAACAAAATTGATTATCTTTTAATATCACGAGAGCAGACAGCTTGAATTTACATTACGTGACTGAAAAATGTGAGATATAAATCATTTAAATTGACAGTTTAAGCTAATAAGGTGAAAAGTTTTTTTGTGTTTATTTCAAAAAGAAAAATATCTATGTCGGATTTATTTTTCGTCAATGGTGAAATACTCGTATTTCCTGATGTCAACTAAATTCAATGCACATATAAATGGAACATCTCTACAATACGTCTGTCCAAACCACACTAGTGGTAAACTCAAACCACTCGCGAGTGAAGTCTAACTTCAAAGCTTTACAAAAAACTATAATTTGTTGGGACTTTATCCAGATATTCTGCGAATCTAGTTATTTAATTAAATAATTTAGCTGCAGTTTTTCATCATTAGAGAGAATCAAAATGAATGAACTTTCTGACGAGTAAAGCACAAATATTTGTCTACACTCACGCAGAAAGCAAAGCTTCTTTGGTAAAGAATTGCATAAGCTTCTAATGTTCAAGTCAAGTTGTGTTTACTTTTATGAGACCAATTCTATTGTGATTGGGATTTTGTTTTCGTAGAATGGAGTGGGTATTACATTACAACATTCTTGCTTATATTTGTTTATTATCAAGGCTTAAAGAAGAACTGAACGAGCTTTGTAAACCCAAATTTAATGGAGTTTAAAAGTTATCACTAGGATACGGAAATGGAGTTTGTAATTGTGTTTTAAAGGGAATTTTGGAAATAAATCAGATTAAATGAATTGTAAAATATTTGGTATCGAGTTTACCCCGAGAAAAAAAAACAAGTAAATTGCTTTTCCCATCCTCACAACTTTGTGTTTTTATTTGCCACAATTTACTTTAGTTGCATTCAAGTCTGTAAACATTGTTTACGCATTTTTCGAACTTTTGTTTTACACTGAAGTAAAGTGTTCCTCCCATGGGAATCTTTGTAGAAACCTACCCTAACCCGCAACTCCTCCAGTCTTTTGTATTTCACCCTCTCCACATATTATCACCCACGTCCCGACCTAGGCGAAATTCTCCTTTTTTATAGCAAAGGTTGCGTCTGCCTGCTTACCCTGACAAGATTTACTGCTCAACAGTGCGTTATAACCAATATAAAATTTGACGTCAACTTCAAAACCAATTTTACAACAATTTGAATCGATAGAAATCGGACAAATTGCCGATTCTTTGTACAAAAACTAGAAAAAGAAATGTTTCAAAAGTAACTCTTTGTTCTCGTGTCTCTCTGTGTTCATAAAACTGCGTACTTTGACGTCGAGCTCACGTAAAATGGGGCGTTAATCACAATAATGAACATCCGGTTTAATCGTTTATCTCGTGACCCTCTGTTTTGTTTGTTCATGGTTTTTGGCCACGAGTCTCACAGCTGTTTGAGCTGTTGAGACAAACTAAAAACGAGGAAAAATTGATAAAGTTGGCGAGCTTTTGACAACAATGTATATGTAGAATTTTTATTGCGTAGCTGATAGCAAATTTATCAAGATTTTGCTTTAAGCCCAATGACTTTTTGGACATTTTGTTTTTATATAAAAAAAACAACGGAAATACACTATTCTTTATGTTTAATAAAAAATCACATACTCATGTTTTATAAATACTATAATAATAATTAAGTAGACACATGATTTATACTTCTAGTGGTAATGCGTGGAAATATGTACGTTGTTCTATTTACAAATGATTATAAAATTTTCAAGTCAGAAATACTAAAATATTGTACAGTGCGATCAAAAAGTCTTTCTATCAAGTAGGCGTCCTAGTTGAGGTTATCTAGATGTCAAAAATTATTTTATAAAAATTAAAACATTGAGCTAATTAAATTGAATTATTCTATAAAACGTCTCAAAACAAACTAAAATTAGATTTTGTTGGTGTTTATTCATAAAAATCGTTCACCACGGTTTCCTGTTTTAATTTACATAAAAATTATTTTGACATTTCTCATTTGTCACTGTGACATACTATCTTCTACAGACATACGTTTTAAATTTCTACGCTTGCTTGATAGACAGACTTTTTGATCTCACTGTACTTAAGCTTACTTAAGCCAATTTTTGAAAATGAATATGTGGAACATGTGGTTTTATAAAAACTTTATTTAAAAAAAAAGAGAGCGTTATTAACACAAACTTCAAAATTAATTTTTAGGTAGTATAAAAAACGATATAACAATTTTTACATAATAATAATAGTATATTATGTTATTAGGAGTAAAAGTGTAGTTAGCTTAAAATAATCCAGCTGAGCACATAAATTCACTTTTCCTCCAAATAACTTATACTATTTTATCCGCAAACGTATTCAGATCGAGAGTAAAGAGTAACACTATAATTAGCAAGTAAATGAACACAATAATCAAGACCCTTTGTAATTCATAACAACGCTCATAAACAAACATCACGCGTCATTATCCGTATTTGTCTTCAAATTTTTGAAAGTGTTTATTAATTTAACTAGCGCAGTTAGTAGTGCAAAATGTCGAAAGAGACATCAAGAAAGAAACAACATTGGTAAATGTCAATAATGTCATAGTTAAATTAAAAACGCTTAGGCGCAAAAATAGAATTTTTACTCCATGGCTCAAAGACAAAACTTTTACTTGTGACATTTAGTCGTAAAAGTGGTCACTTTTGTGACGTTTGTGAATAAAATATTGTTTTTTTTTTAATCTTAAGAATAAGAAAATATTTTGAATGGAAGAATAAGTAAATTAAAGCGTATTATATGGTCGTTGAATAAACTTACAAGAAATAATATTAACCGCTAAATTGTAGCTTTGATTATGCGCTAAACAAATATGCGTTTGAAAATCGTAAATGTTTGTTAATTATGTACAGTTACGGAGTTAAAATTTCAGGCAGTATTTTTCTGTCACTTCAAAAAGTTTACTGTAAACCACAGAACAGTTGTAAACTACCTTTTACTGTCATCATGACAGACATTCGACAGTTAAACTTTTCTGTCAGTGATGATATTTTTTAAGTCAAAATGACATAAACATAACAAGAGCAAAAAAATGAGGTTGATGTAAAGGTTGTTTTAGAGTTTACATTACGAAAATGACAATACTGCCCAAAATTTTAATTCTGCAACTGTACATAATTAATAAAATAATAGTATCATCCTTCTCAGAATACTTTCCTACCATACAAAAAGAATGTTTTAAAAAGAAAAAAACAACAAACGTCGCTAATGAAGCGAGTTCGAGTCGAGACTGCTTAACAAATTAGTGTGTTAATTCTGAAAAAATTGAATACAAATTTGCACGTGAAAAAAATAATAATTATATTAAGTATATAGGTACGAATTTAAAATTTAGGATCTGTGATTGTTATAGTATTCATGAATTATTTTCTGTATCTAATTATACTATTAATAACTGATGAGTAATGAGCAGGTTCATTAAACGTTATAATTAGTCAGGTTTTTATCTAAATTAATGATAAACTATTTGTAAACTTTGTGTTACAGTCTAAACCAATTGATTTACTGATGTATTCAAAAGTGTACAGGTGTGTCAAAACCCGAGCCCCACAAAAAAATTTCAAGAAAGATAAGATAACAGGAACATGAAAAAAATGTCAAAAATTTTTGACACATATTTTTTGAAATTTGACATTTTTTTATGTCTATTTAATGATACTGATAATCTTGTATACAGGGTGTTTCACATAATTTTACGAGGCCTGCGCCTGTAAGATGCAATCAATAATACATATTCTGACACGAACTCGATTACAAATTTTGAAAAATTGGATGATCTTCTCTAGTTTGTTCACCCTTTCCAATATTACAACGTTTTTAGTTAGTTAGCGATTAAGATAAATAAACTACAATCATATTCATGCCGTCTCTTGATAGAACAAATGATAATTGTTTCTGAAAAACTGCAATTTATCACTATTAATGAAACAGTGATTACTTTGACAACTATTGTCATGGGTTTCCAAAAATTAAATAATTAAGTGTGAATTTTTGTATCCAGTGTTCTGTGACTTTTGTATATTTGGGTGCTTACATTAGGCGTAAGCCTCGTAAAGTTACGTGAAACACCCTGTATATTTTTGACTAATTATTTAATAAAGGTGCTATAATTTTGTTAAAAAAATCCACAAATAACATTAAACAGAGTTATAATTTAGGATACACTTACCTTGTTTCCTCTTCTAATAGCCTGTAACAAAAAAACTTGTAAAATTATTTTTCCAAGAGAAATAAATAGAGTCAAAGTGCAAAATTTAAACTCTCATAAGTTCGAAATTTTTATAGATAGACTTTTTTAACATTATTTCTATGTTCCTAGCATCTTACCTTACATTTTTCTCTGGGGTGCGAGTTCTGGCGCACTCTATATAAGGCCGTGTTTTCCGATTGTCAGTTTGAATTTTTAAGCTGGCAACCGAATTTTGTCTTGACTGTATTGATTTATTGATAAAATTGATAAAATTGAAAAATTGTTATTATTCCTGTTGCCGTAACGTCACTCAATGACGTGTCAATGTGACCAGAAATGTCTATAAAATTTATGTTATGTCGGTTTAAAAAATTACAATTATGCGAATCCCTTACAAAATTAACAAAAACACACATCTCACTTACGAGGCGTCTCCTGAAAGTTTAATCCTAGTCGGAGAACCTGAGAGACAAATTCTCTCCGAAAATTTCCAATGGGACAAGAACCACTGTCCCTCACTAGCAACTCTATGTGTGGAAGTAATAAAATCAAAATTTACCGACAATTCTTTATTAGACGAACTACCATGTCAAGACCGCGATTACCTACTCGAAATTTTAGATCTCGCGTTACCTTTGCAGCTTGTAGTACCACTTATCGAGGTATTAATTGACAATGTAATAATTGTTGTATTAAAATAAAATCTAGGACGAAATTTATTGGCAAAGACGCTACCAGGATAAATTCGGAACGATTATTTACAGAAAACGTGAAACATGGACTTGGAAAAGTTTATTTATCGAAAGACATGTGCAAGAAATGATTGAACAAGCACAACCGGAGCATAACGATGAAGATGAAATGGACGAAATTTTGACTTTGTGTTCTTTCTACGTTCGGACTTTGATTGTGAGTCAGTTGCAAGCCTGGAAGCCTCCGTTACACTGGGATGAGGAAGACATCCCCGAATTCCACCCCACAGACCACATCAGTTTTGAGCCAATTTTCAAAAAGTTGGTCCACATTGAAGAGTTTGATGTCATTTATGGTACTAAACACGGCTTTTCACACTTTTTTTATTTATTTTTCCGAAGGTATGAACAGTGTCGGTGACAAATTCACCTGGCACATGTTTAAATTATCAGTTGGTGATTGTCAACGTTTAGGCAAATCCCTCCACCATTTAAAATCTCTCCGTATCTTGCGAATTCACAGAAGCAGATTAGAAGACCAACACGTGCGTGTTCTTATGCATGGCTTAATCAAAAATGAAACACTCGAAGAATTAGATTTATCTCATTGTATAATCGGGAACCAAGGGGCGCTTTGTATAGCCAAAGTATTATGTGTCCATCCGAAATTACGGTCTCTGAATCTCTGTGATAATAAGATTGGCCAGTTAGGATGCGAAGGTTTAGGTTTTGCGTTGTTGGAACCCGAGTGCTCGTTAGAGAAATTAAATTTAAAATTGAATCCGTTAGGAGAAGGTGGAGCTATGGGAATAATGAGAGCTTTAGTTAGGGGAACGAAATTGGAGGAATTCTCCATGGCGGCTTGTCAGTTTGATGATGATGCGCCGATAAGGACCGGCCAAATGTTGCTATTGAATAAGTCGCTAAAAAAGTTGGATGTTAGTAATAATTGGTTTGATGAAGAAGGCGGTAATGTAAGTTTATTTTTCAAAGAAATAAAAACTTGATTTTTTTCGCAAAATAATGTCATACATATGCAACCAACAATACACATAACACTAAAAATACTCCTGTAGGCAAAAGTTATATTTAGGCCCAAAAATTAAATAGGTAAAATACTAACATATTTTGAGTTGTATTAGCTTCTTGTAAATCCCAATTATTGAAATTTTTAAGATTTTGATCCATTTTTCAAACAAGGCAAATTTTAATTATTCTGTCGAGTTTCTAAGTACCTAAATAAAACGAGTTAATATACTAACTATACAGAATGATTACTTTGACAGTAAAGAAGATAACGAAATGCGGTTTCTTTTGGACGATGGACATTCATTTTTTTCTATGGTCCAAAAATATTTTCCTCGTTATAGGTAATTCCTATATAAGGTGGCGCAACAAAGTTATATTTTTTCTTATGGAACACCCGGTATATTATGAGCTTATTTGAAAAAGATTTTAATTCTAAGAATATACATAAAACGTCTATCATGGACCCTTTATCATTTATGGGCAATTTTATGAAAAAAGTACCATTTTTGAAAAATCACAACGGCTTTGCTAGAAAGAAAAAGTGCAACCATTTTTACTGAGTCTGGACCTAAATTATTATGGTAGAAATTCAATCAATCTTTTGCAACTACTGCAGAGCGTTGACATTCGCAAAATATCAATTATCTTGATTTTTTTTAATGAAACACCCTGTATGTTATTACTTTATCGTGTAGAGCTTTTAATAAGCTTTCTAAAAAACCTAGGGTTTGGAGGTCTAAACCTTACCTGTTTTATTGTACACCTTTTTGAACCTACAAAATTTTAAATTATTCTATTTATCGTTAAAAATAAAGTAGGTTTGCGTTACTTCCTCTTCTAAAAAAATTGGATAATTTTTTAAAGTTACGTTATCACCATACATCAATTAAGAAAACAGGTTGTTTATTGAAATACTAAGTAAAACTCAAAAATGGTACTTTTTTTCATAAAATTGCCCATAAATGATAAACGGTCCATGATAGACCCATAAAACCTAATCTGGATATTCTTAGAATTAAAATCTCTTTGAAATAAGCGGATAAGCGGGTGTTCCATAAGAAAAAATATAACTTTTTTGCGCCACCCTATATAGGAATTACCTATAATGACGAAAATATTTTTAAACCATAGAAAAAATGAATGTCTATCGTCCAAAAAAAAACGCATTTCGTAATCTTTTTACTGTCAGAGTAGTCGAAGAAATACAGAGCTCTGGGACAGCCTGTATGTAACTACCTATAATATTAGGACCTAAAAATCATTTTGTTCTGACAGAGTAATGAACTAATTTAAATTGACCTATGACCCAACTTCTGTAAGTTAGTTGCTGGGTTAACACACCCTTCCCATTAATTTAAATTAGGCCAGCAATTAGGTCAAATTAAATACAAATATTGAAGTCGACCCATGAAATACAAAGGACGCTTATAGTAAATAACTTTGTGCTTTTCAATTACCAAAGTAGTTCCTGTATGCATTTAATTATCTTCGATGCTTTAATTTTTGTAACGAAATTGTGTTATTTTCAGGCTCTGGTTGAAGGTATGGCTGTTAATAGGACTTTGGAATGGTTGGATATTCGTGAAACAGACATTACCTCCAACCAATACCACAAAATCAAAGAGTACTTGAAGCGTAACAGACTTGGGTTGGAAGAAGTGAATGAGGTACAAGAAGAAGTTTCGATGGGGCAGGTAGAACAAGCTTCTTACAGCACTGTTTCTACACAAAAAACTGCCGAGACTGGAAGTGTTATGGAATAAAACACCGTTTTTGTGTCTGCATTTTTTTATTTATAATATAGCACATGTAACATAAATGGTAGACTAGAAAAATAATATTTGTGCATGATTGCGACAACAATGGATTCTTAAAATAGTGATTACTTCTACACTACGGTAACACCTTTATTGGAATTTATGTACATTGAAAAGTAATTAATTCCATTATAATTGGCGTTTAGAACTGAACAAAATGTGATTAAAAATGCATACATGTACGTATCATACAAAACAGTTACCTACATTACTATTTCTTAATTAATCAGAATTATACAATACGTAATAAGTCTTGTTCTTAGGAATTTCGACACAAAACATATATAAAAAATTATATAAGACTTAAGATCCAAAATAGTGTAAATAATTTATATAAAAAATAATTTATAAATAAAAAACAGTCACAATAAACAATGACAAAAGTAAGAAAATTGCACACCAAAGCTGAGAATGTATCATTCAATATTTTTAGTCACTTATTTTTAAAATATTTAAGAAATTGACAACAGTACTCACATACAAAACTATTTTTAACTTAAAAACTGACACAATAATGATCAAACAAAAACTAGTAGAAAACATAACTAATAAAAATGTACAAGATACAGATTCACTCTCAGCTTAGAAATTTTACTACTTAATTACTACTTAATCACTTTTGAGCAATTTTCAATATATCACTAAATACAATTCGTTGGCAGCATATTCGTCAAGAGTCGATAATATCCATTTTAAAGATATTACCATCGATGTCGATTATCAAAAATGATCGAAAATCTTTAGAAGCAGAAATATACTGCAATCTCTTTCCGTGTAAATTTGTACTAGTGAGCAAGTAAGGCACTGTGTCATGAAGTTTTTTGTCTTGCCATGGATCAAAATTGAACACCAAAGACTGATGGGAATGGTCAGAATTTCCATTCATTTTCTCACTAAAGAAAAAAACAATAAAAAACGCACAACGAAATTTTAATTTACCTTTTCTTTCCAAAATCACTCAGATTCCACCACGCGATTTGATCTCCAAGACTCACAAGAATCGATTCAAAATTAGGAGCGAAAACCAGCTGTTCTACTGACTTTTTATGCAAAAGCAACAAATCTTTTTGTTTATTTTCGATGGAAAAGACCTGGAATAATGTAAGTAAGATTTGTGGCTAGAAATTATTTCGGAAATGTACCTCTATATCACCACTGTCACCACCAACTGAGATGAATTTACCATTGGAATTTAGACTCATACAAGTTGGAGTCACGTTCAATTTAGTCTCAAATAAACAATCCAGAGTCAAAGGATTATCAGAAATGAATGTAAGGACTCGCAAAATGTGACCATTTCCTTCATTACAAGCAATAGCTAGTAGATTTTTTCCTTTATGAATCGTAGCGACAATCACGTCTTTATATTTCGTAGAAATCCAACCCAAACACTGGTCGTCACTTACGGTGGCGATTGAAAATCTCCCTTTGACATCAAAAGCAAGCAATCGATTCCGAAGGTACAACAAGTCAGTCAATTCATCCATAATATCAAGCTCTAATTTCACTCTATTATCAACTATTATCACGACTTTTGAACTAGAAGCAACCACAACCATTCCATAAACACTAACACTGTCATCGTCAACATGATCAACATCGAAACATTTGATGAATTTTATTTCATCATCGCAAATTTTCAAACAATTCACTTTCTTCTTCTTGTAATTATAAAAGTACAACTTTCCCGACTCCGTCCCCAAAATCAAGAAATTTCCACACAGGGAAAATGAACAACATTTTATTTTATCGGTAATTTCATCAATTCCTGCCAAGATTGTCGAATGACCATAGAATATATCAATTTTATTTTCACTATTGACGATGAAATAAATCGGTTGAGACTCTTTCCAGTAGCAATTGAAGAGAGCTAGATTTCTGACTAAAGGTTTGCTACAGGGTTCGAAGTACAATTCGCATCGTTGAACACTTTCCTTATCGAGACAAATGAAAGCGACGCTTTCACGAAGGATGAAAAGTGAGGTGGGTTTCCTAAAATATACAAAATGTGTTAATTATGATGGTTTGATAAGCTGAGAAAAAAAAACTTACCCGTAATCGTTCTTATACTGATGCAATTTCTGACATCTATAATCGTAGAAGTAAATGTAGTCAGCTGTGCCCAACACTAAATATTCGTCGTTGATTACAGTGGACGTGATATTAGATTGAGTTTCAAAACTAAACCTCTTGATCTTTTTCACATACTCCCAGATTTCAAGCTTCCTTCCACTAATCACAGCAACTTCTCTATACTCCGAAACAATGGGAATCAGGACCAAATCAGTGATATCATCCAAAATCCCAAACTGTCCATTATAAACCAAATTCCCTCTGGCATAACAATAAACCTTGCCATCATATGCAAAAATCACTTGTTCACTATCATGCACATAGCAAATCCTCGAAATTGGCAATCCTAAAGCTGATGATTCCCTCACAATGGACGCAGTTCTCACATTCCATCTCATAATTTTTCCTTTATTCGAAGCCGTGATTATCTCATCACAGGTGTCATAAGGGAAAGCCGCAGAAGTTATATAATCACCATCTTGAATTTTAAAGGTTTTGTGGGGGATTGCGTTTTCATCAGGGGAGTGTAAATTCTTCCAATTGGTTTGTTTCAGTTTAGGCGATTGGGGGTCGAGTTCTTCGACAAATCGCCATAGTTTGGCACTGTGGTCAACCGAAATGGAGAGGAAGCTTTTTGAGTCGGGACTTATTTGCAAACTGAAGATTTGGTCGGAGTGGCCTTCAAAGCGGTGAACTTTGTGCTGATATTGGCGGAAAGACTAAAAAACATTTTTAATTATTCCAGTGGCAAGAAAAATTCAATAATTTATAACACACAATAACTTGGTTCTTTTAAGATTTTTATTTTTAATCTCTGTACCTTATACAGGGCGCGCCAGAACTCACGCCCCAGAGAAAAATGCCATACATATAATGTAAGATACCACGAACATGGAAAAAATGTTAAAAAAAAATATCTATAAAAATTCCGAAGTTATGAGGATTTAAAGTTTGCACTTTGACTCTATTTATTTCTGTTGAAAAAATAATTTTTCAAGTTTTTTTGCTATAGGCTATTAAAAGAGGAAACAAGGAAGCTGTATCCTAAATTGTAACTCTGTTCAATGTTATTTGTGTCTTTTATTGGCAAAATTTTTGTCCCTTTACTAAATAATTGTAAAAAAACATATACAAGATCATCAGTATCATTAAATAGATATAAAAAAATGTCAAATGTCAAAAAATAAATGTCAAAATTGACAGATAGAATTTTTTAAACATTTTTTTCATGTTCCTGATATCTTACCTTACTTGAAAATTTTTTCTGGGGCGCGAGTTCTGTCGCACCCTGTATTTTTTAATGCAACAATAAAAAAATTTCATTGTAAAACTAATTCTGAACTGAATATTCACATCCTACGTATAAAAACAAAAGAATATTATTCCGTCTGCCAATAGGATTGCTCCGCTAATCACGTGACTTATTACTTAAGTACCACCTGTTAGTTATTGACAAAATGTAGGAAAAAAAGCATAATGTAATGCCTACGAAAATATGTGTTAAAAATAATTTTAAACGTCAATTCGTAAGTAAAACAAGAAATAATTTTAAAACTAACATTTTTTAGCTTTAACTCACCTTTACTTCGATGCTGCCACTAGCTGTGCCCACGAGCACTTCTTTCGAGTCCACAAAACAAGTGGCAGTTGCTACAGTTTTAGTTTTCAATACTGGAAAATTCTTATGTCCACCAGAATAAGGCCTAAAATATACACTAAGTAACTGTTATTGCAAAATACAGATTAGTACTAACTCCAATTTGAAATACAATTGATCGGGATTGTTGCTGGCGATATTTTTTGCATCTTCATATACGTAATTGTTGTCATTAAAAAACGCAAATTGAACAATATTTGTCTCGGGAGAGATGTGTAAGTGGGCGCTATATGAGTGAACGAATTTTATGTAATCTTTCAGTTTACGTTCCAATCGAGATTCCTACAAAATATGTTTAGTATCTTCTTGTTTTCTTGATTATTATCGTGTCTGTACCTTTTTTGTGATAAAATCCCTATAGACTTCAAAATCCGTCAAGAGATCAGCCGATCCGACCCGTTTTATTTTATTCTCGATGAATCTTAGATCGAAATATTTCTCGAATTTGTTATAGAGTTCTGCATTTTTGGCATGATACCCGTAATAGCCAAAAATGTAGTTAGCGATGGGGTCATCTGATGGTGATTTGGTGATGATTTCATCACATTGTGAGATCAATTTTTCGTGATAATATTTAATGTCGACATTTGCTTTTTCAACTAAATACGTGCGTACTAAACTATGGATACTGTATATATACGATTTGAGATCTTTGTTGTAAAAGGAAACAATGAGAGATTTGTTTTCTAACTCTACCATTATTTGTCTCACTGCATAGTACGTCTTGTCCCACAGTTTCATGAGTATTTCCGGTCTAATGTTTACGTGTTTGGGAAAAACAGCCAAGCTATGGAAACATTTTTGAACTTCTGTGTCTAAGCAGGTAACAAATCTTTGGATCATGTGAATCACTTTCATTGTTGTGGGGCTGTGAATTAAATAAATTATCATAAAGTTTAAGTAACAACAAAATTAAACTTACTGTTGCAAGTAATCGTTTCTGATAATTTCATCTATCAGTGATTTCCAAATTATGTCAGTAGATAAGGCTTCTTCGCGACTATCTTTTAAAATTGAACCTATGATATTTAACAACATGGGGCAACCATCACACAACTCGTGTATTCTATTCGCTAGATTTTCCCTATTTGCAAGATTGTCAGTTTCCAGTGATTTTCGAAGCAATTCGATTGATTCTTTTTTAGTAAAACCTGTCGTAACCTACATTTACAAAATAAAAATCATTACATCAATTGAAATAATTAGATTTTACCTTGATAAAGAATGCTTCCGAATTGTTGGCAACATTTTTATCTTGTGTAGTCACAATAGTTTTGCAACTTAATTTAAAAGCATTTAAAACCTCCGACGACTTGACATCATCCAGAATGATATACGAATTAGCTAAATTTTCGTGCAAAAACAATGTTTTAAGTTCATTTTGCAAAATAATGATGTCATCTGGTCTATGGCTTAAAGCTACATAATCAGTAAGCTTAACAGCAGTCAAATACAAGCTAAAAATAAATATTTATTGATTAATTAAAATTGATGTGAAATGACTCACTTCCATAAGGGATGAATAATGGCACTGGTGTCTGAATATTCCCCTAAATTAATCCAAAACATAGCATTTCCAGACACTTCCAAAAAACGTTTAGTTTGTAAAACTTGATTTACTAAACATGATTTACCAAAACCTGGTAAACCATGCACCACCAAAGTACCACAAAGTTTAGGGTCGAGGTCGAGGGCTCTATCCTTGATAGTATTTGCCTAAAATTGCACAAAAGTTATTATCATAACAAGGTCACGGTTTTATGAAATACCACTTTGATCCATTCCTGTTAGCATTAATTACAAAAAATATGTTAATTGAAAATTCGGAAAAATAAATTATTTAGCAGCTTAGTAGATTTTTATAATAAATCTCATAAAAGAGGGGAACATAAATAATTCCTGAACAGGCTGTATTATTAATAATTGAGGTAACAAAATAGTTTTTTTACAAAATGATTCCCTTGAAATTTGTTTGGCCTTCATTTGTTTCTGAACCTTTTACGGTGTCTGTCAAAGTCACAACCTACTATGCTGCTTCTTCATTTTTGTCCTTAAAGTACTCACCACTGAATTTCTCACAACATAATTCAAGGAAAATTCCGGAAAACCGCCAGTAACAATAACTTTTCGTATTTTTTCGATACTGGCTATAATTGATTCAGAAATTTGTTTCATGCGGGCCACAGTTCCCAAAATATGAATGAATGTAGAACACCGCTTTCCATCTTTTATGATGATATCTAATAAGTACTTAACACGATTCTAACAAAGAAAATTAATTAGATAAAAAGAATTGTTATTGAAAACCCTCTTACATGTTGGTTACCCCAAATTTCAATGTAGAGTTTTTCATCAATGATCTTCTGTGCAATTAAAGTATCAATGACATCATCTAGGGTCAGGTTAGCTTCAATTTCTTCTCGAAACTCTTGTACCACATTTGTGAAGATTGCCATCGGGGCAGCTAAAATAAGTTTTTTGAATGAGAGGTTTCACAACATCAAGTGGTCATCTGTCACATTTTAAGTTAACAAATAAAGCTTACCATTAATGAGAGTATTTTTTCCGTAATGAATAAAGAAAAAAACGTTGATGAATCAGAATAGATATCGAAAATAATGGCGATATCACAAACACAAAACGACACTACTCTAAACACAATCACGTCAAAAATACCTGTCAAAACCTGTACGATTCAGAATCTTCTGCATGTCTATTCGTCAAATCTTTCATGCGGTCATTGACCACAACCACACAAACAAATTATGAGACGTCCGAATTCTCAACGGCCTTGAATTTGGTTATTTTGTTTGAATTCTTTTGTATAGGTGGACTTCAATTAACAATAGAAACCTTGCAGGTAAACTAGCCAATTAGATTATTTATTGTTAAACCAACAACAAAACAACGTCTAATGTCAAATCTTTAGCCAATGGAATACGCGGATATCCCTATTTGCGCGGTGATTGGTAGTCGCATTTGAGCGGGAATTTTGTCGTCAAATCGCGTTAAAGAGTTTTGTTTAAATTATTTGTTTACATAAACACTTTTGAATTAGTGAAACTCGTGACAAATTAATTTTTAAAAGATTTTTGTTACGCACGTAAATTGGTGTTATAATTACAGAGTGTAATCACAATTTGGGAAATACCCTGGTAATACATTGTTTAAACTAACTTTTTTTTAAAACAGATTTTGATGTGACAATAAAGACTGCAAACTACTTATTAGATGAGATTTAGTTTTTTTTAATAATTAGAGGCTACCAGATTGTGATAGTCATTATAAAGAAGTACAAGGAAAATTGAGATTTTAAAGGTCTAACAGTAAACTAAATTGTAGTTTAAATCAAAATTAATAAAATGTTTTGTATTAAATATTAATAACTATTCAGATGAATTAATAAATAAAAACTATTGCGCTCTTATATGCAACCACCAATACACATTTTTGTTGACTGCAGATTTATCAGCTTTAATAAAAAATATATTATCATTGATTATTATTTTTTTCACATAAGATGTCTTTTTTTAAATCAAAAACAACTTCATTTAGAAGTTATTCTGTGAGAGTAAAATATATTAATTTTTTTCATTTATTAGGTAAACTTGTATGCAAAAGAAAAGTATATAACTGCTGTGCACGGTTTTGGCAATATTTCATGGGGCTTTTTTCTGTAACTTGGTAACATTGAACTAAACAAAACTTCAACAATAGGTAACACATGTATTGTTTAACAAAACTTAATAATATAATTTGTGTGAAAGACTGACATTGACACATAAATTCTAAAATTTTTAAAAGCAACCATAGAAACAGTCCCATTTACACGATGAAATAGTAAGTGGACGCTTTTTTTTTGAATACAAGTGTACATTAATTGTTTTTTGATAGAACAAGATCCACCAAGTGTGACAACATTGTTGTTTCGAAATGTATCATTCAATTTTTTATGTTTACAAATTACAACTAATAACAAAACGATAGAAATATGAATACGAACTGAAACAGTTCATTTGCTATTAACACTTTGTGTAAAATATTATTGACGTAAACAAGATATACCTATAATTACCAATTGTAGGTATTAGTTTCTCTAATTATTCATATTTTGTTAATAATTTGTTTACACTAATCGCCATATCTTTTTTTTAATATTTCATGCAACATGTAATTAATTAAATAATACCACAGTTATTTTTAAGGAATGACTTTTTTAATTCTTTGTGTTTATATTTAGATACAATTCTGGTGCATTTGCAGCAGTATTTAAAATTCAAAATTCATAGTAAATTTACATGTAGATTCTTTGATAACTGAGCTTTACGTTGACATATATTATTTGATTTATGATAAAGTCCTTGGACAGACACTGTATTTTTTGCAAAGTACACAAAAATATGATTTATCTAAAATAGGTGTGAACTAAGGACTGTTTTAAAATGCATAACTCAATTTAACGTTACCCGTCAACTGTTATAACCGAAATGAATTTTTAATCTTCTAGTTACAGGTTTATAATTCATATACACATGCTGAGATAATAATGTAAAGTTTCATCATCTAGCACCGTAATCTTCTAATTAAATGTAAACGCAAAAACACCACAATTTCGCTTTGTTTTGTTTTCATTTTTATTGGGTACATGTCGACGAAAGATAAGAGTGATTTATCATTCCGGTTCATAAACCGAATATATTTTCTTTGTTGCGTTTCACTTCGTAATAATAAAAGTTACATACAGTATGGGACAACAAAAGAGGTTTGTGAATATTGCGTGCCCAAATTGATTTGTAAATGTCGGGGTGAGGTCAGAGATGGCTAAAATAATAATTTTCTTTATTGTTTTAACTACTTATATTGAACGGTACATTATCGCTATTATTAAAATCAATTCCTAAAATAAATTACAAGGGCATTTTTTACAAAATCATGAATAAAATTACAAGGATATGTACACGCTTATACCGTAAGTAAAGTCATGCTAAACGAAACAAACTTCTTAATTCATTAGTGGTATAAACGCAGGCATACCAAGGACAGAAACTACCCCTAAAATATGCAAATAATTAAGTTAAAATATCACTTGTTCAAAGACCCCCGCTTCCAGGGTGTTAGTACATTTGGAGACAAATGGAACCAAATCACATCAAACTATGAGGCCTATTTTATTTTAAAATTGTCCGAGTCTTGCAAGCCTAGGCCGAAATCAATACAGCATGTTTGAATTTTGAACAAACAGGTGCTGTTTGGTTGCAGGAAAGCAATTTAAATATTGTGGCTTTTTCGTTGGTAATCTCCGAAAAATTTCACTCGCTGTTTCCAGTTAATTATTTCTGGAATGTGAAGGATCCAATAAAACGCTCGATCGGTTTACTTTTGCGAAAAACCAAACAAATTTGTACTTTGTCGTTTATTTCGTTTCATAATACATGATTTTAGGGCCGATGCACAGTGATTTGCTCCCACATTTCAAAGTCATTTCAATTACTTTTATATACAATAAAATCGTACATGTTCGATGGAAATATAAACTTGGAAATTGATTGGAATACGTGGGGAAGCAGGTCAATTCATACATTTTTCATCCTCTGACAACGAGCAACAAGTCGCAAGGGCATGACTACATTAAAAAAATAAAACAAATTCTTGCTCAAGTGAGGAGTTATGCAAGCGACTTTCTGATGAACACGATTGGGGTGAAATTCAGCTGTTGCTCACAATCGATTCGGTTACATATTTTAGTTATATTTTATGTTATTCAACTAATGACAGAATTATGAGGCGGAATTTTTTCCCGAAGTAGACAAAAATAAATCCAGGATGAATCAACAACAATTATTGATTAATTTTCTCCCAAACATTCCGTGACAAGTTCAACGCAGCTGAGTTATCACTTTGACTCTGATTTATGTTAAACGAGAAACTTTCGATTCGATCATCTCGAAGCCTATTTTATATCAACATAAAAAAGACTTCTATTTACCTACCTTTACCTGCATATTTACAAGACGTTATAAAATTTATCTCCAGACGCTTCAAAAAGCCATCAAGTTTGACGAAACGTTTGATAAAGATTGCGTTAAACTATTACGTCATTTATGGTGCCATAAAGAGGAATTAAGGACGAAAATTCGTTACTTTTTCATAACAAATTTGCAAACTTAAGTCGATAAAATTACTGTTTCTTTTAAGAGTGCGACAAAAGTGTCACCATAAATTATTTCACTAAGCTAAATATTGCGGAAAGAAAATTTATGTCGGCCGAATGCTGCAGCCGTTATAATGAACCTATTAAACGCAGCAAAAGAAAGATTAATACGAAAATTAAAACGATTCATTTATTATCATTACCGCATTTTTCAAAGTATTACTTCAGATTAAGTTTTTACGAGTGTTTTAGGTAATAAATGACAATGTGACCGTTTCTATGTTTACAATTTCGTTTGAAGTATCCTAACAAAGGGTAAAAAAGATGAAAGAATACCGTAATCATCGAAAAAGTAACATTTTCTGCTTCCGTATTTCCTATTAAAAGTCACGTGACCACACTCATGGGTGACTTAAGCATGCTTTAGTTTTTTTTGTTGAAACACCCTGTATTAATAAAAAATATCATTGCACACAATAAATTTTTATTTAACATGAAATGACCTTTTATTTTTAATATAATTATTTTCGAATTGTAATGGAAGCACAGCATCAATGAGATGAAAAAATTGAATATTTTCTATTAAAAGTTTATATTTCCCCGATAATAAAAAGTCTACCTATCACCTACGTAGCCATGACTATGAATACTCGGTAATAATTTGAATAAATGCGATATGAAGGGGATTTGAATAAAGTCCAAATGCTCAAAGTTACTCTCGCACAAACACAAATTCGTTATAATGATTCCAACGGTTTTCTTCGGCATCGACTCCTGGTTTGGGTTCGGCTCCACAACCGGCGGTACCAGAGCCACAACTTCCTGCTAGTTTGAAGCCCTGTTCTATTAGCATGTCAAAAGCTTGCTCCAGGAAGGAGTGTTTGAGGAAAAATCTGGAGGTGTATCGTTCGGATTGGCCGTGGTCTGGGTCTCGACTTTCGTTGAGGGTCTCTCCGAAGACGTCGCGACATAACGTTACTCTCCCGCTGACCAGGATTCGGGAGAGTTTGCGGAATTTGACGTCGGCGAGGCCGTCTTTGCCGAACTGGAAACTGCCGCGGTATCTGTTCAGAAAAAGAGAAATTGAAAAACAACTTTGAAATGTACGAGCACAGTATTGGTTCAAGGATATTTTAATTATTTAAAAAATAGTCTTTTGATACGCTTTTATACAACAGCTGAATAATTTTCCTGATCACTTTCAGTCACGTTGGGCAAGAAAATATCAATACCGAATTTAACTTAATTAAACTCGATTTAAGTACTTTTGCTTTAAAATTTGATGAAAACTTTGCTTTATTTTCAAACTATTATATTATTTAATATGTATAAATATGAGTTTTATACAGGATGTTTCAGAACTTCCGTCTCAGAGAAAAGTTTTAAGTAAGATAAGATACCAGAAACATGGAAAAAATGTTTAAAAAATTCTATATTAGTCCGGTCAAATTAGTCATAAAAATAGTAGTCAAATAACTAAAATTCCGACAGAGCTAAATTTTGGTGGAGATCTTGGGTACACCATTAGAAATAAAGTGTCAAAAGTCCCCATCGATCTCATGTGTGCTAAAAAAGTTATTCGGGATGAAAGGTCAAAATTTGACGTTTTTAAATTTTTTTTCGGAAACGGTAAGTTTTATCAAAAAAGTAGCCCAGACAAAAATTATAGGTCTTAAAATTATCTACAAAATGATCTATATACTTTTTTCCTAAGAATCACCATTCCTGAGATATTGCGATTTTAAAAGTTGTAAGAGTAACGTTCTACATCATATGCACATACAGAGTGCGCCAGAACTCGCGCCCCAAAGACAAATGCCATGTAGGGTAAGGTACCAGGAACATAAAAAAAAATTAAAAAAAAAAAGTTTTTTTGCTACATGCTATTAGAAGAGGAATCAAGGAAACTGTATTGTAAATTGCAACTCTGTTCAATGTTATTTGTGGCTTTCATTGACATAATTTTTGTATCTTTACTAAATAATTATAAAAAAACATATACAGGGTCATCAGTATTATTAAATAGACATAAAAAAATGTCAAATGTCAAAAAATAAATGTCAAAAATTTTTGACAGATAGAATTTTTTAAACATTTTTTCAGTACTCTGGGGATTACCCAATTACTCTCTTTCAAGAAAGTGCGAAATTTTTTAAACACTGTATGTTTTACCAAAAAAATTCTTCTTAATTCCAATGGAATCGAGATATTCATAAGTTTAATGAAGTAGAAGAAAAATTTCAAGTAAGATAAGATACCAGGAACATGAAAAAAATGTTTAAAAAATACTATCTGACAAAAATTTTTGACATTTATTTTTTGACATTTGACATTTTTTTATGTCTATTTAATRATACTGATGATCTTGTATATGTTTTTTTATAATTATTTAYTAAAGGTACAAAAATTTTGTCAATGAAAGCCACAAATAACATTGAACAGAGTTGCAATTTAGGATACAGCTTCCTTGATTCCTCTTCTAACAGCCTGTAGCAAAAAAACTTGGAAAATTGTTTTTCCAACAGAAATAAATAAAGGCAAAGTGCAAAATTTAAACTCTCATATCTTCGAAATTTTTATAGATAGAATTTTTTTTTAATTTTTTTTATGTTCCTGGTACCTTACCCTACATGACATTTGTCTTTGGGGCGCGAGTTCTGGCGCACTCTGTATATGCATATGATGTAGAACGTTACTCTTACAACTTTTAAAATCGCGATATCTCAGGAATGGTGATTCTTAGGAAAAAAGTATATAGACCATTTTGTAGATAATTTTAAGATCTATAATTTTTGTCTGAGCTACTTTTTTGATAAAACTTACCGTTTCCGAAAAAAAATATAAAACGTCAAATTTTGACCTTTGACCCTGAATAACTTTTTTAGCACACATGGGATCGATGGGGACTTTTGACACTTTATTTCTAATGGTGTACCCAAGGTCTCCACCAAAATTTAACTCTGTCGGAATTTTTGTTATTTGAAATGTCTATTTTGACCGGACTAATGTCAATAAATTTTGACATTTATTTTTTGATATTTAACATTTTTTATGTCTCTTCACTACTTTACTATAAAGTCATTTAGTAAAGGTACAAAAATTTTGTCAATAAAAGTTACAAATAACGTTAAACATTGCTACAATTTAAGATAAAGCTTCTTTGTTTCCTCTTTTAATACCCGATAGGAAAAAAACTGAGAAAATTATTTTTGTGTGTAAAAGTTTAACTCCCATAACTTCGAAATTTTTATTGACAGAATTTTTTTGACATTTTTTTCTTTTTTTTTCTTACCTTACATGGCATTTTTCTCTGGGGCGCGAGTTTTGAAACACTCTGTATGTATACAGAATAGTTCAAAAGTCTGGAAACGGTTTTATTCTGGCGAAACTATCAATTTTTTGGGGAAATAAATTTATAGGTGTGCAATGGCTATAAAAGGCTATTCAAAAAAAAATGAATATTAATAATTATTTATACTTACGAGATAAACATAGTAACAATTTTTTTTTAATGGAAGTCTACTAAAATTTTCTTTAGACAACGAGCTTGTTACAAGAATTGTTGCTGTGCATTTTTTTTGTAAACCTCACACTTTTTTGTTAAAAAATTTTTGACTTACAAAAATTAAAGAGTATTTTTTTACGTATTCCTATTTAGTAGCATATTTATATTTATTTATTTCAACAAAACATGCAACGTGCAACTACTAGTATAGTATAAACGTCGTCATAAAATGAAAAGTGAATGTAAAAAAAAAATCAGTTTTCTCTTTTTTCTTATAAGAAGTTTTGTTTTATTTTGTTGCGATTATTATTTATTTATTTATTATATATTATTTATTTTATTTATTATTATTATTTATTTTTTTATTGCGATTATTATTTATTTATGCGATTCAAAGTATTTTTACATTTTTTAATTGCATTTGAGTTGAAGTTCCAAAAACCTGAATTAAAAATTTAGATGCATAAATATTTATAACTTAAAAAGAATTATATTTTTGGAGCGATGTTTATTTGAGTTTTTTTATAAAACTTCGTATAGACACAAAGTATTTTGTTTTTTGTTACTTTAACATAAAAAATGTAACTTTATTTAGAAAAATTAAGATGTAATACGAGATATTAATAATTATTTATACTTACGAGATAAACATATAAAATTTTTTTTTCTAAATGGAAACCTATCAAAAAATTTTTTTAGACTTGTTACAAGAATTGTTGCTGAGCAAAATTTTTTTCGTAAACCTCACACTTTTTTTTAAAAAATGTTTGATTTACAAAAATTAAAGAGTATTTTTTTACATATTCCTATTTAGTAGCATATTTGAAAGCATTAACAGAACTAGAGAGCACAGTATCTATTTCGTCTGTTTAGATATTTTCATTAGGGTTTCGTATATGTTCTCATTAAATGTAATGGTATCTAGTTAGAATACTACTCGTATTAGCAATCAGCCTTTACCAAGTAAGTAATTCAAACAAGAATATACTCATCAAATATCCTACAGTCAAAACTATACAAGATATCGCTAATTTTGAGTAATCCTGTTAATTTTACTATATTGGTGTTTAGTTTACGTTATTATAAGCAATGGTTGTTTCATTATTCAATTACAAAAAGAGTTTTTATTTTTTTGAAACTTTTTTTGCTGAAACAAAGTCAAGTTGAAACGATTTTCCTTTTACAACAAAAGCGTGAGTAGAAAGTGTGGTTAAATTTACGGAAGCTAATTCACTTCACCAGGATGTGAAATCGCCAAGAAAATTGCACATACACATCAGTATCAAGTAAATGTTTTCGAGTAAAAATAAGTAACTTTTAAATTTGTATTTGATGAGAGAATTTTTTCTAATAATAATATATTTTCTTAAAATTAATGGTGTTTGTGCAAACGTCTACTTAAATAGCTAGTGCATTATTGATGAGTATTGATGCCTTTATTGTATTAATGATGTGGATTGTGGAGGCAAAACGTGGCTTTGTTTACGTAGGTCACCACTCACTTCACATACCTCAATAATACAGTGGTATTGTTTGTATCGTTTTGCTTGGTCTGAATAAAAATATCTACATTTGTTTATAATTAAACAAATAATGTTTTTTTTTTATTAACACAGCTAATTAATTGCTTGAATCAGCAGTTTCCAATTAACTCAAAAACCTTTCTTGTTAAAATACTGTTATTAAATTTGTACAAATTTTTTGAATTTTGAATTAAAATACAAAATTCATGATTAACAATTTAGAGGTAGTTACCAATATATAAAACAATATTGTGTTAGATTATTTAAACGTAGAAATCTAAAGTTATTGTGACAAAAATGGTGGATGCGCCGGGTCAAAACTATAATAAATTTACACACAAATTTATTTATTTAAAATAAATTAAGTTTTTGTAATTTTATTGATGAAAGAAATCATCTACAATTGATTTTTTCACGAATAATTGTTATTCGAATCATGAGTAGTCATGCATCTGAGGCTGTAAAAAAGAACGTTCGAAACGCATTACAACATCCCAATTTTATGACTTCAAGTGCACAGATCAATATCGAATGAATAGTTGGTTACAGATTTTTTTATAGGAACAGTACATTTTTGTAAAATCATAAAAATGTTTCATGAATAAAATCCATTTCCTTAGTTTAATAATAGATAAATAGAATAATAGATTTAAAAAGTAATTGCTATACAAGTATCTTTCTTTAACGAAAAGCAGCAATTTGTGTATCTAATAGATTAGTCGTCATTTAAAAAATGGTACATAAGTGGAATCAAATATTTTTGTATCTTGTTTCCGAATCGTCTGCAATCGATTTAACTTGTGTAACATAGAGACAATATTAATACTAAAAACAGAATTGCACACGATTTTTCTCACATATAAATTTTTATTGGTCAGATGACACAAATATTTCTAAACATCGAAAACTTTTGTGCTACAAGTAAAGGAGATGGAGTAAATTTTGTTTGTTAAAAACATTCTGAGACATATAAAAGAAGAAATATTAATTATCGATTGTTTGGCAAGGTTTAGAAAGTTAAAGTTTTAAGTGTGGTATACACGTTGTGAAATATCCCAGGTGAATAAAAAGTATGGAACCAAACGTTTTTTGCTTAAACTATTTATTTTTGAAAAAACTAATTGATGAGTGATAAAGCACTATAAAAATGTGATGTTTTAACAAGAATAAAATTTTTCGAAATTTCCCTTTATTTTTGAGTTCTACAAAAAATAATATTTTTTTAAATGGCAACCCACTATAAAATTATTTTTCTTATAAAAGCTATACTCTAAGGATTACAACTAATTTAAAAAAAAAATTCACATAAATTGCAATTTTGACAAAAAAATCGCAAAACTCAAAAACAAAACAAAATCTCGTTCTGAAAATACGATCACATTTTTTGTATTACTTTAATTTATATTAATTATTATTTTCTGGAGGCGAATGATTAAAAATAAAACCGCTTGGTTCCATACTTTATATTCACCCTGTATCTTTTGTTTCTGTATATAGTATTAGGATGTAGGCGCGTTATTATTTTTTCATATTTTTTCAAAATGGGAAAACAATATTTTTTCAAAATTTTGACCTCTTTGTTGGATATTTCAAAACATTTATTTAAAAGTTGTAATATACGTATTGTTATTTTTACACAAATTTGAATTTTCTTGTAAATTGCGTTAAAACACTATACAATTATAAATATTAATAATAATTATAAAAATTGACTAGTAAAACTACACATGATATGTTTTTCACTCTTATATTAAAAAAAAATCAGATATTTATTTATTTCAACATAACTTTTTTTTATAAGTGCAGCTACTAGTATAGCATAAACGTCGTCATAAAATGAAAAGTGAATGTAAAGATTTATCACTTTTCTCCTTTTCCTTATAAGAAGTTTTAAAATAAATTATTTTTGTTCCTAAATTTAATTCAAAGTATTTTTACATTTTTTAATTGCAAGTTTCAAAAACCTGAATTAAAAATTTAGATGCATAAATATTTATAACTTAAAAACAATTGTATTTTTGAAGCAATGTTTATTTGAGTTGTTTTTATAAAACTCTGTATATACACAAAGTATTTTGTTTTTTGTTATTTTAACATAAAAAAATGTAACTTTATTTAGAAAAATTAACATGAAACACGAGATTAAATATTGTTTTGGCAATATGTGCAAAATGGTGGATGCGCCGGGTTAGTAGGTCAGGATAAAACTGTGCCAATTCAGATCATAGTTACTTTAAAATTGAAATGTTTTTATGATATAATTTATTTTTGACTTAAGGTACCGTTACTCAAGAGAAATAAATTCTAAACTTATGTTTACAAAACTCGTAAACTTACGAAATGCACATGTGGTCACACACATGGGCTATTTGTATTTTTATATTTATTAATTGTAAATAAAAAATGCGAAACAAAATGCAAGTAGATTATTAAAAAACTTGAACTTTTTTGAGGCTTTAATTACGCTCTTGCTAATTAATGTTATACCAACAGCATGCTTTAAAACAACATTTCTATTTCTCCCCCTTTCTCAACAAGCATTCTACATTCAAGCACAGTACCCGACGGTGATGACTCCCGACGCTCTACTCCTGCTCTCGCTGGCGATGGCCTCCACCAGCCCTGGAAGAACATATTTTTCCGCTTCCCTCTTCAACCTTTCTCTCTCCCGGAAACACTCCGGTAAGACGACGGTGCCGTCGCGTAAGAAATCCAACACGTACCGAAACAGCACGCCGTCGCGATCGAGGAAATATCGACCCTTGGCATCCTGGGTGATGGGCTCGCGGCCTGTGAAGATGGCGTTCAAGTGCGAGTCGGGTTGGCTGATGAGGGTTTTGAGTGTCGTGGTGTAGAACACGCCGCCGATGTTTAGTTCTATCACCGATGGGAAATCGCACCCCGACATACTTACGGTGAGGCTGCTGGGGCCAAACTGGGGATGACGAGGCAGGCGAAAGCCTCCCCTCTCTGCTCGAGCATCGACGGAGAGGGACGACGAGAAAGGGGTTTTAAATTATTTTATGGAAAGATCAAGTTTTTCGGACGGAGACTGTCAAAGAGGCTGGGAATCGTGCTGGGGTTTAATGGATGAATGGAGTTCAGAGTTAAATACTTTTATTTAAAGTTGAAAGTGAAAATTAGAGGAGTTTTATATAACTTTGACAGATTTTTTAAACTGAAAGCTATCAGACAGTAATGATTAAAAGTTTGTTTTTGTGAAGGAAAAGTTTGCGAGAGAACAGGAAAAGTGAGATCTGTATTAGAAGCGTGAAAAATATTTATTATACAAGTAAGGTAGAAATATAATTTATTTGCTATCTATAAAAATTAAAATAAAAATTAATAATTATAATTTCAGAGAATATTTTTATAAATTTGCTGTATTGTATTTAAGCTTCCAAAGCCGATTGCACCGTTTGCAATCTGTAAAGCCCAATTTTAACTTCTTGTTAAAATATCTGATAGATCTGATCAGATTCTTTGTGATTTGCTGAAATATGAAACAGTCAATCAAAAAAGATAAAATAAAGTTAAATGAAAAAAGTATCAGCTGTGACAAATTTATGTCTACAGTTTAAATAGAACTTATAACTTTAATTATGTAAAAATACTACTAATGATTGAGTACTTAAAAAACCTGAAGGTTTTTTGTACGCTTATAAGTGAACTAAAGCTAAAAACAATTAGTGTGTTTTAATTTCGTTGATATTAGATCTTACAAAAAAGATTACACAAATTGTTTTTAACTTCAGTTCTTAATAAAGCACCAGCAAATTTACTTACAAAGTGTCTTTCTTTTAATATGGTAGTTAAATAGTGTATTATAGAAAAGGTTTGAGAGTTAAAAATGGCTGATATACAAGTTAACTGCTTATTTTAATTGATGTCGAGAGGGTTCAAAATGTCAAAAATTTGAGAAACCTTATAATATGAGTATTACTTCATAAGTTCTAGATAACAATATAATAAAAATACAAAAAGTTTCAAATAAACACGTGTAAAAAAAGCATGAAATAGATTTGTCGATTTTAATTTCTTATAGACCAACTACAAATATTATTAAGTCCCTATTACAATGTTTTTTTGATTTTTAAATTAACACTATTGTAACCAACAAGTTGTATAACTTTTATATTCAGTTTTAACAAATTTTGAATGATTGTATTAAAAGCAAATATTAAAAAATTTAAAAAAATAAAAAATATTAAACTTATAAATAAAATGGTGGATGCGCAGGGTTAAAATTAAATAATATGTAGTTGGAACTTATAATTTTAGAAATGTACACTGGCGGACACAGAATGTTGGACGATTTGTCATTCGATTGACATAAAAATGTAAAACGGGCTTTAGACAACTAACCTCGGTTTTTGTAATTTTTATCCTGATAGCTCGAGCAAAAATGACAACAAATCAAAATAATTTATTGAACCAATGTAAAAACACATATTGCTGGTATCTCTGTTTCGAAAAATCGACGTCAAAAATAAATTTCAACTAAAACTTTCAACTTTTAGTTTCAAACGTCAATTATAATGACAATAAAGCATGGCTTACATTGACATTTTTTGAACTGACATAAATTTGATGTCCAAAATTTCGTGTCCGCTACTGTATTAATTGAAACATAAAATTAAAACACAAAATTTTGCTTCAATATACAAAGAAAACTGTTTTGGCAAACAGATTTAAAAATGTAAGAGTAATGTGCGGTAGGTATAATTTAACAATGTGATATAAAAAGCGAAGCTGAATGTTTAATTAAGACTGAATAAATTGTGTTTATTTTTGAGTATAGATGAACACGGTAGTTTTTCTTAATTTTTATGATGAAGTTCATTTAACATAAAACATTTTTTGATTCTTACAAGCTTAAAATTTTCGTGTTAATTTTCAGCACGGTTTGCGCTAAACTTTGCGCATGTTTCATCAAATGAAATGCCGTAACTGTAAAAAATGTGTCAATTACAGTCTATTAGCGGTGTCGAGGCTAAAAAAATACATTGGAAACTCTAAATAGTTTTTAGAAATGAGTGTTTTTATTATGTATGTTTTTGTATGTATACGGTTTTTAATTAATTGGTTTTTAATATTTTTTCTATTTTGGTTTATGTTTAAGAAAAATTAATTTGTGACATTTTGATTAAGACTACAAAAATGGTGGATGTGCCGGGTTAACACACACTGTTAAGTGTGTATTTTAATTATTTTCTTATTTAACTTTAAATTAGTTAAAATTCACCAGTTACATCAAAGGTTTTATATTGTTAAAACTAGGTAAATTCTACGTGTGTACATGATGTATGTTATTCATTCAAGTTTTTTTTTTTTGATCAAAATAAAAAACAATTTTAGTTTTTGTTTGCAAAAATAGTTTCACTTCAAATAAAAACTTTCTTGGTTTATTGTAATTTTTTTAAGCACAATTTCTAAAACAAGTATTTAACGCCACAAAGCAAAGCACTTATTTGTGTTAAAAATAATTAATGAATGTAGCAGGAAAACAGCTGAAACTTTATGAAAGCAAAACAAAAATTCTTAAAATAATTTCTTTCCACTGAAATAGCAACGTGTGTATGTGGAAATTAAAAATTTTGGTATTTGAACGTAGAGTTTATTTTGAGTAATAATTTTTAAGAACAAATGCTTATTCAATTTTTCTAAGTTTTTTAATATAATTCTTTTACTTCTAGACTTGTTCAAATAAAGTTATTTCTTTTAAATAAAAATTTGTATTTATAGTTAATTCATGTTAATTCAAGAATATAAAAGAAATGAATAAAGAGTTTTCACGTTTAGTTTGCCACTTCACTGCAGATGCAGTAAACGACTTTTCTAACGACACACTTACTTTCATATCTACTAAAATTTTATAACTTCTATTGAAAGCTTTTAATACTATAATGCACAAAGCACCAAAAATCACTTATAAAACGACACAACAAGCCTGTAAAACTCGAAACGTGGAAATTTAAATGTCGTTTCTAAACTTGTGCATGCATATAAATAATCGAGCTGCTTCTACATCATATGCAGTAATGATTCAAATCCTCAGCATGTGCCACAAATTAGTTATCACATTTCATGTTCCGTGCGGATGTCTGAGCCAGAATACAAATTGTTTCTGATGTAGATTTCCTAATTACGAAATAACATAAAGCGCAAACGAGGTTCTTTTATTCGCATTAAACAGTCGTTTTAAACAAATTGTCTTGTCACATTTTATGACGCGCAATTGTAGATAAATTTGAATTTAATCCAAGTAATGTGGTGATCAATTTTTATAAAGGCTTTCTGTGGAAATGAAATGTCAGGTATTTAAATTTACGCAAGGAAAAAGAGAAATAAAAACGAAAAAATTATTAAAATGCATAAAATTTCTTTCGGAACGTTGAAGAGAATTGAGTTTCGCACTCGATAATTTGAAGATTGGAGATAGAAAATAAAAATGCAAATTACGCATTTATTTATGTAAATATAGCTGCGAAATTGCACTTTAAAAATGATTAAATAAGAAGAATTATTGCCAATAGAGCCTTTGTTAGCAAATACCCATCTAAATGTTTTAAATGACGTCGCATTAATTTAATTAAAAGCACCAATTCACGTTTCGTTAATTAGGTAGACATCAACTATTAACGCATGAAGTGAAAGCTAACCATTTACTTAATTAATTTTTTTAATGGATGCCACTTTTAAATCTTTCAAGTTTGTGACAAATTGATTGAAGATGAGTTAAATAAATCACATATTTTTTTAAATTGTTTTTGAAACTTTGCTATATCCTATTATATTGATAAATTGTTCTCTGGCTCGTTTCGGATTAACCAAGCTGACGATATCGAGTGTTTAAAGCATCGAAAAAGATTAAACTGAAACCGGGGGATTTCAGTTAGCAGGTGCGACACATTTTGCGAATACTTAGTGCGTGTAATGCGATGATTGGCTTAATTAAAAACGTGAATTTTGTAGTGTAGAGTAGTAGCGGCGTTTTATTTTTTTGTTTACTTAGAAGCGAAAATGTGCTGATTTTTGCGTAAAAAAATAAATTTTCTCAAATTTGTTTTAATGTAAACGAGGAAATTTTCACGCGTCATGTAAAATAAATTAGTAAACAACAAACTTCATATTACTTTGAATTTGTTTTAAAATATTTTTTAATTTCTTTTAATGAGAAGAATTTAATTACCTAACTAATTAAAATTATCCTGCTTCAGTAGCCTGCTTTTTTAATTAAATATGTTTACTTTTAAACAAATTAGATTAAATCAAAAAAGAGTAGCAAAGAAATTTTTTTAATGAATTTTCTTAATCCAGTATCCTAAAAAGTAAAAACATCAATAAGTTTGTAATCAATTTGAATGATGATATCAGATAATGGGTTGATTTTTTAATAATTCCCAAAAGGGTTTATTTTGTAAGGCTCTATTAAATCAGCTTCAGCGCATGCAATAAGCATTCTCCTGAGCATGGAACCAATAATTACGTAAATTTAATGTAATAAGCGACGTCGTAAGTTTTAATAACTTTTATAGCAACTTACTACAGTGTTGAAAATAGAACTTTGAGAACGGGAAAATTGTATTAAACTTTAAAAAATTAATTTTATATTGTACTCAATGTTATAGAGTGCTTTTATGAACTAGTATCAGTAGATAAAGTAGTTTTTATCGTCTAGTGAAATAAAGTAATTTTTATCTACTGTTTATATTTTGTCAACTAATTTCAGTAGATAAAGTGGTCTTTTAACGTCGAGTGAAATAATAGTTATTTATTATACGGCTGATGGTTCGACGCTAAATTGCTCTCAAAGATAATGAAAATTTTATCGTCATGTACAATATAAAATTTTATTCAATCCTCACTAATTTGGTCGATATTTATAAATGTCAAAGTAAAATTCAACAATGAAATCTAATGTCAAAGATCGTTAGCAACTAACAACCGCACATATACAACAATGGATGTATTTTTTATCA